TCCTATGTATCCAGAAGCAAAGAACATATACGGGTGTATGATCTCTGCTGGAAGTTAATTTTTTTTGTCAAAGCAATAAACCATGCAGAAACGTAAACCGCCGCGTGAAACGGTATGTACCATACATTACATACAGTGAAGTATTTAAAACAATGCTGTGCTCAACTATGCACAGCAAGCGCCATACAGGTGATTATGAAGACAACTAATAAAAAAATTCTCATATCAAACCCGTTGTTTTACATGTGTTGTTTATTGAAGAAAGTCATACTTTATAGAAGCCTGTTATTTAATCGTGTTGAACAATATGTTGCAATAGCAGTGTGAAAATTGAGTGCGCGTGACAGGCTTGGCCTAAATTCCTTCCTTGAACGTTTCTCGATGGCTGCCTGAATAACATACGATACATTGCAAAGGTAGTGCGCAATTGAACTGTTCGGGTAAGGGAGATAATCACTCACTCTCAGTGATACAGCTTGAATAAGATACGATGTACAGCAATGCAAGGTCAGTGCGTGAATTTATCACTTCTATACTACGCCTATAGCTAAAGGAGATAATCGCTCAATGCGCAATAGTTTATTTTTACAAAATATAGACCGGTTAACTTTAGCGTAATGGGATCATTTTTAACTCTTTTAAAAACAAAATGAACAAATTTCATGGGCTATCAGCATTACGAAAAGTGACTAAGTCTCAGAATAGAAAGACGATTTTGAAGTATCTCTTATTGCTGGAAAAGATAAACATCAACATTTCACGCACATTTCACATGATTTGTATGTTTCGTTTCGGTAACTGTGTGGCTTGAAATTTAAAAGAAACCAACATGTCGACTTACATGCTCCAAAATTAACCTCTCCCGTATACTTCCCCGCCTTAAGGGCGGGGAAGAATAACATCGCGGGAATTAGTGAATATTTTTTTAATTTATCGACAAAAAATTATCAATTGAATTGGAATATGGATTTCAGACATTATGAAATGTGATAGATTTAATAAATGAATGATATTACAGGTAGGTCCATACAAATATATACTATTTTGACGTGACTACGGCTTGGCCCGTAAACCGGCCTACGGTGTCTGCGGACTCGATGCTTCTTGGCCGGAAAACCAGTTGCCACGTTTGAAGGCTGAAACTAATACGAGTCATTTGATTGGTCGTACTACGAAAATCAACCAATCATATTTGCCCTTGTATCATCGCTTTATTTTCTTTACTGACTGCGTTGGAACAAAACGGACGATGTAAACAGCGGCAAATACGTTTTGTTACTCGTATTATATCAGCTGTGTATTGTTTTGTGTCGATACATAGACCCACGAATCGATAGTCGTATCGAACTGTAATGTACATCGATGTATCGGTGAATCGTCCCAGCCCTAGTGACCGACATCATGAGCATCGATCCACGCAATTCCCATCAAGATAACTTCATATGTTTGATACAAAATAATTATTGATCAACATATTTAAAGTTTCTCTGCTGTGCCCAGCTCAGTTAGCTTAACGTGTGCTATGCCCGTCCCAGTTAGCTTCACGTGTGCTATGCCCGTCCCAATTTGCTTCACGTGTGCTATGCCCGTCCCAGTTAGCTTAACGTGTGCTATGCCCGGCTTAGTTAACTTCTCGTGTGCTATGCCCGGCTTTGTAAGCTTAACGTGTGCTATGCCCGGCTTTGTTAGCTTAACGTGTGCTATGCCCGGCTTTGTTAGCTTAACGTGTGCTATGCCCGGCTTTGTTAGCTTAACGTGTGCTATGCCCGGCTTAGTTAGCTTAACGTGTGCTATGCCCGGCTTAGTTAGCTTAACGTGTGCTATGCCCGGCCCAGTTAGCTTCACGCGTGCTATATATGTGGCTCAGTCGGCAGTCTTAGTAAGTGTTACATTGATGTTGTTGAAAACCCTTGTATAATTTCATGCGCATATAGTTGTGTTTGCCATCTCGGCAACGAATGCTTACTCTCATTACAAAGACAATGGAGTGACAGTGGCAATGTCCTGAAAAGTGTGGATCAAATATTTCAATACTGTAGCTGCTATGTGAAATACATGTTTTTATATAATTTGTTTATTTTACTAGAGCATTAACACTGTTTTGCATAACAATATATTCAAATAAATAAGCATGATAGCTTGACTAAAGCTTATTAAAGTTATCTAAAGAAATGACGGATGTATACTTTGTTTACTTTCAGTAAGCTCCTTTTGTATAATTTGTAATGTTGGTGGAAAGTTATTTCTAATATTACAGTTGAAAATGATTCGTTTTGACAAACTAAAGATAAGGTTCAGTAGATGTTTATTTTTGATAAATAACCAAAAAAGAACATTATCTTACAGGATTTTGCGTTTTGTGCGATATCCAAATGTCTCGCCAAATGGAGCTCACTTTTTGGCATTCCCAAAATATATGTACAGTAAACTACGGTTATAACGAACACGCTTATAACGAACTGACGGACATAACGAACTAACTGTTTAGTCCCGACTATTTGCTGTACTTATGCTGTATATATGCTAAAACGATTTACGGTTATAACGAACTAAAATTAGTAGTCCCTTTGAGTTCGTTATAACCTTGGTTTACTGTATTACACTTTCTGTTTCATTAGAACGAACATAAGCTACAACTTGTACTATCTACGTATCCCATTTGATTAGGAAAACACTTTGTTGGCAATATAGGATGTCAAATTAGATAGTGGAACCATTGTAGTTTAGTCACATATCGTGCAACTAAAAGGGAGAGAACTCTTTCGGTCTTGTTCTTCAATATCGTTTCCGAGTTCGTAATCCCATTTAGCATCATGATTATTCCACTCATATGTTTTTAATAAGTATTTTATAGAAACACTGAACCTTTTTATGGTTGTTCAGATGATATATATGAAATGGTTAAAAGGGAGATTGTTGGATAATGGCAATTTTTCGTAATCATTGGCTTCGACAGTAGTATTATACAGCGTGAAGAAAACGTGAGCCGATTAATTGGTTTTCAAATTGAAAACAGTTTTGAAGGTTTCGACAGACAAGAATTGCCTGTTATTATCAAGAAGATCATTAATCAAACGTATTTCCTATTTTCATGTTCTCGTTATGCCATACATACATACATTATTGTGCTAGGATACCTTGTCATTTCTACGCTCGATGTGGATCTTATCTATACATTTCCATCAGGCCTTAATAAGGTCATTGCTGTATACATTATTTATCTTGGTAATAATCTGTAATCTGACTGTCTTGCAGGTAATTTCAAAACTGTATACCAACTGGTCCCGTACCTGTAGTTTCTATTAATAATCTTTCTGGAATTCCCCTCTTTTAACGGAAAAATTACCATCATAAGTATAAATAGGTATACATACAGTTTTTATTCATAGAAAATAGAAAAAGTAATAGTTTGTATTTGGTACGTACATATTAGATAACAGAAAAAGAAACGTTGACGGTGGTGTGGTGTTGTGATATTTTTATTAACTATATGTTCATAGGATGTAATAATTTCATGTTAGGGTATCTGTTGATCGCATAAATCAAATGTACATATTGTATAAAAGTGATTGTATTTAAGAAATAAACAACGAGTGTGAGTTATTTATCGTGCAATAAAAAACTGCAGGGAGACGAACCATGAGGGACGCAGCAGTGTTTTATTGTACGATAAACAACGACCACGAGTCGTTTATGTCTTATATAAGATATCAACATTATGAACTGCCTCTTTATGGATGTTGATAAACAGTTCAAGCTTTAAAAATATTTACCCAAATGTTAATAATAACGACTCCCTGAACAGAAACTGACCTTCAGAAATGAACTGTGTAATGAAGACCAAGTCATTTATTAGTAGTTGTAAGGAAATATCATTTTGGTGTAGCAGATGTTCCTGAGCGCCATACAGTGGTGGACCATGGACTTGTTTGGGCAGGGTTTGGTGTTTTTCCTTATTCTTAAAACAATGCTTTCTTATTAGTCAAAGTAATTCTTATTGTGTACTAAGGTGAAAACATATTCCATGAAAATATTTCGGTACTAAAATCTGTTCCCCCCCCCTCCCCCTTCATTCAATTACCCCCCCCCCTACGCGCATGCACATCGCTATGTAAGAACAATAGTCTTGAACGCGACATTAAGCCCTATTTCACCCCACCTGAACCAGTCTAAACCTTCCTTAAACCTGGCCTCGAACACGAACACGAGTTGGTCACGAAAGCTGGCCTCAGACCTAAGTTGCCCCGCCCCCCCCCCATAATTTTAACATGTACCGGAAAGAATATAGGAGAATATATAGTCCTGTTCTGGGATCCAGGCCAATATTTTACGGTTTAAGTGGCAGGTTTGTCAGCATGCAACACGAGGACAGCTTACGACCTACATTAATCATGGTGGGCTGTCATGTCACTGTAGACAGCAAAGAAGGAAAATATTTGTGGTCTGAGGCGACACCTGCATGACCTCGTCGTCGGGGCATGTCTCATCATTGCCCTACATAGCAGACTGCTGGCAACGCATGCTTCACAACTCGAACATATTCTTATCCTTATCCACAATACTCGTGGGACGTTCTCCTCTCATCCATACATTGTATACTATGAGGTGAGGTGAAATTGGGTTTAACGTCGCGTCCAAGATTATTGCACTTATATAGCGATATGTGTACGTGTATGTGTGTGTGTGGCTGCTTGTACTAGTCCGGACTGATGCCGATTTATAGTGCTAGCACACTGAGATACCATGCCGCAGTTTAACATGACTACCACCCCGATGACACAGTATACTGACTCCGAGCCGACCAGTCCTTGTTTTAGACCCTTGTTTTAGCCCCGGACCTTCCGCTCTCCGGGCGTACGCTCTACCACTAGACCACGGAGGCGGTCTGTATACCATGAATTTGAGGCCAACAGAGTCATCCGTCCGCTTTAACTTTCATTTCCGGTTTGATTGATGATGCAGAGGATGAAGTACGAGATCCACGCCTTTGTCAAGGGGGCACGACTTTGTCAATTTGCCAGTCTGAGCAAGCGTTATTCACCGTGTTCTGTGCCTGCCAAGAGGATAACAGTTACCGTGAGTGATCCATGAGTATTTATTTAGGAATTCTGCTATTACGCCGCTTGTAGCAATATTCCAGCAATATCACGGCTGGGTAAATGGGCTTCACACATTGTACCCCAGTGGGGAGTCGAGCCCTGACGACCGAATGCTTTTACCGCTAGGCTACCCCCACCGCCCCTTATAAATAGTAAATTCATTCATATGGAATGGCCCGCAGTGTGTGTTTCGTCTGCACTAGCCTGCAAATTAAATAATTTCTTACTCGCAAACTTCATTTTTAAGAAGGCATTGTTTACAGGTTTCCCTCACTAACTATTGTAGTTGTGACAGCTGAATAACAAGAGATTATTGTGTTTGAGAAATTGGTCCTATTATTCAAGTGAACATTTCCTAGTTGAGATTGGAGATGAATATTTGTATTATAGCTCGCAAGGTAGAAAATTAAGCTAGTCAGTCGGGGTACCTACATTGGATTTTCATTAGCCAGGAGAAAAAACCCAGTAGCCACGGGCTACCGGGCAGGCGCTTATTTCGACCACTGGTATGGTTCACCAGCTTTATCGCCGTGAATTTGCTGGAATACTGCTTAAATCAGCGTAAAACCATACTCATTCAGTCGCTATTTTATATAGACATGCGATAAGAGTGAATGGTTTGTTATATTAGTCACTGAGTAATGACGTGAGTTTTAGTCAGTGTAGTTACGGCGTTGTGGAGGAGTTTGCGACCAACTCGTCCCGTTGTAGGTTACGGAAACTAGCGAGAGGTACCGAATTCATGGAGCTTGTGTATGGTCATTGCTGTAAAGAGTTTGACGTTATCGCGACGATAGTTACTCCGCATTTAAACCAACGGTCAAGTTTGCTCCGTTTTGAGCCCGCGGGAATGTATAATGTCTTAATTTGTTCTAATAGGAAATACAAAAATAAATGTGGATCGAATACACAGCTGACTCGCACTATAGTTCAACAAACAAAGGTGAAGCACGCGGTACAATCAGTTCTAGCCTACACGCGTCAAAGGCGTTCAAAGTTCTAAACATTATTGAGGTCAGGGCCTCGCAAACGCAGAATGTACTGAACGTCATGCGCCCCAGCCCCGTATGTCAGCGAGCGTTCCACAGCACATGAACTGATACGAAAGGTATGTTTCTGTTTTAATGGTGAATCCAAGAATCCTCACTTTAATACAACGTTGGTATTCGTCTAGGAAATACAGTGTTATCATTTCAGGTCATACTTGTAACTTGTATCGTGGCATTCGTAGTCATTCGGAAGAAGATCTGGGTCACTGCTGTCACTGTGGAGACGACTCGTCTTGTTCAGGACATTAACGAGGTGGGAGTGGTTCGTACTTCTATTCCAGTGTGCGAGGTAATATAATAATTACTAAAGATCGGCCGTATATTTAATTAATTGTTAACACTACACACGCACAATATAGATATTCTACTCACGCTCCTATTCCACTTGAGATTTCCTGTTGTGTTTCACCATCAGCTGCTCTCTACTGTATAGCCTATGCCTCCAAGTTGCGCTGAATGAGGTTCTATAAATTCGTGGCATATATTTGGGGGGCAGCATCATTTGCATCAATTTTGGTTTAACTCACTGCACCAAACAAATTGAGGGTCATCAAAGGGGGCTTGTATCGAGAATAGATTTTTTTCAGCTGCAGCTACAAAACCAGAATATATTTTTTAATTAAAACTTTGAGCCTGAATTCTGATTTGTGAGTGCGTTGGGTTTAACACCGCTTTTAACAGTATTCCATTTATATCACGGCGTGTCAGCTTAATGCTTGAGGAAAGCCCGAAGTAATGCAGGTCTCAGACGTTACCACTTCGTGTACGGTGCTGACAAACCTAGAAACATAGTCGGGGCGAACTGGGATTCGAAGGTACGATCATAGATTTCTGGCGTGCCCAAGGGACGCAACTCTGCACAGTTTTTTTCACCAGTCTCAGTCACTCACTTGATATAGGGGGAACATCTCGTCATGATTAAATTATGTAAGAGTTACTTATAAAATTTCATTTGTCCCGATCAGCCCGACGTCTCCAAAATGGCGAGTGGGGTGGTACAGGGTGATGCTCTCCGCTACGACGCGTTCCTTACATATGCGGACGAAGACAGGGAGTGGGTTGAGAAGCTGGTTGACCACCTGGAGGCAGCACCCTATAACATGAAGTGTGTCAACCACTACCGGGACTACCATCCAGGCAAGACTGAGTGGGAAAATAACCAGTTTTTCCTTGACGCATCGGATGCATTCCTCGTCGTTCTCACTCCGTCCTTTGTCGACAGCAAGTGGAACACGTATGACTTGGACCAGATACTTGCTCACTCTATGAGAGCAGATCGGTCTACTATTATCCCCCTGATAAAAGAGCCTTGTAGAGTGCCCTCTAGTCTCAATCATCTGATTCCCATCAAGGCGTCAGCATCCTTCACAGAATCCTGGTTCCACAAACTCTTGTCAACTCTCGGATATACAAGTCAGTATTCTTAATATCAAGAATCGTTTATGATAATAAGCTAAATTTACAAATTAATATCAGACATTGATGGTTGAAGTATCAAAATACGAAATCTTTCCCCGTAAATATGAGTGAGTGAGTGAGTGAGTGAGTGAGTTGGGTTTAACGCCGCTTTTAACAGTATTACAGTTATATCGCGGCGTGTCAGCTTAATGTGGGAGGAAAGCCCGAAGTGATGCAGGTCTCAGACGTTTACCACTTCGGTGAAACACACGAGCACGGGTATGGTGCTGACAAACCTAGAAACATAATTGGGGCGAACCAGGATTCAAACCCACAATCATAGGTTTCTGGCGTGCCCAAGGGACGCAACTCTGCACAGCGAATCGCGGCGCCTTCGACGACCGGGCATGTTTAGAACGGTTTTATGCTCAATTGTAACTGGAACTCATTTCAAGTCGAGACATTGTAAATAATATTGTCTCTGTGTACTTAGTTGTGGGCCCGGATGCCCAATATGTCTTTTCCGACCCCCAAAATACCGCTCTGCGTACCTGCAGTGTTTGGATGATAAATGTTGCTCTGGGTACTAGTATTTTGTAAAATCAACACTTTGTAATCCAGGTGCCCTCAGTTGCCGAAATAAAGCAAATCGTGATTAATTCTAAATATGATCCCAGAAACTACGGAAATGATACTATGATATATTTATTAATTTTGAAATATCTTAAAATATAATGATCTAGACATTAAAGACATTTCGGAAATATATTGTTCAAAACACTAGTGTCTTGGCGCCATCATCGCTTCAAAACGTTCATGGAACGCTATTACAAAATTGTTATCTGAAAAGGAACACACAAGAATGTTTCCTACGTCGTTAATGGCATTTTAAACGTGACCAAACAAGGGTTGTTCCCATTTGGATAATTAGTAAATCAGAGCTCCAGATAAGCTTTTGGTGTTGTGGGTATTTTACCCATGCATTTTAAAATCATTGGTAACAGTAATTCTATCTGGGTATTCAAATTTCTGTTACCTACTAGTTTTTACACATGTGGGTATCTAAGTTAAATATTTAAAAACACTATTCATCTAGTCCCTGCAAACTGGTGTCGTGTGGGTTCGAGAGCTTTATAGGACTAAAACATTCCACGATACTTCCACAAGAAAGTGTGATGGCAAATGATCATGATGTAACTGTCATCGTGGAGTTTGGCAAGGTTGACGGAATGCCCGTATATAATTTCAAAATAAGTTGCTGATTTGCTAATCGAATACGCAGGGTTACTTCACAAATTTTGATGATACGCACAAGTATTTTTGTAGCGTATCTGGAATGTTCGTTGCGTATTTGATATGCTTGAATTTTATTTCTCTGCGTATTTCTGATGCGTATTTTACGCAGATACGCAGCTTATCTGGGGCTCTGCAGTAAATGCTTATCCTCATACATGTTTAGCTAGAAGTCACACACATCAGCTTATGAATGTCTTGCTTGTAGCGATGACGCAAATTTAAGGATTTTAAGAAAATTAACGTGTACATAATTAAGGACATATTTTTATGGCATATCTACCCAAAGTGTTTTCGAATGGCTATCTATTCTGTTACAGGGTGCCAGGGATGTTTATCTGATGAGCAGGTTCGAGCCTCACACTGGTGTAACACATGCAACATGACGATCTGTAACCAATGTCGTCATCTGCACACGGAGCAGGACGAACACCAAGTCGTGGATGTTCGGGATCACCTTAGCAACAGCCTCAAAAGAAGTACCCTTCTTTGCATTGAACACGGCCGAGCCATCGAGATGTATTGCACGAGCTGTCAAGTAAGTCTGTGTCACACGTGTCAGGTTGTCAATCACAGGACATGTGACGACATTGTGACTGTGTCTGATGGCAAAGCCCTGATCGAGGAGAACCTTGCTCGTAAACAGGCAACGATCGAGCAAAATCTCCAACGTGTTTCGTTAGAAGAAACCAGATTGTCACAGGCACTGATTGACTTGAACAGACACGTAGGTTCACGAAGGGACTACATTGCTGAAGAATTTGACCGACAGAGAAAGATACTGAAGGAGAAGGAAGCTACCTTTATGGCTGAAATCGAGTCAAAATTCCACAGTAATGAAGCAGAGTTAAAAGACAGGATTGTCTCAACCACTGAACTTGTGCGTCAGTCCAAGGAGCATCTTCTGTTGATATCAAATGCTTTGAAATCCAAATCTGAAATAGAAATGTGTGAAACTGACATGAACGTCAAACCCCAGGCAATACAAGTGACTTCGGAGGAGGAAATAAACTCTCTATCGGGAGCGAATATAAATCTGCCTGAAATGAACATTGCGTTAACAAGTACACTGGAGAGTCCGGCCGCTGACTCGCCGGATGATGCAAGGCCAGAGATGAACGATAAGGCAGTTCTCGAAAAGATAATACACGCCGAAGGTGGCAAACACAGCATGCATGACATGTGCCTCATCACCGACAACGATAAGATTATTATTGTCGTCACGGACCCCGTCAATCGGACACTAAGGTCATTTTATCAACATGGGATGAAGATGTCTTCCAATGCCAAGTTTATTGGGGATGCACCAAGGGGAGTAACGTCTGTGGGAGACCAGACTGTGGCCGTTAGCGTCCCTGATACCAAGTCAATCTTATTCTTCAAGGTCACGCCCGGGATAGAACTAGTCCGAGTGCTGGACTGTAACACCGTCTTTAACAGCTTGTGCTTCATGAAGCCCAATCTGTTTGTAGGGTGTTTTAAAGATAAAGATGGCCCCAAATTGTATTATGTGTCTTACGAGGACGACACGTCTTCTATCTTTTTGACAGCTCTCTGTGTGATTAATAAAACTAAACGACTCTTCGACGATCCGTCATATTTGTGCAAATCGGACGACGGTCTCGTTATAGTTAGTGATGCAGGCAAGGTCAAGGTCATATGTCTGGACGAAGATGGCTGTGAGGTGTTTCAGTTTCCTCCGCTGAGGGATGGGACATTACAATCGCCTAGAGGTGTTGCCGCATCCACCAAAGGGGACGTATTTATTGCGGACCACGCTCAAAACGCCATTATCAAGGTCAAGGCTGATGGCCAGTTTGTTGGACAGGTGTTGACGTCAAATGACGGCGTAGTTGGCCCGTGTTGTGTAGCGACTGATGCTGATGGAAAACTGTACGTTGGACTGTCTAATGGTGTGATACAGAAGTACAGATTACCGTCAACTAACTGACAACGCTGGTCATTCCTGGAGTGAGTGAGTTGGATTTGACGCCGATCTGAACATTATCGCAGTTATTTCGCAGTGTATCACTCTGGTATAACCAGGACGCAAAGGCATATGGTGCTGACAGACCAAGGATATTAGTCGAGGCGAATCGAACCCACAATATTGCCAACTCTTAGGTCATGCGTGACCCTGAAATTCCGAGACATCGTTATGAACTCTCCAGCTAATGTCTGGACCGTAGAAAAGGTCCTCAGCAACCCATCCTTGCATCCGGTAGATGCATGTCATCGTATCCCAATTGCGTGGTGATCGATGCTCATGATGTCAATCACTGGATTGTCTGGTTCGATTATTTACAGACTGCCGCCACGTAGTTGGAATATTACCATTGCCTTAAACCTAGTATCCATGCTGTATTAGACTACACTAAATATTAAAGGACAACGTCAACATTTATGTGAAGTCAATGTTGCCATAAACCTTTTTCATAAAAGGGATGAAAATATGACAAAGGATCACTGAAAATCAGTGATGACACACAATAGTGCTCAGTACAAACAGTAACCCCGTTTCGGGGCTACTTCTTGCTCCTTCCTAGGGGGCACACTGAGTAAACTATATATATATGTATGTCGGGGCGGTCGGGTAGCCTAGTGGTTAAAGCGTTCGCTCGTCACGCCGAAGACACGGGTTCGAATACCGACATTGGTACAGTGTGTGAAGCCCATTTCTGGTGTCCCCCGCCGTGATAGATATATATATAATAGTAATATATATATCCAAAATAGTAATTTACTTAATTACACAAAAACTCTGGTTATAATTTTGAAGTTGATATAATACACTTGGTGTTCAACACGTTCGTAAAGGTACATTTAATGTCGGTGATGGAGATTCTGTATGTTTTTTTGTCCTCTCTGTACCGAAGCACGAATGCATTGTAAAGTTGTAACAAACAACTCGGTATGATGTCTATAATTAATTAACAAGTAATATACTTGAGGATATATTTCATCTGTCAAAGTACATACATACATACATACATACATACAAACATACATACATACATACATACATACATACATACATACATACATGGTGAAATGGTGTTACTTATACTTATACTTATATTGCGACGTGCATGCACGTGGGTGTGACTGCTTGTACTAGCCCGGACTAATGCGACTTTATTCTGCTATTCCACTGAGATACCATGCCGCCGTGCAACATGAATACCCCACTCAGACATAATATACTCCGAGCCGACCACTCCTTGTTTTAGCCCTTTAATGCAGAGCGCCAGGCAGGGTAACAACAAGTACCATCTTTTGTCATGACGCAGCCGGGATCGAAACCCGATCCTTCCACTCTCTCGAAGGACGCTCCTCCCACTAGACCACGGAGGCGGTCTCCTAGATACAGAAGATCCCACTGAGCACAGCGACCTGGCAGCAAAGATGCCAGACATTGTTGACCTTTTCCATCATGGTGATCCTGAATCTTACCTAGAAACTTTGGGTACGTTTGGAATCCCGGACGGTGTGTACGTTCGATTCGTTTGTATCAAATATACTTTCACAATATCGGTTGAACTCCATTTGAATAAAAAAGTCTGTAACATTATGTTGATTAAAGTGTGGCTCCAATACTATGTAACAATGTATTGTTTGAAACCTTTTGTGTGTGTTTGTATCACATGACACACAAATGAGTACAGTTTCTGGTGTCTTTTATTCACAGATACAGTTGGGGAGTTGGGTTCAACACTGTAAATGAAACGCAAGAAGTAGATGTCTAATATTTTAATTCTTTGCTGAAACCCAGCAGCAGAAGAAAGGATCTGACATTTACGTTGTAAATTGTGGCGCCTTTGGCCATTTCGCCACGAAAACTGGGTAACTGCTGACCATACATCATTCAGATTCATAATGATACGTGGCGTGATTTTATCATTCCTGGCTGACTGGAGGTACCACGTAGGTTCAACGTGTGAATCCAATCATTGGTGCCCACCGACGTGAAATACAGTAAACTACGGTTATAACGAACACGCTTATAACGAACTTACGAATATAACGAACTTACATTTTTGGTCCCGAGTATTTGATGTAGTTATGCTGTATATATGCTTATAACGAACTACGGTTATAACGAACTAAAATTAGTGGTCCCTTTGAGTTCGTTATAACCGTACTTTACTGGACTCGCAATACAAGAGTAACACTTGAGGGCCTGTGCATTCATTCGCCATTTACACGATCCTTAATAACCTACTCTTACCCTGTACACTACTGCTTTCAGTTACTTATATCTGTGGCGATCCTTTCCTGCTGAAAGTAACAGGTTACAGATGTAACCCTATAGAACAATATTTCTTCAGCACGGCCCTGGCCAAATAGGTTCGAGAAGACGGCAAACCTACATGTACACACAAACAGCTTGTTATCATAATTGTCTCCGTTGATTATTCATGAAATACATTGGAGACATAAACAACACAACAAAATTTATCCGCTTTGCATTACGATAAGTTCAAGTGTGCGCTGTTTCCTGTGTGTTTCAAGGTGTAATGTTGGGGTGTTCGCCAGTAACGTGACTTTGGTCATGAACAAAAACATAGGCAGCATTGTCAAACTGACCAAGTATACAACAGACTTGAATAATGCTGAATGTCTGCTGTTCGATCAAAGGTTTCATCATTGTCACTTAGAATAACCTCCCTTACTTTCGACCTTGACTTTTTACGCCATGCTTTTACGCAACGGCGCATTCGAGAGAAGACCATTTTAAGCAAGAATAGTAAAGTATCTTTTCTCACTATATTTTAATTCTAATAGCTTTAGTGTAGTAACACTATATGTAACATTTTTCTTTTCGAAAACTGTCTTTACGTGACACACATATGCTACAAAGAAGAGCACCAACGACGAGAGTGAGTGAGTTTGGTTTTACGCCGCTTTTAGCAATATTCCAGCAATATCACGGCGGGGGAAAGCAGACATGGGCTTCACACATTGTACCCATGTGGAGATTCAAACCCGGGCCTTCGTCGTGACGGGCGAACGTTTTATCCACTAGCTTCCCCACCGCCCAATCAACGACTAGAATCTAGCTACATATGCAATTATTCTCACCTGCATTCGTGAAACGTAGACTAACAAAGATGTCATAAATGTGACTGTAGCATGCAAACATTCAGAAAGTTGTGATAAATGTAGCTAACATGCATTAGTACGCATCTGTTTTACAGTGGATGCCAAATAAATAATCTTTTGTGAAGAGGTTGGTGTGTAATGTCCCTTTGAACGAGTTGACTACAAATGAATTACATAGAGTTGTTATGATCATATTGTATTTGCCGCAAAACATTTATAGACAACTATTTATTGACGACACGTCTAATAAATGCACAGAGCTGCTCGTGTTGTCTCCCTGTTTCTGATCTATTTTGTGGCCTTTACCCGAATATTCGCCAACTAATTGTATACAAACATGCAAAGCCTATATAATCGGTCAGTGTTGCAAATTAACATAATGAATGGTATTTTGGGAGCCACAAAACATTTTATATCACCGGAAAGAACGGAAATAGATGCGTGCAGAACAATGTGACCAGTTGACAACTATCAGCTGATCATTTATTCCGAGATATTTCTCCGTGTTATCGTTTGCGGCTGGGAAATCCCCGTGCTGTCGTTGGTAAACACCACGCTTTTTCAGTCTCCAACACAAATGGGTTCTCTCTAAAGAGTTACGATAAGTATCGCACCTTTGTACGATATGAGACAGGTTCAGATAGTTTCGAAGCTGTGTCTTATCGTAAACTTAAGATATCTTATCTTTGATCGTAAGGTGTTAATCTTAACTAAGATCGTTTCGAAAATCTAGGCCCAGCATCATAAACAAAATGACAATCTGCAATGTCGTTTCGTGTCTAGCGCCATGCCAAATTGCCATTACACACAGTCTATACAAATATGCAGCGCGACACTAGAGTGAGTGAGTATGGTTTTACGCCGCTTTCAGCAACATTCTAGCAATATCACGGCGGGGGACACCAGGCATGGTTTCACACATTATACTCATGTGGGGGATCGAGCCCGCGTGTTCGGCGTGACGAGCGAAAGCTTTAACCACTACGCTACCCCGCCGCCCCGTTCGACATCAGAGATTGGGATGATGGTTATAATACTCTGTAGACTTGGTGTTTGACATCTAAGGCACCAAGAGGGCTTTTTAACTCACACAATGGGTATGTCTTGGGACCCAAATCCCGATCATGTAGCTACAATAGGTGAATACTTAGAAGGTAAACATTATGCGTTTTTGAGTATCCGATGCCCAGAAATCTTAAAACACAAACTGTTTTTCGACATTGTAGAATAGAAACATTACCATCCGGACTTGTTGTAAACACACGCGCTTATTCAGGAAACTGAACAGGATCGGCTAACGGAAGGTTTTGTAAACAAACGTAAAAAACAAGCTCCACGTTCTAGAATATTTTCCATTTCACGACCTATGTTTCTCTATATGGGTCTCCATACTCTCTAGTCAGTGGCAGAAGTACAGAGATGACCGCAAAAAAAGCTGGGATGGAGAGAGTGAACTCGCCTTTTCGAATGTGAAAAACTAAATCAAAGCTGTTCTGACAAAGTAGACACAATTTATGGATACAATTTCTTTAATTACAGTAAAGGCGACGTTTCGGTATATATTCTTATACCGTTGTCAATCAAGGCAGTTCTGATTTGCTTCATAACTTGCTTCTACACAATAGTCTTCGCCACTTGATATAGAATCAGTAATATCGCAATTATTTATCAGCGAAGACAGCTACATGCGTGCTGATACAAACCGTTCCGGCTATAAGGAATATTACTTTCAGTAATGACAAAAAATTGCAAATTTGTAGCATGAAAGACTAACTCCTTATAGAAGAGGCGCATCTCAACTGGATCTGAAACATTTAAAGACAAACTCCTTATAGAGGTGGCGTGTCTCAACTGGATCTGAAACATTTAAAGATTAACTCCTCATAGAATTTGGCGCATCTCAACCAGAAGCGTTTTAATAACTCTCAATATAAGTGCAAAGGCTGACACTACAACTGCCTTTCTACCGTAACTGGGGTATCATTGGGCGTGGACAGCACCCGCAACTCATTCTTACACTTCACCATGAATGCGGAAGGTTATACTTTCCCCACTACTCGGAACATTCTGACCAGCAAAATGCACCCCTATATCTACTGACCACAGTCTTAACAGAGAAAGTCCAGCATAGCATGGCATCGTCTAAGTGACGCGTCTCAAACTGGATATGAATCATAAAAAACAGCTAATCATAGTAGGTAGTTGCGCGTCTCAACTGGAACTCAAACATTAAACGACCAACAAATTATAATCATAGGATTTGGCGCATCTCAACTGAATCTGAAACATCAGAGAGCATCATATTAATCGAGGAGGTGGCGCATCTCAACTAGAGCTAAAACGTGAGAGAACATCACAAAATAACAGATGTCACAAATGGAGCTGAAACATTAGAGACCAACTGATTGTGTGAATAGTCTAAACACGAAAAATTACTCACAATTTCAACGATGGCATCAGAAATAAACTCATTTTGCAACAACTTTATCCATTATTTCGTAGAATTTTGTAACGTTGTGTGAAGAAATAAGAACGTTGTTACTTTTTTTTATACAATGTATACGTTTTTGTAACCGCGATGTCAGCACAGCACTGAGCGCCATGCAGACACCATGAGGGTAAATGACACAGGAAAGGTGGAACTAAACATTATTCTTTGCAAATTTATCATTTCGGCATGCAAATCGGAAGGTTCAGAATTCGAACTGTCTACTTCCGGGGTAGAAGATATCTTCAGCTAACCCATACTTGTCGTAAAAGGTGACTATGCTTGTCGTAAGAGGCGACTAACGGGATCGGGTGGTCAGGCTCACTGACTTAGTTGATGCATGTCATCGATCCCAATTGCGTGGATCGATGCTCGTGATATTAATCACAGGATTATATGGTCCAGACTCGATTATTTACAGACCGCCGTCATAAAGCTGGAATATTGCTGAGTGCGGCGTTAAAAACCAAACCAAACCAACCAACTTTGATTTCACTCGTACCTCGTGGGTTATCCGATAAACATATGATAAAGAAATTTATTGCTCAACAAATTTTAAGTATTTAATTACTTTTTGGGTCGATATGTTTTTCTTATTTTTGAATAAACTATTTAGTACATGTACATAGTCTTTTTTTAAGTACATAGATAGCTTGACATGTACATTATCTCGGGAACAAAGTTGCATAAAAAACTTCAGAAAACTGTAACCTGAGAATGTCGAATGTAAAATGTAAAATTAGAAAGCAACACCACAATATTAAATTCTTCCATGTGCATGAACACAGTGATAATCGCGTATACTAAAAAAAGAATTGATGAAAAAACATTCGATTCTGACATATTTTAATTCATATTTACTTTTATTAAAATAGCTTCGGCACATCTTGTAATCATATAATCTCAATCCAGGTGTGCAGTAAAGAAATTCATTTTATGATGCTTCGTTCAATCACACAGATACAATGATTATTCCCCCTTACGTTGATGGGAAGTGCTCTTTCCTTAGTTCAAGGTGGCCGTATCTTTTGATAACATTATAGATTGATACGTATTAGGTGATGTGAGGTGAAATGGGGTTTAACGTCGCGTCCAAGATTATTGCACTTATATGGCGACGTGCATGTACGTGTGTGTGTTTGTGTGGCTGCTTGTACTAGTCCAGACTGATGCCGATTTATGGTGCTAGCTCACTGAGATACCATGTCGCAGTTTAACATGAATACCCCCACTCAGAGACAGTATACTGACTCCTAGCCGACCAGTCCTTGTCTTAAATAGCCAAAATTATTTTCTTCATGCATTTTACGCACATGGTATCAATATGCAAGAGAAGTAATAGTGAATATTGTCTAGCGTATTCTTTGCATGAACATTTCGCAGGTTTTCGAATACACCCCCAAATTGTGCTATGCGAGAAAAATATTTACTGTACACTTGTCAGAAAACTTTGAGCGAATAAAATATTCTCAGGTATTTGAACGAGATACGCATGTAGGAAGTTTATATATGTCGGCATATGCAGAGCCACGCATACAATATAAATGTCGCATTTAAAATATTCCTAACTTTGCCATTCCATTCCATGACGTCAAAAATGCTTATGTTTACGTGGGTTGGTGTTCAATTTAAGGAATAAGGAATAACTCGTAATATATATGATGTGACTCTTCTGACAAAATAGAAATGTGTGTGGTTGCAATATATTTATTGGATGATTACGTTAAAATGATGAAACTTCTGTTGAAAACATTGAAATTGGAATAGAATAGCAAAAAAACCTGAAATTAAATGTGTGAAAAAATGTATAAAAGATATTCAAAATCTACATAATAATTACAACATTATGGCATTAGCGTAGCCATTTTGGAAAATCACCGGATGTGACGTCAAATAAAGACGCCGAGTGTTTTTTTTAATTTTGGCCTGTACCGGCTCCTAGCTTGGCGCAAGTTGACGACGCGCATAGGGAGCTGGGAACCAGCTTACTGTACCGGCTTGGCGCAAGTTGACGACGCGCATAGGGAGCCGGGAACCAGTTTAGACCCAGTCGTAGCAAGGCGATGACGTAACAATCGTATGACGTCACAGACGTGTCTGGTCTGTCGGTGAAGCGGACATTGTCGGGATGGCGTCTCTCGTTGTCCCTACCTATGCTCCCAAGTCAAGGACATTGTACACGGGACACAGTGACCAGAGGTCAGTGGCGTTTACTTGCGAAGCACCCATGCTTAATATGTCGCGGTGTTGTCAGTGGGTTGCTGTGTAACAGGGTGTATTTTGCCGACTTAACTGCTGGAGAAAAAAGAAAGTTTACGCCCTCATTTAATGATGGCTAACATGAAAAGAAAAGGAAATGGTTTATATTCGATGGTGATGTATTTGACACGGGTATCATAGTTGGGCCTTAAGTTTAAAGTGTTTCGTCGACTGTGTTCATCCTATGAACTTCTTGATCACGTTTGTAAAGTCTTTGGTGAAATACATTTTTCCAGTGTATACTTTCTTTTGCACGACAGTTCACCTTTCTCTTCCAACATTAGAATCTCCGAGGCGGTCCGAAGACCTGAAAATGCATCACTCCATCCCCTGCACAAATAATTGATCACATACAAAAGTACATACAATAAACTACGGTTATAACGAACACGCACATAACGAACTGACTGATATAACGAACTTATTGTTCCGTCCCGACCATTTGTTGTATAAATGTCGTATATATGCTTATAACGAACTTCGGTTATTACGAACTAAAATTAGTGCTCACTTCGAGTTCGTTATTACCGTGGTTTACTGTATAAGAAAATAGTGATGCAAAGCATCAAACTCCACTCGTATGTCGGCATCAGAATAATTACGATGTGGCAAAATGTGAATGAGGACAGTGAACGAATCTAAACAGCCCATTCATTTTCTACTACACTGTACTCTTTAGAATGCGTACAAAAGGACACCTAAGTCGGTTGGAAGTGACGACGAACTGAATTGGTTAGAATTACCCCAACATTAATAGGAACCTTACTAGTCTGATGTATACACAAAGGCACAACATGTAGCTTGGTAATTCAAACCCTCCTTTAGAATACAGAACCAATTGAGAGCTATACTCTTGAAACAAAACAAATTCAGGTTTGAACCTAGTTTGGCATTAGACACAAAGCCTACTTTCAGTTGACGAAAACTGAACGCTTTTAATTACTGAAAAGCAAACGACATCAGTTCTGCGATTACCTGACATGATGTATTACAAAGTCTTCCGGAAGATATTGAAGCGTTTGTGTATGATGTTGTTGAAATGAACCATACTTACATTCGATCGAACGTTGCCTTGGAAACGAAAAATCCAAAATATCATGAATACCAATACATGTAGACACCATTTCGTCACTTCTCTGAATTTTATGCAAAGTTTCACATGTAAAATTGACCAGCTTAGGATTTAAACGACGGAAATCACCCTACTCTCATTTGGGCAAATGACCGACATGTTGCCTTGGAAACGCAACTTTCATTTCCACAAGTTTCCAAAAACTCAAAAATATAAACTTTAAAAAATCCTGAATAGCAAAAAGCACTTTCAACATTTTACTGGTGTGTAAAAAAATTATGTTGACGAGGCGAACTTTTTTTCAATTTACCGTAAATATCAGAATAAACGTTGGTTCTACAGACGTAACGTAGAGACATCCTATCCAAACAACGCCTGCCTCGGTTACGCGGTTAATCAAACGACCTTCCAAATAATATACAGGCACTACGCGTATTGGATAACTGATGATAAATCACGAATGTTGTCTTGAAAACTTAAAGCTAAAAAACAAAAACAAAAAAAACCCAAAACTCCAGGAAATCCCAAATGCAATAAGTGAGCACAACTTTTCGTCAGCCTAGAGTGAGAGTGATACAAATATTATAGTATCATCACTTCATTTGAATGACAGCAATCCATAATACACTGCTGGGCAAAAGAAAGTATACAACCATGTTTGATGGTGGGTAAAACTGAAACAAACAATAAGTAGTTATTCGATGGTTATGTATTTGATACGGATATCATAGTTGTGTCTCACGTGGGACTCAAGATTGCAGTGTTTCGGCGACTGTTTTCATCCTAATTAACGTTTGTATTTTTTTGGTGAAATCCAATTTTCAAGCGTCTTTCTTTTGTCAGTTTATATCTACACTGTTAAATTTGATGTCCAACCTGTAGGGCTACAGTGTACTTTAAAACGATAAATGTCAACATTAAAATCACAGATGATAATAGTATATGCAGTTGTACTACAGTTAAGGAAAGTTGACAAAAAATTATTTCTTCAGTAGTCACTATGGGCGGGCGGGTAGCCTTCTGGTTAAAGCGTTCGCTCGTTACGCCGAAGACCCAGGTTCGATTCCCTACATGGGTACAATGTATGAAGCCCATTTCTGGTATCCCGCGCCGTGATATTGCTGTAATATTGCTAAAAACGGCGTAAAACCATACTCGCTTACTCAATAATAATCTAGAACGAATTCGCTATAAGGAAAAATGCCACCTTCAAAGGGCCTATAAAACATATTCTTGATATTGTTCCAAATGGGCTCCACATACAAAAAAAACCAAAACAAAACATTTCACGTTTAACCAAAAGATAAAAGCACACTAAACAAATTGGCAATACATAAATCACTCAGTCCAAATTTATCACCACCAGAGAAAATAGAGAGCGTGTTAACAAGTACACGGATGATACAGCCTGATTCCCTGGGTATGCTGCGCTAGCGCTCAGTGTAGCGCCAGCGCAGAATACTCGGGGAACCAGTCTGGCGGATGATACAGCCACCGAAAGCCGTGAAGCGCGATGTACAGGATCCGCTGATTGAGGGTTTGTGTCCTAGTTCCCCCCTAGTAGATGTACCTAGGTCTTACAAACACAAACATGGGCATGTGGGTCTGAAAAAATGGTTAACAACAGAGACCTGTCATTCCTGAAGCCCTCCAAAATTGAGCTGCAGTTGCCGTGATACACCTGGAACTGTTATAACGAAAGAATGGATTGTGTGCCGTTGTTAGAATATCCGATGTATCTCTATCTATTCAGCATGTTTCATTTGCCAGTTCGCCAAGGCCGCAACGATGGGGCGAGAACCCACTACACGACGTCCCGCTCTGTGAACCATGGGACCCCCTGGCCAGATTGTGAGTATGACAGGACAGTCATTCATTTGACCTGAAATACTAGACATATACTCTGTAAGAATGGCAACTATTACTATTTTAACACTTGTCGTCGAAGAACAGTATAATAACTAGCAATATATCACAAACTGACTAAAAACTAGTTGTAGAATATTAAAATATCTTAGTATTAGACAACGTACGATATAAAACGGGCAAAAGATCCTCAACATGAAAACCAATGTCACCCTACCAGGAACCAAGGGGACTTACGCAGTACCTCTGCTACCTTCAGAATTCCCCAGCAGGATTTACACCTTTCCCATAGTTACTGGCGACCGCTGCAAGTTGCCGGACATTAAAAGTAAACAAATATTCTGCACTTAAAATCGAAGTAGATAAATTGCACCAAATGACGCTATCTGAAGCTGCCGTACAAAGTCATTACCAGCGCCCTAATCGATCTTCAATAAATCAACAATAAACGTAAAACGTGTTTAAAAAGACTGCAAACGACAATTCGGTACCTAATAATGGTCAGGGCCTTATTTCGCATTAGTATCAAATCTTAATAATTATTTTCAGTGTGATGAAACATCCCAGCGGCAGGTTTCAATTTCTGTTTTCTACGTTCAGGTTTCGATGAATAAAACGCATTGAAAATACAAATGCAAAGCAGCTGTTTTATTGTTTTACTGTTGCAGTCGGAACAACATCGCCAGTGTGCACCTGGTCCCGTTGGGGGTGAGAACGGGCGATGTGGAGAGTTTCATGTGAGTTACTTACTGAAGTCTTTACTGTGAATTAATTTGCTTTGAATAGATAAAATTATTGCAAGTGATTCGGTGGCATTTTATGGGCTAACCATACACTTTGTTATGCGTTTATCTTCCACAAATCGACAAACTTTAAGCCACTCCCACTAACGGACTAAGTACTGTCCGCTATGCTAATTTACTCAGTGTGTACAGTGGATCTTACGTTAATACCTCCATCTACACAAAACATATTGATTCAATGAAGTCAGTTATTACTTAACTTGGTCCACGGTGCACAAAATCAATCATTTACAAATGTTTATTACGTCAGATATCGCCGAAGTTCGTCGATATTGACCTGAAGAGCAAGTAACTATCTCACTTAGTCATGCTCCAACATCCATGTTTATTTATTAGACTTTTATTTCACCCCATGTGCATGTTTGTTTGTTTGTTGTTTAACGCCGCACTCAGCAATATTCCTCCTATATGACGGCGGTCTGTAAATAATCGAATCTGGATCAGACAATCCACTGATTGACATCATGAGCATCGATCCAAGCAATAAGGATACTATGAATGCATTAACCAAGTCTGACCACCCGATCCCGTCAGTCGCCTCTTACGACAAGCATAGTCGCCTTTTACGGCAAGCATGGGTTGCTGAAGACCTATTCTACCCCGGATCTTCACGGGTATTGTAACCCGGATCGTAATAGGTTGAATACATGTAACCTGCTTGTAAGAGACACAATGAATCAAACACATCATACAGAACCAAATCAAACCCAATCAGGAATTTAGCATGATTATTGCATATATTCCATATATGTCACGTCGCCCTACCCCACCCAGTCTGGACCAGAAAAAAACGGTGGTCCACACAATCGGGGTATACCTCCACACAATCAACGCGAACATAGTCTGACCACCCGATCCGTTTCATATGATTCAGTAGAAAACCGAGGGAGGATATAGGAGTGATAGTGACGTCATTAGGACTTACATTTTTTATTTTTTTTTGGTTTTCGGATCCGCCTACCTTAAAAATCGAATAATTCGAAAATAATAAAATGACAATGAAATGCCGATGTCAGATTTAAGATTTATAATCTTTAAAAGGACCAAACCGGGACAAGATTTAAAAAAATATATCACTTACCGATCCAACACAAATATTTGATGATTACAAAATCCTTACAAAGCATTTTTTTTGCGACCTACCGGCCCAATCAATCTCTTTCAAAATCCGTAAACCAAAACTGAACTCATTTCTGGCCATTGTCTTAATATCTTTGTATACAAATTGGATGTATGAACTTTACCCTCAGACATTCATACATTTCAGGTCACCGAAACCCAATCACGACGATGTCGGGTAAGAGTGTCCCGTTTCTTTCATACATTTGATACACATTAAACACTTTATTGAATCTTACTTACTCTAATTAAGTCAGATATTGTTTAATATCTTATTAATATCATTGCGAAATCATTATAATTTAAAACTCCCATTTCATTGCCACAGTAAAGAATTTCCTGAAACCCTTTCCAAGCAATAATGACCCCGGTTACATGCCAGGCATTTCAGCTTTGCATGTGTTCGGAAACCAATATATGCTTGTCGTTTTCTGACACTCACACATTATGTACAGGCGTCGGATGAACATGACTCACAACAAGTCCCGACGGGTTCCCCACAGACCGGCCCCAGCCATCTTCCCACGGAACGACCCTGACCGCCAGCAGAATGACGGTAAGTTATTCCCCATCTTCCCGAGGCAAGTGAGTTAACCATCTTCCCGAGGCAAGAGAGTTAACTGACTTTAAAAGTCCAGTTTCCACCCTTGCCGAACTAGGCTGGAATTCCTGGGCTCGATCGTAGCGCCACCAGTGGCTGTTACGAGTTATGTCCTGTCTATGCCTCTTCTATTGACCAATCAGATTCAACCTCTCGTATCACTTGCATTTGCTTCAAATAAAACGGTGGCGCCCAGTCAAGACGATCTGATCGATAATCAAGATCTATATTGTGATAAAACGAGTCTAACATCGCGAAGTGCATCAAATCACGTGAGCACCTTGATTAGAAACATGAAAAGATTTAGAAAATATCTGTTGACAACGAGTTAGCGGTGCACATGCTTTGCAAATCCTTCAGTCGACCGAAATCTGCATGACACTTTACGAACCGGATTTCGATTTCGGTGCGCGATTTTGATTGGACTATGCATAGACTCGTTAGTCCAGCCAAAATGTAACTCCATAATACCAGCCTAGTTCGGCAAGGGTGGAAACTGGACTTTTAAAGTCAGTTAACTCTCTTGCCTCGGGAAGATGGTTATTCCCCACCTGTCTGTAACGTATTATTCCAGGATTATCATTGGAAATCAAACCCGGGGCATCAGCGTGACAAGCGTACATTTCAACCACTGGGCTACCCCACCGCCCCCTGAAGAAAGTGTAGACGGCTCTCTACGAAGTGGTCTTCCGGCAGCACTGACAGTACATGACAATACACGCTCGTCCTATGCGTACCAAGGTGGCGATTGGGTAGCCTAGTGGTTAAAGCGTTCGCTCCTCACGCCGATGACACGGGTTCGATTCCCGTGGGTACCATGTGTGAAGCCCATTTCTGGTGTCCCCCGCCGTGATATTGCTGGAATATTGCTGAAAGTGGCGTAAAACCATACTCACTCAATCACAATACGTAGTAAGATGGTTTTGTGGAATCTAAAACACCCGCGCACTTTCAGTCGTGGAGTAGACTAGGGCTTCATGGGAGTCTCATAATATAATGGGGATATACAATACCCTGGATAATCGAAGATGCAGTTGAGTAATAAATATATACACACGTCACTGATATTTCGTCCGTCTCCGTGGTCTTGTGGTAGAGTGTCTGTCCGGAGAGCGGAAGGTTCGGGTTCGATCCCTGGCCGCGTCATACCAAAAGACGTTAAAAGATGGTACTTGTTGTTACCCTGACTGGTGCTCGGTATTGAGGGGCTAAAAGAAGGACTGTTCGGCTCGGAGTCAGTATACTGTGTCTGAGTAGGTTATACATGTTAAACTGCAGCATGGTATCTCAGTGCGCTGGCATTATAAAATCTGCATCAGTCCGGAGTAGTACAAGCAGCCATACACATACACCACACACACACACGTGCATGCACGTCGCTATATAAGTGCAATAATATTGAACGTGACGTTAACCCCATTTCACCCTCACCACTTCTATGTCCGACGTATTCCACAGTTTGCCCAGAGAGTCTTCTACACGTTTCCTCCGTGGTGTAGTTGCTAGAGCGTTTGCCCGGAAGATCGGTGGATCGACCACCTGGTCGCGTTATACCAAAATACGTTAAAATATGTCACTAGTTACCCCGCCTAGCCGTCGGCATCGAGGGCATAATGCAACGACTGACCGGCGTGGGTCAGTATTATGTGTCTGAGTGCGCTATCCATATTAAACCACGGCATGGTATCTCAGTGGACTAACACTATGAAACTGGCAGAAGTTCGAAATAGTAGCAGCACACACACGTGCATACACGTCTCTATCCAAAAGTGAAATAATCTTGAACGCGACTGTGACCTAAACTCATATCCTGGTTTGCTGAAACGCATTCCATTCACGGTAGCTTCGTTTGTGAACATGCCTGGGGAAGTATGTAGGGTGTGTGCTTTAAACAGTGTTTCAGTTGTGTCATGGCGGGTCAGCTTGATCAACAAGTTAGGTAAGTCGAAAACGTTTACCCCTTTGTGGAGCCCAAATTACGGGTAAGAAGCTGAAAGACCCAACATCATCACCGGGATGAATTTAAGATTTGAACTAACGGCAATCGGATCCTTGTGTGACAAGGGGACGCAACTCCACAGCGGATTTTAGCTCCCGTGTTTTGTCACTTTACTGTTTCCAGGAATATATACAATAAAATGGCTCAGTTGTGTTGGTTCAACCTACTTAGATATATAAGTGTTTTCTTTGCTTTAACACCATGACAGGCACGTATGCCCTGAGTCGACCAACCAGAGAATGCTTGGCACAGTGCATGCGGGACCTGTACATCTGTCCCCGTGCCCCCACAACATTCCCGGACCACACCCAGAACATCAAGCGGACGATCCGGATGGAGAAGATGACCAAGCCAGGCAAACCAAATCCAGCGACAGTCCGGGAACCCTTGAAGGAATACGAGAATTTCCCGTACACGACCGCCGACAGGCAGTCATACTCCAACTCTAGTCTGGTCGACGATCAAGCAAAGTTTTTCGTTCCTCCCATTCAGAGAAGGTTCTCATATGCTAACGATCCTGATGTCAAGGAAGCAGAGGGAGATGATGACGTTGATGATGAAGAAGCCGCATCTCAAGAACAGGAAGATGACAATCCTTCCCAGCGGATCCCAGTCTTTGATTCTTTGATAAACATCAGAGCGAGACTGAGTCAAGAAGGCTGGAACCTGCCGAACGTGTACACCAAGATTCATCCATCATATGCTGATGCTGATAGCGAGCTGCCTCGGGTCGCTCACGGGCCCCAGGAACACCTTCAGCCCAAACAGGAGATGGGTAAACGTCCACGAAGAAAGAAGTCAGGCAGGAAACGTATAAACTGTGACTCTCCCAGTCTGTTCCCAGATCAACCGAAGATCATTGATCCCTGTAAAGCAAGAGAAGGCCTTCGCAAGGAACGGATCAAAATACGTTATCCGGAAGGGGCTCAAACTCGCATTCATACTGACTGCACTCGCCCCTTGAGGAAAGTCAGATTCGATGAGAATCCACCGAATGTATATGAGATAGGTAGAAACTCAAATTACCTGCCTTACTCGGTCTTGGTGCGGGAGGCCCAGAGTCGCGAGGAAGAGCAGGAGGGGAAGGAAGAGGACGAGGGGGATGAAGACCAGGAGAAGAGGGATGACGCAGAGTGGGGGACGGACGAGATGCTGGAAGCCGGGTGGAGGAGGAATACTCTCCTTCCTCGTCTACAGATTCGCGACTTCAGGAGCTTCTGCCATTCAAGGTAAGTTGCTGTCCATGCCTGGATCATAACGTGCGTTCTCACCTACAGAGTTAGAAATACCTGAGTTCATAAACATAGAATATTTAACGTGCTCCCGTGTAATTCCAATTTTATGAAACGAGTGAATAGTTCTGGTATCTGACGAGCGAAAGTGAGTTTAGTATTTTATTTATTACTTGCCGTAAATAACGTTTTGAATTTTTTACTGTCGCGTGTACATATGCGGGGGCAAAGGGACATATGCATAAGCTCTTCTCAGTTATTTCTCCTGTGGGAATCGGTTTGGGATGATAAATACTAGTTCAAATACAGTATCACTTCACGCGTACCAGTGTATGGTTTACATATACGTCATTGTTGACGTCATTCGAATCTGATTGTGACGTAAGATCGTCACTAGATCGATGTCACAGATGAAGATTGTGGACATTCGTAAATTGTGGTTTTCTGAGACTGCGGTCGTAGTCTGTGCATTTTTAAAGTGGAGCACAAAAGGATAAAGATCTAGAAATAAAGGATGATTTAGAAATTATTACAATCGCATGTATGTCATACTGATTTTACAAAACTCGTTTAAGAATTCATGTATTGTCTTCGTTCTCGCTCGGGAAATACAAGAATTCTGACGCTCGTTTCGTAAAATCAGTATGACTATACCCGTATGATAATCTCTACATATCTTTCGGGGCGGTCGGGTAGCCTAGTGGTTAAAGCGTTCGCTCGTCACGCCGAAGACCCGGGTTCGAGTCCCGACATGGGTACAATGTGTGAAGCCCATTTCTGTGATATTGCTGGAATATTGCTAAAAGCGGCGTAAAACCATACTCACTCACTCACTCACTACATATCTTTCAGTGGCATTTTAGAAGCTGCATAATCATTGAGGATAGGGTCGAGTTGTGAATTTAAACTTGTTTATTCTTTGAACTCGACGTGTTGGTACAGATGCTGGCACCTGCATTGCTTTCACCGGTACCGAAACCACTAAGTTCTTTCTAATGACAATAAGTACATGAACACCGAAAGTTTTGTTCTGATATTTTTGTCACTCGGGCAAAGAATTGGAAGTAATGGAAGGAGAGTGAGTGAGTGAGTATGGTTTTATGCCGCTTTTAGCAATATTCCAGCAAAATCACGGCGGGGTACACCTGAAATGGGCTTCACACATTGTACCCATGTCGGGAATCGAACCCGGGTCTTCGGCGTGACGAGCGAACGCTATAACCACTAGGCTACCCGACCGCCCCTAATGGACGAAGAAATGCCATTGTATGTGTTTGAGAAAAGTACTTCGTGCATACACATTCCACAAAGCGACTTTACTAGAGTTGGGTTTACCGACACTTTTAACAATATTCCAGTTATATCACGGCGTGTCAGTTTAATGTGGAAGGAAAGCCCGAAGTGATGCAGGTGTCCGGCGTTTACCACTTTGGTGAAACCCACGAGGACAGGCAAGCTGCTGAAAAAGCTAGAAACATAATAAGGGCGAATGTGGGATTCGAACCCAAGACCAACTGGGATCACCCGTGCTCCCTAGTTTAAACATGGACATTGTACTGATAATAGCGTCAAAATCACATTTGGAAACATCGCAAGACTTTATTAGCACGGGTTATTACAAGCGGACACGTGCGCAAACACGTGCAATAAGTGCAATACTATGGAACAACGTTAACACCATTCCACCTCACATCACGCCAGAACTGCCTCCACCAGAATCATGCAGATTCATCCTTGCTGTTACTGGAATTTGATGCTCTTTCTTCAAATGCAGGCACCACCTCATTCATGTGGAGGACGTCCCCGATCTCCGCGACAACAGGATCTACTCAAAGCGAATGTTCTTCGATGGAACCAATTCCTCCGTCTTCAGAGGCTGAGCTTGCTGTTGTAACATGAAATGTTGGACACGTATTGTAACATGCACGACTTAAACAAATCTATTTTGGGTGAAAAGAGCATGCATCCATCACACAGATTTTATTAATTATTGATTTATTTGTTGCCTTATATTCAAACTCAAGTTCTGTTCATTTCTTATTCGCTTATAATTGTTTGTTTACGGTTGTAGATTTATTTGGCAATATTTTACAAATGCAGTTGGTTTGTTCCGACGTCGTGTCTATTTTTGTTTGAAAGATGTTTATATAATCGATTTTTGTATGTTTATTTTATTACCATGACAACGAGGACTTTGTCAGCTCGTATTATCATAAGGCAGTTATAGTGTTGTCATAATTGGACGGTTAGTATGTTGCATCTTACGTCTTTTTTGTATTAAACTCCACTTGTGCATGGAATACTGATGCCCTATTTCATACTATAGATAATTTAGTTTCCTTTTATATCGTTGAATAATGGGGTTTGCCAGTTTGAAAACGTGTACTTTTTTCACGACTCCTTAGGCGTTGAAAATGTTTGTAGTATATAAAATTATACGTAAAATGTTAAATGCCTCATATGAAAGAATTGAACCTTTCCATGTTGAGATCATCTTCCCGAGGCAAGAGAGTTAACTGACTTAAGTCCAGTTCCCACTTTTATAGTCAGTTAACTCACTTGCCTCGGGAACATGTGTTGAGATTGAATAGCCAGTTGTGTTCTCCTGTTATACAAGGATGATTGGTTATTTGGGTATATAATAATTGAGTTTACTTTGTTTTTCTGTTTTTACCCAAGCATAAGTAGGGTTTGTGGGAATTATGGTGTTCGAGTTGAATGTATATTGATATCTGTCCGTGTCTGCATGGATTTATGTAGCTCTGTGAAACATATTTCAAATAAATATTTCTATACATGTTTAAGATTGCTTTTTATGTGTTCCATAGAATTCTGAACATAGGAATCGACCAAATAGTGAGTGATTGAGTTGGGTTTAACGCCGCTTTTAACAGTATTCCAGTTACATCACGGCGTGTCAGCTTAATGTGGAAGGAAAGCCCGAAGTGATGCAGGTCTCAGGCGTTTACCACTTCGGTGAAACCCACGAGCACGGGTATGGTGCTGACAAACCGTGCCCCATCGACAAAATATGGTGTTCACGTTCCAGCATGCGGCTCTAAGCATGATTCTACTATAACAGAAGGTAGTGCTGACAGGACTAATACAAGGTGAGGTGAGGTGAATTTTTTAAATTGGGTTTAACGTCGCGTCTAAGATTATTGCACTTACATAGCGACGTGCATGCACGTGTGTGTGTGTGTGTGTGGCTGCTTGTACTAGTCCGGACTGATTCCGATTTATAGTGCTAGCCCACTGAGATACCATGCCGCAGTTTAACATGAATACCCCACTCAGACACTGTATACTGACTCCGAGTCCTGACAGTCCTTGTTTTAGGCCCTTAATGCCGAGCGCCAGACAGGGTAACAACAAGTACCATCTTTTAACGTCTTTTGGTATGACGCGGTTGGGGATCGAACCCCGGACCTTCCGTTCTCCGGGCGGAGACTAATACAAGGGTTTCAGTCAGATGTCATGAGGACATATAGAGCAGGTAGACTAAGGTTCGGCATTTTCTTAAACACAATCGTGTCAACACATTAGAATTGTTTGTTTGTTGTCGCACTCAGTAACATGGCACGTATGTCACTGCAGTCTGTAAATCATCAACTCAGGACCAGACAAATCAGAGGTTGATGTCATGAACCACGTCACATGCTATCGGGTATAATTGAGTGAGTGAGTTGGGTTTTACGCCGCTTTTAACAGTATTCCAGTTATATCACGGCGTGTAAGCTTAATGTGGGGGGAAAGCCCCAAGTGATGCAGGTCCATGACGTTTACCACTTCGGTGAAAGCCACGAGCACGACAAACCTATAAACATAATTGGGGCGAACCGGGATTCGAACCCACATTCATAGGTTTCTGGCGCCTTAGACGACTGGGCCACCGTGGCCCCCTATCGGGTATAAACACACGCAATCAACCAATCAGTGAAATCGTAGCTTTGTACTGCGCCGCATTTGCTCTCAGACTTCCACTGGTTTGTTTGTTTGTTTGTTTATTGTTCAACGCCGCACTCAGCATTATTCCAGCTATATGAGGGTGGTCTGTAAACAATTCGAGTCTGGACCAAACAATTCAATGATTGACATCATGAGCATCGATCTACGCAATTGGGATCAGCGAGCCTGACCACCCGATCCCGTTAGTCGCTTCTAACGACAAGCATAGTCGCCTTTTACGGCAAGCTTGGGTTGCCGAAGACCTATAATTCTACCTTCACGGGCTACATCCACTGAATACTGCCAGATCTTTCCTATGGAAATGAACTTCAGGCGTCGAATGAAACGATCGTTGTCTCAAATTAGGAAGTACATTCGATCACATAATATTTTAAAACTAATGACTCAGGCACTCAGTTGTAAAGGTAAGGTTTGACTATTCAAAGGGTACATGAATTAGGAACAAGAGGAATATATAATTGTGCACCACATTTTGTAATATTTCTGATAAACTGTGCAAAATCAGCCTGACGTTAGTTTGACGAGATGAATCGTAGCTTGGTATTTGCGACCAATGGATGCTGGACAGGACTAAAAATAGAGCAATAAGGCGACTTCCATTTCAGACTATGCTTGAAAAATATGTTGACACAGTTCTCGATTAAAATTTTGAAAACTGAACAAACGAACATTCCGGAATGTCTAATATGTGGTTGAGATTGTATGGCAGTGCTTCCCAGGTACTGTGCAACGCCTCCTCCGTTCAAATGTTTATCCCACGGAAGCGAAAGACAGACGATAATTTTGACGGAATCAGTCGTAGGGGCCGTAACTGTCGTTCGGAATACCCCGTGTTAACGTTTTCGAGGTTGCATGATTAGGAAACACATTCCGACTGTCACTTTCACGATTTGGTAAGCGATGCTTTGATTGGTCGGATAAAAGATCGTTCTGACGTGACCCGTAATGGGATGTCCTCAGATCTTTGTTTAGCGATAGCGAGAACAAAGATCTGATTTTCATGAGATTGGTACGGTCCAGAGTGGTTAATATTATGTGACACGTCCGGCGCCGATATTACCATGACAACACATGGAGCCTGATCACCAGATACATTAAGTAAAAAGCACAGATTACTTGGGAGTATAACTGTTCCAGTCAAAACAGAGGCTAACAGCATGAGTACCCATTAAACGTTCTGGAATGATGACGCACAACCTGAACCAACTGATCCACAAAAATATTTATTCAATCGTATTACAAATACAATGTATATATCTAAAATGCATAAAATGAAACTTATAACAATCGTCTTAGGAAAAAAACCTACAATATTGGGGTGAGCGGAAAGAGATGAGCATTTAGTTAGGCGACCTATATTAAACTTCAGGTATGTCAGACAGACATCTACTAACAACTTGGTATGTTTCAACAGCATGTGTAAAAGAAGCTAAACAGCAATCATAAATAAAGCAAAACATCTGACGTAAACACAAATCCGCAGATTAACAAAACCGTCACCCATAAGGTATTTAGTGTGTCTCACATAATCCTAGCTACAACACATCCAATACGAAACATATACACTGAAACCCAGTTAATCTACACACCCTTGGTCGGACACCGTGTCTATTGGGTGATACTGAGTTAAACAATCTACAAAAATATTTGTTAGTACCGACATCAGTTCATCCAGATTTGTGGGGGTTCTTATGTATTTTAGAGAAAGGAATTTCCACAACAAAGTCTCACTTACATTTGGAGTTTTATGTACTTTAGACATGGATTTATATGATAAATTCTCATTTACAGTATCTTCCCAAGGCAAGGGAGTTAACTGACTATAAATGTCTAGTTTCCACCCTTGACAAACTAGGCTGCAATTATGGAGACTATTTTGGCTGGACTAACGAGCCAATAACGAGTGCATAGCCAATCAAAATCCCGAAATGAAATCGACGTCCTATACGTAAAACTGCCGTGCAGATTGCAAGATTTGCAGAGCATTTGTACTGTCAACTGGGCATCGACAGATATTTTCCAGATCTTTCATGTTTTTAATCAAGGTGCTTGATGCACTTCGAGAGGTAAGACCCGTTTTATTACAATATAGATCTTGACTATCGACCAGACTGGAAGCCGCCATTTTGTTTGAAGCAAATGCAAGTGATATGACAGGTGGAATCTGATTACTCTTAGGAGGGACAATCTCCTCACAGCGATAGCCCGTTCGCGGAGCTCTATATATGTTACCGAGAGTGTAACGAAGGTGTCACGCGCTGGGAAGGAGCTTGATAGGAGGGACATAGAAGGGACATAACTCTTATTATAAACCTATTCATTGGGATCGCTATTAAGTAAGAGACTTCTTTCTATAGGCATTAAAACCTATTGTGAAGTTTTACTTTCAAGTCGGGTTAATCTCATAAACAGGGACGTTGTAATGTCCCTGGGATTTTATATAATATCCCGGGAATTTTATATAATGTCCTGGATATTTTATTAATATAACTTCCGTTCAGATTGTAACATGTAATGAAATGTTTTCTTTATATTCCCGAGGATAGAACCCGCAACCTTCATATCTCTTGCCTAGTGAGTGTACCACGAGGCTACAGATGTGTTGATAAGCCTCACTGGTTTTTAGAATGTCCTTTTCAAGATCCGTACGCCAGCAACAGATATTTTACGCGCGTTTCCTAAGGTTCATGGAAAGTATGTTCGAAACATAAAAATGTTGAAAAATATTGTTTTAAGTTTCTTTTTTCGGTTTATAAGCATGGAAAAACGCTTTCCCTCGGTTTTGGTAGACAGAGCATGCCCTGGGGGTCGGGAAAAACCGCGGGGGCTTCGCCTCCTTGTTTTTTCCCTCTCCCCAGGGCATGCTCTGTCTACCAAAACCTCGTGAGCGTGTTTTCTCCAATACATAGCCACTGGGGGCGATACGATCGAATCCGGAAATTTCAGCCTAGTTCGGCAAAGGTGGAAACTGGACAATTACAGTCAGTTAACTCCCTTGCCTCGGGAAAATGCACTCACATATGGTGAATAATAATTTATATCACACAGTAATTATAGTAAGATGCAAACGAAACAAGAGTTTCATCCCTTGGCTTAAACATCAACAGTAGACCAGATAACAGTAAACGCACACCTGGTTATGTCAATTTTAGCTGCCTGTACGTGACATTTGAAACAATCTCATTTAAATCACAGAAGTCATGATCTTCCAAAAACAAGGCACATTTCATACAAATAAACATTCTTCAAAATACAAAAACTGAAAAATATGTATCAAAAGGTCGCATCACATACGCTGACAGCTTAAGTCTGTTTTACTAAAACTATTTTCACAAAAATATGTCATCATAAGTTTTGATTAAAAATCGCATATTCTAATGAATGTTCCGGTCAATGTCTTAATTTGACAAAGAATAAAGAGACACTTAGTCACATTTTGTCCCTGTCTTATAAAAAAACATTTTTCAAGGGGAATAATGTTCCACAATGTGGTGTCAAATCTTGAATTAATATATGTATTTATTGTGTGAGATATTATCTCTTTTCAACCAGGGAATAATTTACTAACAGGTTATCATCAAACACAGTGGAATTTGAACGACTCCATTTAAACTTGTCTGGACAACCAATTTGTCCGAGCATATGCCCCCATTTTAAGGCTAGTGTTGATGTCTGAGGGGGCTATGTAATCAAATACAATACTATTGTTATGAATGAACATTCTTACTACATGTTAGGGAGAAGTGTTAGTAATTGCAATTCAGTATACAACAAGAGTTTGCAACAAACGTGGCTATATCCCCCGCCCCTGTTGCAGAATTTATGACAAAATTAAATCTAAACAAACCCTTACATTTTTTAACCGAGGTGGAAATTGCCAAAAAAAGAAGAGTTTGGAACCTAAGTCCATCTTGCTGCCATGGAAACGTAAAAAATAAAAAATTATAAAATTTCTAAATAGCAAAAAACACCAGTTCAGCATGTACCTGACAAACCTGCAAAGTTTCATGAAAAGATATTGAATGGTTTCTGAGTTATGCTCCGGAAACGAAACATGACCGACCGACGGATGGAGCCCGCTTCTATATCCCCCGCCAACTTTGTTGGACTTTGTTGGTCGGGGGATAATTACATTAAGTACCTATAATTAATGGAATAAATTTGTTTAAATTAAAGGTCCCATAGGTCATAGCTCATTCATTCTCAAATGTTTCTGTGAACTGTGTCTGAAGTTGTTGCGGGTGGTCGACAGTGTATTTGAGAGTTATCTCCCTTGATACCTGTTTGTCAAGGTTCAGCTTCCACACAATGTGGTTTTGTTTGGTGATGTGTGGGTTAGTATTCTTCTCTGGGTGTTTCATATCAAGACAGGGTTCCAACAGCGCCACCTGCAAAGAAAAAATAACCTTCTGCTAAATAACTAAACATAAAATGCATTGACAAAAAGAAGACAGAGACAAAGTCATCTATGTACATGATGAACCCAACCACTGATCACACTCACAGTCCTGAGAAAAGAAGTAGCACCAGTGATATTAATCGGCTCATAAATTGGCAAAGGTTTTTGGAGAAATAATATGTTTGTGAAGATCGCTTTGCATGTATAGTGTGTCATGGTGTGTGTTATTTCATCTAAAACCATAATCGACAAACAAAATGAAATATTAATGCCTTTTTCTTGCAGACAGTGGTGCGTATTGAGAACTATATTCAAGTGTCCTTTGAACACAGTTTGTTATCTTAATAATATATAATCAAGATAAAATACATATTAAATTTAACTTAGCACCTGTTTATGTAGGAAAACATAACTTCTTTGATAGACATTTAGAAGTTGGAGTACTAAGTACGGATAAGAATTTATGGATGAAAACTTCTTTATTACAATTAAGAGCAACGTTTCAGACTTGATAACGGTGTTAGAACCTACACTTAAACGTCGCTCTTAATTGTAATAAAGAAGTTAATCCATAAATTCTTATCCTTACTCAAGAAAACATAACTGAGCTCCTTAACATAAAACATCTCAAACCAAGATCCTCCTGAAAATCAAATCGTAGCTCCTTCAGAATTTGTTGCCTTTGAAACACAGAAATCCTGAATTGCTAAAGGCAAAAGATCAACACTTGCCTGGTGTGTTTACTAATTTTCAGGAACAAATACTGAAATGTTATGAGTTATGTGCAAGAAACAAAATATATACAGGCAGAAGCACTGACTGTTTGGCCTAATTTTGTTTGTTGATTATGTTGCATACTTACTGTAATTCATGTTTAAACATGTTAAAGAATGTGGCAAATATACTCAATCCTGGTAACAGATTTCAAAATCTTCCCTGAATTGTCAGCATTCACAGCTCACATAAAGTCATATACCACAGGGCAGGTGTCATACCTTTGTATTATTTGTTTTATCTGACTTCAATTTGCCATTTTTGTGTAAGTACACATCAGTTTCAATCTGTTCAAATATTTTCTGATAAATAATAATATTTTTTAACTTGTCCTGACATGATAAAATCCTACTGTTTTGAGACACTACTGTATTCGACGTAATAAGTACCCCGCTCTAATAAGCGCCAACGGCGATATTTGCTAATATATTGTCTGGTAAACAATCCCAAGTAGCACCCTTCTGATTGACCAATGTACACAAGACTTATTTATTCGTGTATAATACGCACTCGTGTGTTATATGCACCCTTAATTACGGATAATTAAATTCTGGAAAAAATATATTTGTCGTGTATAATACGCACAGACTTTTCTTCTGTATCATTTCATAAGCCATGAAATTTACGATCTTTCAACTCTTTCACCAAAACTATATTCTAATAAGAGCCCCTTATTTCTAATTTTGAGAGCCCCCTGGCGCTTATTACGTTGAATGCGGTATGTCAATCTTTCAGATTCTTAAAGATATTTCACTTTTTCAAAATGTTTTTGATTTGAAAAAAAGAAACCTAACATTTTGATTAAAAATGCCATGAGCAAATATCAGTCAGGGTAGGGTGCTGCCATGGCTGGACATACTCCTAGAATTTCAGGGCCATTTATAAAATAGAAGATGTTGACGGACAAAACGAAGGAAAGATGGATGACAGACAACAACCCAGGCGATAGGCAAGCTTTTTGCAAAAAAAACCTGTAAATCACTTAATACAATGCCTTATTTCATCAGTACATTTATCATGGAAAATCAAAGAGCTGCTTCAGTATGGCTTACCTTGATTTTCTCATCACTACTGCGTGGCAGCTGGAGTTTCAGGACAATATCGATGGTGTACTCATGAGTGTTCTTGATCTCCACCACTTGCTCGAAGGTTGTGGTGGTGGACTTGCTGATGAGACCCGAGGAGCCCATGAACTTCTTGAGTGGCTTATACATCACCCTGACCGCAGGATCGACACCCAGGGAACACAAGAACTCCTCCCCCGGAGACACCAACTTGATCTCAGCCTGGCAATAGAAGCAGATGTTACCACAGGGATAGAACCTGATTGTCTTTTCTGTCTGACCTACTTTGCTGTGGGCGACCTATGTGATCAGGTTGTCAGAGTCCTTGACTTGGTTGATGCATGTCATTGTATCCCAGTTGAGTAGATTGATGCTCACATTGTCAATCAATGGATTGTCTTGCCCAGACTCAATTTTTCACAAACCGCCCCGTGATCTATAGCTGTCATATTGCAGAGTGCGGCTTTAAACAACATACATACAAAGAAAAAACATTGCAGTGTGACTTCCTTTGCTGCACGTGACTTACTTCGTTGTGTACCTTACTTTGTTGTGTGATTTACTTTGCCGTGTGACTTACTTTGCTGTCCGACTTACTCTGTTGTGTGACTTACTTTGTTGTATTACTTACTTTGCCGTTGTGTTACTTACTTTGCTGTTGTGTTACTTTGTTGTGTGACTTTGTTTTGTTACTTACTTTGTTTTTTTTTGTAACTTTGCTCTGTGACTTATGTTACTGTGTGACTTACTTCGTTGGGTGTGTTTCTTTGCTCTGTGACTCACTCTGTTGTGTAACTTACCTTGCTAAATCAAATCACTCTCAACAAATCTAAAAGATCTTATATCCTCACCTTAGCAACAAAGCTGTTGTCAAGGAATATACTTGTTGCCCCGGGTAACAGTGTAAACATGGAGTTGTTGGTGACCTTGGCCTGCAGATATGCCCTGGGTTCGACCTTGGGGAGAGTGATATATTCCAGCTTGGGCTTGACATCGAATATTCCAACAGACACCTTGTGTGGCATGTTGTCACTCGGGATGGTTGACTGACGCGCTATTTCGTAGGATGTACTGGTGGCAGATTCATTCACCTGAAATCGCAGAGAGATTAAAGGAAAGGGGATCATGGATAAATGAGACAGCAAAAGAGGGTAGTTGCAGAAATTTACTCAGCGGCCAGTCATTTATTATATACTGAGTCAAATTAAAAACTTCACATTTTTAAAAGTAATCCCATATATGATATACAACAGACAAATGTATCAGAGAAGGTAAATTTTAATCATTAATGTCCAAAGAAGGTTTTTAACTAACAGTGTAAACCATAATTTGTTCCAAGCACCTACGGTATTCGGTAATAACATCAACAGTTTAAATCATAAGTCCCAAGCACGAGAATCTGATGGCACACAATTTCTGTAGCGTGTATGGCCACCATGTGCGTTGACACCTGCCACACAACGCCTTCGCATGGACCTTGTGATGCTTGTGAACACATGATTGGGAAGACGACGCCATTGTTGCTGCAAAATGGTGCCAAGATCTTGCAAATTCTGTGGTTGGTTCTGGAGAGTGCGCAGACTTCTGCCAAGAGCATCCCAGACGTGTTCAATGGGATTGAGGTCGGGAGACCTTGACGGCCCGACCATGACGTTGACTCCCGCATTCTGAAGGAAATTCCTTGTCAAAATTGCTGTGTGGGGTCTGGCATTGTCGTGTTGGAAGATCAAACCGGGTCCATGTGCCGCCATGAAAGGCAGAAGTTCTGGTGCCAGTACCTGGTCGTGGGAAGCAGCAGCGTTGAGGTTTCCACGGATGACAAGAAGCCTGGAACGTGCATTGCCACAGAAAGCACCCCACACCATGACACTTCCGCCTCGAAATCTGTCAACTTCCTGTACACAACACTGGGTGTAACATTCATGACAGCGCCTCCACACCCTCGCCCTACCATCAGCAAATCGAAGATTAAATCGGGATTCATCACTGAAGACATCTTGAGTCCATTGTAAGTGTCGCTGTGCCCACAATTGACGTTGACGTCTGTGTAATTGAGTCAGAATCGGCCCACAGTATGGCCGTCGTGCTTGAAGGTGAGCAGTTCTCAGACTGTTTCGAACAGTTTGCGCACTCAGTCTCCCCCTAAAGAGTTCATTTCTGGTTGATGTAGCTGTCAAAAATCGGTAAAGGGGGTGACGTAGGACTGTCTGACGATCCTCTGCATGTGACGTCACACGTGGTCTACCTGGCTGAGGGCGATCAGCGGTGCTGCAGACGTGTCTGTAAATCATAAACAGTCCGTCGACTACAACCCATCGTCCTTGCGACTTCAGCTACGGACGTTCCCGTCTGCAACATGCTGATGGCACGTTAATGTTGCACATTTGAAAGGCGTGGCAAGAAAATGTCCGTAAAGACTTATGTTTTCTTGTGTTTTTCTTTTTTTGTTAATGACTGCTAACAAGTATGGCTGAAAACACGTGCGGTATTATGGGCCAAGTGACCAGTTGCACGTGAAAAAACACTTTTGCCACTATAGTGCTGTGCACATGATTTTCATCAATTCACCTGCACAAAAACGGGTGTTATCTGAAGACAATACGTGGCCATTACTGTTTAAATACACAATAAGGGCCCACAATGATAACTGGTCAAAATGTTAAAATTTTAGGATTGTGAAGTTTTTAAATTGGTTCAGTATAGTATAGGTGGGGGCAGTCATGAGAAAATATTATATGCATTTTGGGGTGAATAAAATTAGGGGGTGGGGGAGATTTTACAGAAAATATTTTATTGTTTGACATTTCTCTGTTTTGAGCTTGTTTGTCCATGTATCAAAGTGAGGTTGCTCTCCGTTCCCACCTCGCAAATGTATTATGCACATAACACAAAACTGTTATATAATGCTGGTTCGTTCATAAGCAGTCCTCAATACGTCTATCTCGTTCTTAGTCAGTCTGCAGTCCGTTTGTATCCAGTTCAGATCGTGTAAAAGTGTCCATTCACCTCATCCTGACAATATTTTGAAGCAGTTCGAGCACGTTTGTAGCCGTTCTGAACCCGTTCTTAACCAGTTCAACCTCATTCTACCTCGTTTACAATACGTCCAAGCCAGTTCTAACTTATTCTTAACCCGGCCAAACCGTTCGCAGTACGTCCTCATCTCGTCCCAAGTGCGTGTGTATTCGCGTCCTGGCCCGTCCTGGCCCGACTCCTATGGATACCAAGCGTGTTGTAGCCAGTCTTCATTCCAGTTCAGGGCTCCGAGCTGTACACATCATGCCTCCAAAGAGAAGTTGACCCGGTCGGTGTGCACACGTACTGAAATTTATGTCCTACTGCACCACGTTGTAACACGTCCCTAGTAGAGTCCAAGTACGGCAATTCCGTTTGAAGTATGGCAATTCCGTTCAGACTACGTCTTTCTCGTTTTAAGTACGTTGCCAATCCGACTAATTGCAGAACGGGATGGACAGGATAAAATTTTGAGCAGACTCAAAGTTCTAGAGCACCCTCCCCATTCGTAAAAAGACTGTCAATAGTTGCTACTACGTCCACTATGTTCATACACAGTGGGAGCCCATTCAACAACATTTTCACGCACGTATTGAGAACTAGTTTGGTGTGATGGGGGTATAAGAAAACAAAGAATTCCCATTATGATGCAAGACGTCTTCCTTAACATTCAGTCTACTTGACTGACCAGACAGAAGTGTCAACACATGCAGTGACAACACATGTTGTGACAAGACAGAAGTTAAAACACTCAACACAGAAGTGAGAACACATGCACAGCGGAACACATGTGGTGACAACACATGCAGTGACAACTTGTAGTGACAAAATGTGCAGTGACAAGACAAGTGATAACACATGCAGTGACAACACATGCAGTGACCAGACAGAAGTGACAACACATGCAGTTACAACTCATGTGGTGACAACACATGCAGTGACAACACATGCAGTGACAACACATGCAGTGACCAGACAGAAGTGACAACACATGCAGTTACAACTCATGTGGCGACAACACATGCAGTGACAACACATGCAGTGACCAGACAGAAGTGACAACACATGCAGTTACAACTCATGTGGTGACAACACATGCAGTAACAACACATGCAGTGACAACACATGCAGTGCCAACAAATGTGGTGGCAACACATGCAGTGACAACACATGCAGTGACAACACATGCAGTTACAACACATGCAGTGACAACACATGCAGTGACCAGACAGAAGTGACAACACATGCAGTTACAACTCATGTGGTGACAACACATGCAGTGCCAACAAATGTGGTGGCAACACATGCAGTGACAACACATGCAGTGACAACACATGCAGTTACAACACATGCAGTGACAACACATGCAGTGACCAGACAGAAGTGACAACACATGCAGTTACAACTCATGTGGTGACAACACATGCAGTGACAACACATGCAGTGACAACACATGCAGTGACCAGACAGAAGTGACAACACATGCAGTTACAACTCATGTGGTGACAACACATGCAGTGACCAGACAGAAGTGACAACACATGCAGTGACAAATCATGTGGTGACAACACATGCAGTGACCAGACAGAAGTGACAACACATGCAGTGACAAATCATGTGGTGACAACACATGCAGTGACCAGACAGAAGTGACAACACATGCAGTGACAAATCATGTGGTGACAACACATGCAGTGACCAGACAGAAGTGACAACACATGCAGTGACAACTCATGTGGTGACAACACATGCAGTAACAACACATGCAGTGACAACACATGCAGTGCCAACAAATGTGGTGGCAACACATGCAGTTACAACACATGCAGTGACAACACATGCAGTGACCAGACAGAAGTGACAACACATGCAGTGACAACACATGTTGTGACAAGACAGAAGTTAAAACACTCAACACAGAAGTGAGAACACATGCACAGCGGTAGAAACTAACAGTTTTAGTACACTAGTCTTTATAATGATAACATATAGCAAAACCCTTAAAAAGGGCAAATTTCTACTCGTCCTTATGACACCTTAACTATTGAGGAGTTAAGCAAAGACTACAGTACAGATCTAGTGACAACACATGCACTGTGAGGACAGAAGTGACAAAACATGCAGTGTCAAGACAGAAGTGAGAATACATGCAGTGACAACACAGAAGGTACAAAACATGCAGTGTCAAGACAGAAGGTACAAAACATGCAGTGTCAAGACAGAAGGTACAAAACATGCAGTGTCAAGACAGAAGGTACAAAACATGCAATGTCAAGACAGAAGTGAGAATACATGCAGTGACAACACAGAAGGTACAAAACATGCAGTGTCAAGACAGAAGGTACAAAACATGCAATGTCAAGACAGAAGTGAGAATACATGCAGTGACAACACAGAAGGTACAAAACATGCAGTGTCAAGACAGAAGGTACAAAACATGCAGTGACAAGACAGAAGTGAGAATACATGCAGTGACAAGACAGAAGTGAGAATACATGCAGTGTCAAGACAGAAGGTACAAAACATGCAGTGACAAGACAGAAGTGAGAATACATGCAGTGTCAAGACAGAAGGTACAAAACATGCAGGGACAAGACAGAAGGTACAAAACATGCAGTGTCAAGACAGAAGGTACAAAACATGCAGTGTCAAGACAGAAGGTACAAAACATGCAGTGACAAGACAGAAGGTACAAAACATGCAGTGTCAAGACAGAAGGTACAAAACATGCAGAGATAACACAGAAGTGAAAACACCTGGATACCTTTGTCTCGACATACGACATTGGAGAGGGCAGTGCCATGCATAGATCATCAGACCCGTAATCTGCAAATCCTGCTTCCTCCAGGGACAGGGCAGCCATTGGGGCCGATTTCAAAGAAAAGCTCCCTGTCTTCTTTCTAAGAGACCTGTTATTGGTTGTAAGAAACAAATCTTATAGTACTTGAAATAAACCTAAATTAGAAAAAGTACAACTTCATGGAAAACGATATTAGTTGTTAAGTTGTTATCCATAAAGTTGTACCTCTTCTTATTTACTCACCAACTTCATGAATGCCCATCAAACAACTGAAATAAATAAACCTACCGTTGAATGAGTGTAGACCATGAGTTGAGGAGGTGAATCACATCTAAGTCTTGCAGAACAGGAATACACATCTTCACAATAAGAATCGTGCAAGGAAGTATCCCCAAGAGAGTGATTGTTTGCTCTGGCCAGAGGCATGAATCTAAACATCAGAGTATCTCCTGTATGTTTATGTTTAACACAGACCTACAGGTGTGATCTGAGTTACCCAGTCTAGTAAGATCTTAGTTACTCATGGTCTTGTGAGATCTTAGTTCGACAGAGTCTAGTGAAGTCTTAGTAAGAGTCCTGTGAGGTCTTTGTTACCCACGGTTTAGAGAGATCTTTGTTACTCATGGTCTAGTGAGATCTTGGAGAGCCAGCATCTAATGAGATCTTGGTAAGCCAGAGTCTTGTGAGGTCTTAGTTCGACAGAGTCAAGTGAAGTCTTAGTTAGAGTCCTGTGAGATCTTAGTTACTCATGGTCTTGTGAGATCTTAGTTACTCATGGTCTTGTGAGATCTTAGTAATAGTCCTGTGAGATCTTAGTTACTCAAAGTCTGGTGAGATCTTAGTTACTCATGGTCTTGTGAGATCTTAGTTCGACAGAGTCTAGTGAAGTCTTAGTAAGAGTCCTGTGAGATCTTAGTTACTCATGGTCTTGTGAGATCTTAGTTACTCATGGTCTTGTGAGATCTTAGTAAGAGTCCTGTGAGATCTTAGTTACTCAAAGTCTGGTGAGATCTTTGTTTCCCACGGTCTAGAGAGATCTTTGCCACTCATGGTCTAGTGAGATCTTGGAGAGCCAGCATCTAGTTAGATCTTGGTTAGCCCGAGTCTAGTGAAATCTTAGCTACCCCTGGGTCTAGTGAGAGCTTGGTTGTCCAGTTTGGTGAGATAGTAAGCCAAAGTACAGTGAGATCTCAGCATGTCTAGTGAGATCTTAGTTAGCCTGTCTAGTCTTGGTTAGCCAGCATCAGGTGGGAATGATTTCTGCAATATCACACCTTAAATGGATAGCTAACAAGGTTTTAAAGTTGTCTAAAACAATTGTCTGAAGACTGGTTATTCAAAATTCAACTGTATAAGTAAAGCAACCGCAGAATTCGGAAGAAAATATGTCAGAAAACAAAAAGGAAGGATAGTAATACGTTACTTCCTTATGCACCCTGTATTAATATCACCAAGTGATTGCTCAGGACGCTACATAAAGACAAAGGCTTGAGATCATCCTGTGGCACTTTTAGAAGAGAAACATTTTTAATCTTGACTGAAACCTGCTTAGTGACCAAGATTTCTTGAAAGTGAGGGGCAGATTGTACCAAAGGCAAAATGACGTGAAGGAGACATTTTTCATGGCTGAAACGTTAACAGTGTTGCTGGGACAATGGCTGGGACAATATGAGCTTTGGGCTGTTGGTTGATCTGAGTGTCCTTGGAGGAATGTATGCTTTCACCAAACGTATTGGGTATGATGGAGGCTGCTCCATCGGTATGTCACATATGTATGTACCGTATTCAACGTAATAAGCGCCTAGGGCGCTCTCAAAATTAGAAATAGGGGGCTCTCATTAGAATATTATTTTGGTGGAAAGATAAATTTAGTGGTTTATGCTGACGGCCTGAACTGTTTATATATGACAGATATATTTTTCCAGAATTTAATTGCCCATAATTAAGGGTGCATATAACACACGAGTGCGTATTATACATTGATCAATCGGAAGGGGTGCTAATTGGGATTGATCACTTGCCAATATATTCACTTGCTTATTACGTCGAATACGGTATATTAATCATGTTAATGAGACCTTTCAGCTCCATACGACTTCATGTCTGGAGTAATGATGGTATGTAAGGGTGAAATATCATAGGAGAGCAAAGTAAACTACACCAGTCATCCATACTATTTGTAAGATTGCCTCTGTCTAGACCGTCCTACCGGATAGTGGAAGGTCCAGGGTTTGATCCCCGGCCACATCATACCAAAAGATGATAAAAGATGGGACTTGTTGTTACCCTGTCTGGCACTCAGCATTAAGGGGCTTAAGGGGCTTTGACAAGGACTGGTCCGCCGATCGCCAGATTCCATTCACCAAGTGGATGCTTATAGCGCTACACTATTATTACCCCGGTCAATGGATCAGTGATTTACATTCTCAGCTCCCTGGGGAGTATACAACCCAAACTGCCTGTGAGGCGCTAGAAGGTTAACAGACACATTACCATCTCATCATACCGGGTACCCACTCACTGCTGGGTGAACAGAAGCACATTTCGAACAAAGTCACTTGCCTAAGGAGACACCACATGTGTTACATGTGATTCATTGTGGGGCAGGATCGAAGCCCTAGAAACTCTCAGGAGTCAAGCTGCTTACCGTGGTCCACCATCCACCTACTCTCCGAGACCAACGTTGCTTAACTTCACCTGATTTGTGATCTGTGCGCTGTGCACAGGACCACATGCCACCACAATGTAGGTAGCATTAGAAACTGTGATATACCTGCTGCGATAGTTGAATGATCTGAGATGTTGGATGCTGAGAACAGCGGTGCCCAACTGCGGTACCGAGCCTCCGACACTGGGACTGGCAGTCGATAGGAACAGTTTAGCATCCATCCAATCCTCACCAGTTATCTGAGTTATCTGCCCATAGTACATGATCTGAAAAAGAAGGTGTGTTTCTCAAATATCTCGTGTATCATATCTCCATTCTATAATGATACCCAAGTGAGCTACCACAGGACATATCGTTCGGGTCAGATCAATGAATTGCATCACAATGCTTTGCAGAATACTGTGAAGTCATCTGTTACCATGACATCAGACCTGTGAAGATCCTGGGTAGAATAGGTCTTCAGCAACCCATTCTTGTTGTTAAAGGCGACTATGCTTGTCATAAGTGGCGACTAACGGGATTGGGTGGTCAAGCTTGCTGACTTGATTGATGCATGTCATCGTATCCCAATTGTATTATATGTTTATAGTGCATCACAATATATTACAATGCACAAGGCCGTATTGCGATATGTATCCGATATATTGTATAATTCAAAATTTTGAATTCAGAATCAATTTGAAACATTAGCGAAGGAATTGATGTTCATAAATGGAAAAACAAGATGCTGGAATGTTCCCTCATTCAAAAATATACATGCAAGGATGAACGCTCCGGGACAGTGATGACTTGGTGTTACACCACTGCCACACGAGAAGTCCAGAATGTGAACTTTGCATTTTGGAATTACGGAAATATTTCGAAAGTACATGTATTTGGCAAGTGTGTAACATTAAACACATGATATAACTTGCTGTTTGAAATCAACCGATATACCAAACATAAAAACAAGATATTGTGATACGTATCATGGTGAGAATAAACCTCAATTCACTGATATACCGGATATACTGCACTCTTAATAAAAAATAATACACATATTTTGGGAGGGCCATAAAAAGCAGACATTTTATAATATTAAAATATAAAGTGCTTTTGCATTTTGTCTTATCAGGGAAAGTCACAAAAATGTACAAAGACATATGTGTGTGAGAGAGAGAAAGACTTATCAGGTTACAGTAGTTTAAAACAACTGTCTTCATCTTGAAGATGATGATTTTGGTGACACTCCTTTTATATTTCATGTTAAGTTGTTATGTTCTCCATGATATGCAAATAGTATCTAAAAATAATCAAATCTAACCATTTTGTTTCTTTTTTTTAGAATACATTGCACAAATTGCAGTAAAAATTTTCCAGAATCAAAATACTAATACCCCTGACATCGACTCCAAAATCAGCTGAAAAACAATTTTGATATTGGAAATATAATGATGCCATAACATGTGACCTGGTTTCTTTTAAAAACCACAATAATATAACATAGTAATGGCATGATTCAAAGATGCACTGGTGCATCATCGGCAAGCTTTGCCAGATACAGTACTAGTACTTGACATGAAAAAAACCCCAACATTTTCTCAGAAAATCCACTTATCAAATTCAAACTTTGCACTGCACCTCTCCTATTGGTATAGAAACTGTACCCCCTATTAGAAAAGAGTCCATGAAGTAGTTTTCAAGTTATATGTTGAACAAATGTTGAAGTAAAAAGAAACTTCAAATTTCAAAACATATAAAAATTCATTTTTCTCTCAGAAAATCCACATATCAAAATCAGAAGCCAGTAATATAAACAATGTGAGAGAAGACCCCAATCATAATCCCATTGTTTATATTACTGACTTCATTCTTTGTTTATGGCACTGACTTCACCGATGATTGTCATCACTACCCTTGCGTGTACATAACAGGCTTCTCTACTCCAGTATAACAATTCTATTAAACATTGCCTCCTACTTGTATAGATACTTGTCAACCACACTCTGTAAATCTCTTGCTTGAAACGTTGCTCTTAATTGTAATAAAGAAGTTGTTCATCCATAAATTCTTATCCTTACTTAGTACTCCAACTTCTAAATGACTATCAAAGAAGAAATCACATTTAGTTGTACAGGGCACACTCCACTACAGTGGTGTCAATACAAACTCTTACACAACATCCTACCTACTACAAATCTGTTAAAAAAATAAAGGGTTATGTCTACAATGAAACATGAGACTTTTGTAAATAACAATCACAAACTATACAACATGTGTTTGGGGACTGTAGAAAAAAAATCGCCCACATACTTGGAAAGTTGGCTTCTTGAGAAAGCAGAATTGAAAATCATTCTTAACAAGGAGAAAATATTTCTTGCTTTCCCGGATAGAAAATAATGACCCTTTAAATATAATCATTATGTTTGTTAAGGACTCAACTCAAATATTCAACTTAAACTGTCAGACTACTATTATGTAACAAAACATGCAGCTTCTGGTTCAGCTTCAGCTACAAGTTCTGGTCAACATATCATATGCTTTTCGTGCAATTGTGAAAATGATCTGCATGCAAAATAAGAATGTAAAGGAAAAATAAGAAGAAAAGAAAGATTGAAATGAAAAAAAAAGAGAGCAATAATTAGCTGTAATATATTTGTCCAAATATTTGACTGCACTCCTATTGTCATAAAAAGTGTTCACCAAGTTTGAAAAGAATCTATGCAGTAGTATTCAAGTTATAGGTTGCACACAAAAAATTACTCAGAAGGATGGACGGAGGGAAGGAAGGATGGAATTCCTTGGCACATATAATATAATTGGTCGGGGGTATAATCAATTGTCCATTCCTTTATGAAAACAAAAATGAACATTGTTATCAAAATGAAATCCCACTCATTCACAAAATTTAACTACAACTAAACAGTTAAGCACAACAACTAAATATTCAGCTTACCTTCAGCACCCCTTCGGCAGTGAACATGCGCAGGTCGTAGCTGGGGGTCCAGGAGGCCTGCAACACCACATAGGACACCAGCAGGGACACCTTGTGTTCACCTTCACTCTCCAGCACGATGGTGCATTCTCTGGAACACAATTACCCAACAATAACCACAGAAGCCTGACACGGGTGTGTACAGTGTGGGAAGCCCATTTCTGGTGTCTCCTCGACGTGATATTGTTGGTATACTGCATATCACTCAAAGAAGCTTGTATTTCACTTCAAAGTTAAATCCTTGGGCTGGCAGCACAATACAGCTCACCTGATCAAAGCTGCAAAATCACCTCCAAGGGTTAGTGAGCTGGTTGTGGAGATTGAACAATCACAGCCACAAAGTAGGACAATTTACCTGAAGTTGTCTACAGTCAGTGAGTGAGTGAGTGAGTTGGGTTTAACACCGCTTTTAACATTATTCCAGTTATATCATGGTGTGTCAGCTTAATGTGGGAGGAAAGCCCGAAGTGATACAGGTCTCAGACGTTTACCACTTTGGTGAAACCCACGAGCACGGGTATGGTGCTGACAAACCCCAGAAACATAATTGGGGCGAACCGGGATTCGAACCCACAATCATAGGTTTCTGGCATGCCCAAGGGACGCAACTCTGCAAGCGAATCGCGGCGCCTTAGACGACTGGGCCACCCGTGCCCCCTGAAGTTGTCTACAATATTTGCTGATAAATCATAAAGATATCATAACAGGAAAACAAGGAAACTCAATAATAGAGCCACTTAGTCTAGGTGCTGTAGCTAACCTGAATGTTTCTGGACTACTATAGTAGATCAGCAAGGCCATAGGTTAAAGAAAGATAAGTACATGAAGTATCAGAAATCTCTACCCAACCAGCGTCATCACTGCAAGTTCAGTGAATTACACCCAGATACATAAATAACTGACAAACCAGAAGTCCAAAATGACATGTTCTTCCAGGGATTAATTCGACCTCAAGTCCGCACCAAATGTCAGTAAAATTGCCAAACCTTTCCATCTATGGCACTACTGGCAGCCATAGCAGAACATAAATGTCAAACTCAAAATATAAGTTGTCACAAGCAAAATATAACATGTACTGATATTTGCAGATTGCCTAAGAGATTTGCGGAAATTACATTTTGAAAATGACAAGCAATTTAAGTCTCTAAGCATATATTTGAACAATATTGCTGTGATCACAAGCATAAAAGTGACCTTCGTAACTCCAGAGGTTCCTGATAATGTTTGCATCAAAAAATTATTTTCATTGTGTATTTTATGTCACACATTAATACATATGACATGTTGAAAAAAAGTCTAATGAACTGAATCCTGAAAAGACCCCCAGATTAAAGTTGTGAAGTGAGATACATAAATATTTTGAAACCTTAAACAGATCCCGTTCATGGCCTGAGGACTTGTGCTGTGCTATGGTTGGTTGACTGGCTTGTTTTAAACTCCTTGATATTAGAACTTATTGCATTAAAACAATAAAGGAAAACCAGCACATGGAAAACCATCAGAGATGACATCCCGTAATCCAACATACCTGGACTCTGTTTGATGACCTCTGTTCGCTCTCAGTCCCGAGAGGTTGCTGGCGGCAGCGTTAATCTTCTCATCCAGCTTGGCAATTTGTTCAGCCAGCTCCAGCCTTGTGGTCTCCAGTTTGCCTCCCTCATCCCTGTACAGCTGCAGGAAGTCTGTCACGCCCTGGAAGTAGGCTGTGTCCAAGTTGGTGCTCTTGTTCTGGAATACAGAATACAGTACAACTCATAAGTGTCAAGTATTTAATAAGCGCAGGCCTCCAATAAGTGCCAGGTATAACACAGCGTACACCACAATAACCTCCCATCTGTAACAAGAGCCATGCAAGTTCACTTCTATATATCAGTGAGTGAGTGAGTGAGTATGGTTTTACGCCGCTTTTAGCAATATTCCAGCAATATCACAGCGGGGGACACCAGAAATGGGCTTCACACATTGTGAATCGAACCCGGGTCTTTGGCGTGACGAGCGAACGCTTTAACCACTAGGCTACCCGACCACCCCTTCTATATATCACGTAGATAGTGATATAAATCACTTCTACATGTTCTACTTGAAATAAATTCTGTATCAAGAACATAAAATTCTATTGAATGTTAGTTTATTAGTGACAGTAGATTATGCAACACTGTACTTGAAATAATAAGTGCAGGTTTTCTTACCAGTGGAGCATTTATTACCTGGCTGGTTTTGAAGTTTGTTCAAAGAATAAGGGTCGGGGCACTAATTGGAGGAACTATGGTATGTCGGATTCAGATCCATGAAGGGCCTAAGATTGCCTCATTCTTGGCAGACTGAGAAGTCCATTGTTGTATGACATCATGTGAATGACATACGGCACCTACAAGGTCTGTGCTACTGTATACCCACAATAATGACAGATTCAAATTGTTGTCCTGTGTTCGTTGAGAGAGTGTCATTACCAGAATTAAAATTGTGTTATCACTGACGTTAAACATGCACTTGGCAACATTTTTGTACAATTTAATTAAAATCAAACCCTAGTTCTCGCTACCGCTAAACAAAGATCTGAAGACATCCCATTAGGGGTCACAACGGAACGACCTTTCATCTGACCAATCAGAGCGTCGCTTACCAGATCATGAAAGTGACAGTCGGTATGGGATTTCTAATCATACAACCTCGAAAACTTTAACACGGGGTATTCGGAACGATAGTTACGGGTTTAATGACTGAATCCATACAATCTAGACCATCTATTAGCCATTCCAGAATGTTCTTTTGTTTAGGTTTCAAATTTGTAATTGAGAATTTGTCAAAATATGTTTCGAAGCGTTGTCGTCAATTTGAAATTAGTGCCATAAAGCATGATAAAGCAGCCTTCTGATTGGTCATTCCATTCGTCGGTCAAAGTTCTCGCAAGGTCGGCCTGACGTGACCCGTAATCATGGTAATGGGATGTCCTCAGATCTTTGTTTAGCGATAGTGACAACTAAGATCTGATTTTAATGAGATTGCATTTTTGTACAAATTTAGGGTTGAAAAGAACTTCTGACGGAGACTCTTTACCTTTGTGGACTTGGACACAGTGTTTCCAAAGTTTTCCAGCAGTTTCCACTGCTTGGTCATAACATTCTGATTTGCTACAATGTGATCTTTCTCCTTCTTCAAGTCAGCAATCTGAATCTCTAGCTCTTTCTCCTTGCTGGATATGTCGGCCTCGTCTGGCGTGGTATGCTTCCTCTGGAATGTCACCTCAGCTATTGTTGCCTGTCCTGTTCCCTCGACCCTACAACACAGACACTTGAAATCAAATACCATGTTTCCTTTACTAGCACCCTGGACCCTTGTTAAGTTTAGTTTAGACCCAGCCTATGTAAACTTGCCAGTACTTGTAGAAGTCTAACCCTTACTCAACCCTTAGGTTTAGGCTTTCATTTCGAAACCTTATATCTCTAGAACTGGGCCCACTTGCACAAAACGATCTTAGCGCTAAGACTATTGTAAGCCTTGTTAAAGTATGGAGTTAAGATCATCCTAGCGCTAAGATCACTTTGTGCAAGTGGGCCCTGGCCTGGAGGCTGGATCTTCATCTATACATATGGGACATACTGCACCAAGTGCAGTCTGTGCTTAACACCCTTGAGTCTACCCAGATAGCACTCAGAGTGAGTGAGTGATGTGGGTTTAACGCCGCTTTTAACATTATTCCAGTTCTATCATGGTGTGTCAGCTTGATGTGGGAGGAAAGCCCGAAGTGATGCAGGTCTCAGACGTTAACCACTTCGGTGAAACCTATGAGCACGGGTATGGTGCTGACAAACCTATAAACATAATAGGGGCGAACCGAGATTCGAACCCACAATCATAGGTTTCTGGCATGCCCAAGGGACGCAACTCTGCAAAGCGAATCGCGGCGCCTTAGACAACTGGGCCACCTGTGCCTCCGATAGCACTCAGACATTGGGCCAACGTTATCACTTATGTTGGGCAACATTAATTTCGACCCGCGGCCCAACACTGGGCCAATGTTGTCTAAACATCATTTGACCAACGATATTTAGCCAATGTTGGCCCGCCGGTCAAAATAACGTTAGCTCAACGTTGATAGCCAACGTTTGCCCATGTTAGAGTAATCTGTTTTATTCCTCAATAGGCAGACTGAAATGTTTGTACCAATCTAGTTAAGACATCAGGTAGCAAGCAATACATTCTGCATGCTGAAATGACTCTGAACTGTATCCAAGAAAGAGCAAGTCAATGAAATGCGCTCTCTTTTGGCAGGGTACCTCGGCAAAGTTTGAAATATGGCCAAGAAAAAAATCAAAATGTTTTCAATTACATTTACAATTATGTAATATAATATTTATTTTCAAAAACAATTTTGAAGGCTATGAGCAAAGTTTCTAGGCAATAACATACCGTTTCTAGCTGCTTTTTTCTGGATAACATCTGTGATTTATATTTTTAAAAATATGGACTGTCATGTATAATTTTCTCACATACTCATATAACTTACAGATTGGTCTAGTAGTTGCTCAGGGACACTTATTGGAGTAGGGCGTTTATTACTGTGAATATGGTATCTCCATTCTACCATGACAAAATTAAATGCTGACTTTTGGTGTTAGTGAAGATATTGTTTGTTTGTTCATTGTTTAATGCTGCACTCAGCAATATTCCAGCTATATGACGTCTTTAAACAATGGAGTCTGGACCAGACAATCCAGTGATTGACATTAAGAGGATTGATCCACGCAATTGGGATACGATGACATGCATTAACCAAGTCGGCAAGCCTGGCCACCCGATCCCTCGCCTCTTACAACAAGCATAGTCACCTTTTACAGCAAGCATGGGTTGCTGAAGACCAATTCTACCCCGGATCTTCACGGACCTAGCAAAGATATTAAGTGAAGTGGCATTGATACAGTTTAAATTTAAGTTTTGAGTGCGTGTACGATCTCAGTTAAACAAAGAATGGTGCTGTATTTTAAGCTCACTATTGCCAACATAATAACTTGAAATCACAGGAACTCGATGATAGCATGCATAGCAAAATGTATTCATAGAGAAAAAAATCACACCCCGATATACACGTCTATATATATAGAACCTAGAGGGGTGTGATTTTTTTCTTTACGAATATATTATGCTATACACGCTATCGTCGAGTTCCTGTGCTTGAAATACACCCCCATAGTAGATTTCTATCAAGTTTTTCTGCCCAAATGTATTGTCACTAGGGCTGGGACGAGTCCAAATTTACTACCCGGGTACCCGACCCCCTATTACCCGAACCTACCCGGGTACCCACTGCAAGTCTGAAGAGTTGGGAACAAAATATCGGATTGGTAATTGTTTTACCGCAGCCCTGGCTAAAACTATTTAGATACCGTATTCGACGTAATAAGCACCCAGGGAGCTCTCAAAATTAGAAATAGGGGGCTCTTATTAGAATATTATTTTGGTGGGGAAAAAAACAACAGAGTTGAAAGATAAATTTCGTGGTTTATGCTGACAGGCTGAAATGTTTATGTACGACAGATATATTTTTCCAGAATTTAATTGCCCCTTATTAAGGGTGCATATAACACACAAGTGCGTATTATACGCAAATATATGTCCTGTGTACATTGATCAATCGGAAGGGGTGCTAATTGGGATTGTTCACTAGCCAATATCTTAGCAAATGTCGGCATGGCTGCTTATTAGAGCGGGGTGCTTATTACGTTGAATACGGTACATGTATCCGACAATCAGCTCATGGTTCACTGAAGTTGACTGAAGCTTTATCAAGTCAAAAGGAATGTGTGCATCGTCAGAAAGAAATGCGAACATTAGCTACTTGTATAGTAGTGTAACCACTGAGCTTTTGTGAATTTTTTTCATTAAACAATATATCACTTGACTAACCACGGGTCCGGGTAGTCCTGTGGGTACCCGGGTCTTACTCAGGACCCACCCGACCCGAGTACCCCGTCCCAGCCCTAATTGTCACACATACTTTGATTATTGTAGAACGTTAGAACGGCAACTCTACATTGTGTGAATCTCACCTGATAGAATCGGAGTCGATGCTCGCCGGCAGTTGTTTGAGGACAATTTCATTGACACCTTTGACGACGGTGGTGTGGATCTGACGACACACCTCCGCTCTGTCGGAATACACAGTCACCTTTTCTACCGGACATTCTGGGGAAAGGAATACGTTCTCCCCGGTCTTGTCACTCTTTTCGTCTGCCATCGTCGATCACAGAAACGTGTATAGCTACCGTGTTAATGTTAACCCGTAAAATGTTTCATCTATGAAATGCAAATTCGCATAAGATATTTTGATTCACTGACTCACGGTAACGCGCTGTTGTTTACGTACATCAATGCTGGCTGTGTACTTCCGCATTGCGTCTTGATCGTGACGAGGTCACGAGAAACGCCTTCTTGTCAGTTACGGAAATATGCGAGTTGTGGCGAATGTGACTGTGTTGTGCACTCTCCTACCCAGAGTTCCATGCGGCCGGCAGCCAGCTAGCATAGTACCTCTGCCACAGGCCAGCGCCATGTGACGATTCGTCACATCTTTCACAGTCCATTCAAGATATTGTATATGCTTTTCATCCGTTTCATGTTTGACAAGTCTACACATTTTCATAAACAAATGTCAAAGAATGGTTAACTTTCATTTAGAAAGTATGCAAATACGTAAAAATCTACTTGTTTTTGCGTAGTTATCCTATGTTTACATTGGTTGTACGGCTCCACGTGCTGTCATCGAAGCCCAACGGAGAGCTAGCGACACGGTCACTTTGATGCATAAGTATATATTGTCATGCAACTCACTGTCGCAGTTGTAGTAGCATATCTATATAGTTATGCAAAACAATATGTAAAGCGCCCCCAAATACTTGCATTAGTCCGTTCTATACTGATTTCTGAAAAAGCGCGTTTGTTTACAAACAAGAGAAAAGTCCAGTCACGTGATATGCAAATTAGCCTGTGGCAGTGGTGTTATGCTGAGTCACCACTGCGACGGAGTGTGTGTGTTGTGGTCGCATGAAGCTCCTCACAGCGATAGCGCCATCGTGTCAGGCGCTAGTAAGCTCCATCCCAGCGCGTGACACCTTCGTTACACTCCAGTGTACCCGGGAGACTGGTACCCTGATCTTCTAGCGGCTGCGCAAAGTGCGGAGCGCAAGCGGTCGAGGGCAGGCAAATTTCTTAGAAGGGCCAACCTTGTCGTAGTTAAAGAATTAAATTTAATGCTTTATTACACAACCTTACATAAAAAGCCTATGGTTTGAACTCAACATTATCATCATTATACTGATTTCAAAGATGTTAAAAGTGTCAATAAAATGTTGCTATTCGTTAAACAGTAAGCCTTTTCTTACCTAATTAGCCTCACTTTTCTAATCATTTACTAACGAATCACTCCCTTAATACCCATCCACCCACCAAAAAACATTTTCTTGATGCTGAATCTTCTTCATTAGGCGATACATCTAACAATGACACCTTTTAACGAAGTTCTTTCAACAGCTCTTTCAATTAAGCTTACTCCGTTACAGTGACACTTGATTTACAATGACATACACAGTTGTAAGAGGCGACTGACGGGATCGTATGGTCAGGCTCGCTGACTTGGTTGATGCGTAGATCGATGCTCATGATGTCAACCACTGGAATGTCTGGCCAAGACTCGATGATTTACAGAACGTCGTCATATGGCTGGAATATTGCTGTGTGCGACGTTAAACACCCCCGCAAAAACAACCAAACAAAAACAGAACAAAAAGCAAAACAAAATAAAAACAACCAAACAACAACAAACAATCAAACAAAAACAGCAACAAAAATAACACAAACAAAACAAAACAAAAAACAAACAAACACATATATGTGTTACCATGGTCGTTGCCGTGATGCATTTGGGCGGTCGGTTTTATTGTCATCTGCTTAGGTTTTTTTTCCATCAAATTTCATTTTTTCGAACAAGGTCATGTTAAATTTTAGAAACTTATCCAGATATTTAAATAACAACTTTTCATGCAATGTTACTTGGGGTGACGTTTCTTTTGCGGTTCAGTATAGATCTAGTTGATTGTATGCGCAATGACATCGAGTTAATAACATGAAAATGACATTTAATGGAAATATGAGTATGTAAACTGCCATCTGATGACATGAATAATGACAAATAGCTCATATCAGATACAACGACATATAGCTTATAGTATGTACAGTTGGAACCCGTGAAGATCCAGGGTAGAATAGGTCTTCAGCAACCCATGCTTGCCGTAAAAGGCGACCACGCTTGTCGCAAGAGGTGACTAATGGGATCGCTGACTTGGTTGATGCATGTCATCGATCCCAATTACGTCGATCGATGCTCATGATATCAATCACTGGATTGTCTGGTCCAGACTCGATTATTTACAGACCGCCGTCATATAGTTGGAATATTGCTGAGTGCGGCGTTAAACAACAAACCAACGAACCAACTATGATCGTGGGTACGAATCTTGGTTCGCCCTGATTATGAGTCTAGCTTTGTCAGAACCATGCCCCAGCTCGTGGGCTTCTCCAAAGTGGTAAACGTCTGAGACCTGAGTCACGTCGGCGTTAAACAACCAACCAACCATCCAACCAACCAACCGTTGTGTCGGACTCTGATGTGTTGAATTTTCGGTTGTGTCGAATTGATTGCCCAGTCCGATTATTTCAAAGTTTTCCACTAATTGGCGAATCGGATGTATCGTATTTTCGGTTGTCTCGAACTTAGTTGCAGTCACAAGGACAAAGGCAAGTGCAAACATAAGCTATATTATTCTAATTGAAATATGTGCACATACAATTCTACATTTCACTCGGAGATCATCAAAGGAACGATGTTTGTACATTGATTGAGTAGCACGTCTCACGCACTCTAAGAGTATGTGTTCTAATACTGAAGCCTGGACGCGTCCACACGTTCTGCCACAGAACACGAATATTCTAATTCGGGCAGCGCGTGTTCTATTGCTGAACGCCTGTGATCTGTTGTAGAAAGCGCGTGTTTTCTCCTGGGTCCATGCATATTAGCAGAGATAAAGTGCTGAATACTGATAGATAAATGTTTAATTCGACCAGATATTTGTGTTAGTCTTTTGAGAAGAAAAGATCTAGCGGCTGATAGATTGGTAAGCCAAACAGAAAATATGTATAAGAAGGGTGATATTTTGATGAATAATAACCACTCTACAAACCCGGCATACATTGTTTTAATAACTCACATATAGCCTGACTAAATAAAACAAAAATGATTATTGAAATACAGCATATTATTTTGGTAATACTTGGAAATAACACAACATGAATATAATTAATATAAAATGATAAGCAACACACTTATGTTATAAGCGACAACACGTGTTCCATCAACACGTGTTCCATCGGGGTTCTGTTTTTCTAACTAGCATTCAAAGCTGCCCATGCTCAGTGAACCACATCCGTTATGTGAGAAAACTGGCGTGACGTCGCATTTTTTGGGCGCTACAATTACCATCATCTAAGGGGTATCTGTGGTAAGTATCCATCTAGGAATACTTTTCTTCATATTCAATCCTAAATATTTCGGTGATAAAATCATATATCACATACGAAGTAAAAACCTGCCCAATACAGACGACATATTCCTTTACCCGCCATTTCTGTCATTGTTCCCCACGCATTAATTTCAAATTTTGAGACTAAATCCAAAACCAGTTTGCACTTGTGACTATTTGAAAGTTTCCGAAATGATGTTCAAGTAAATAAATATATACTCCAGGTTTTGTATGACTCCAGACAGATGTTCGTCTTTGAACGTGCAAAGAGGGCTGCATGCTACAAATCTCAGAAAATCTTTATTTGGAATCTGAGGCCATGATCAGCGAGAGCAATGCATCGACATCGGCGGAGAGTAGTGTAAGTATGTACCGAACGCAAAGAACTAAAACTACACAGGACAATGGTTTTTGTTTTTTTATGTGAAATATTTTAGAGAAACAGACAACCGTTCTTTTGTTGTTCTATTACAGGGCGCATTGCAGATTACCAGTACCACGGCAATTAATGAACTCAGCACACGACTAGGCCAAGGAGGAACAGTGAGTGAGTGAGTTGGGTTTATCGCCGCTTTTAACCGTATTCCAGTTATATCGCGGCGTGTCAGCTTAATGTGGGAGGAAAGCCCGAAGTGATGCAGGTCTCAGACGTGTACCACTTCGGTGAAACCCACGAGCACGGGTATGGTGCTGACACACCTAGAAACATAATCGGGGCGAACCGGGATTCGAACCCACAATCACAATCAGCGTTCAGAATATTTTCAGAACACATGGACACGTTCTTAAAGTGTAACTTCCATCTGTCTAGTGTTCAGATGTAGCACACTTCGGTTTAGAGTACAAGTTTATTACATTGTGTACGCTGTCATGCTTTCAGTGTTGTGACCATGATTTCGGATGTGTCGAGCACTTGGGTAAATCTATTTCTTTCTCAGATCCCTTGTAATTCGACACAACGTTGTTCGTTTTTTAATTTTTTTATGTTCAATGAATGTGCATAAAAACCGAAATTTGACAACATTGAAAATGAGAAATATTGAAAATGTTAGCATGAGGTTTGAAATGCTCAATTCAGCGCCGTCAAATCTACATGTACCATATAGCTGTTCACTCTGTGAAAACGGAATGTATACATGCAGTGGAATTCTCAGTTGTACCATGACAAAATACAATGCGAAATCTTTGGTCTTTGATAATGAATGAGTGAATGGGCAAGGATTGAGTCCAGTTATTAAATGAATCATTGAGAATTGCCTTTAAACAAACATATGTCGCAGTAAACACTCCAACGTTGTAATTAACGCACTTCACTAGCATACAAGATATTTTTCTAAACCGCTGCTGTTATAACTACTGCTTTCTTTGTGACATCATCGTCGGAGAATGAGAAGCTCAAAATTTTAAATTCTCTCTCTTTGATATAAATTGAGAAACCTTGAATTTGGCCGAAAACTCGTCAACGATATAAACTGCATTTAAGAGATTTTCCCGGATATGGAAAACATATTCTTGAGTCAAGAACAAGTCATACCCTTTGACCTATCACTGACAAGATCGCCTCCAGGGTCAAGTTGATAGAGCATCTGCTCGGAGAGCAGAAGGTCAGAGGTTCGATCCATAGGCCGCGTCATACCGTTAACAGATGGTACTTGTTGTTATCCTGCCTGGCGCTCGGCATTAGATGATATTACAAGGACAAGTTGGCTCTGAGGCAGTATAATGTGTAGGGTATCTACGTTACAACTGCGGCTTGGTATACTAGAGGGCTAGCACTAACACACCAGCATTAGTCTGGACTAGTAAAAACAGTCATACACACACGCACACAAATAATCGCACACACACTCACGTGCTTGTACATCCTATATAAGTGCAATAATCTTGAACGTGACGTTAAAACCCTTTTCACCTCACCTTCACATTGCCTCCTCCCCATCACCTCACCCCACCTCACCTAACCCACCTCACCTCACTTTACCCCACCCCACCCCACCATCCCCCTCCGCCCCACCTCACCTCACCTCACTTTACCCCACCCCACCCAACCATCCCCCTCCACCCCACCCCACCTCATTACTGACAATGTTTGCTGGCAACAAACTCTGAATACAACTATCACGTGACTAAAACACAAACGTCATCAATTTTAACATTACTTGCGAGTAATCAAGTTTGATTCAACTCATTTTCATGGCCATGGTCTCATTATAACTGAGCGAACTCTATGGCAGTTATTGACTTTCTAGATGCTGTTTAGCTGCGATGAGATGTACCCGTGGCCAGAGTCGTCAGCAGACAGAGAGACAGACGGACGACGGGCCAAGCCTCAGTAACTGGATACAACGCCGCTCGTAGCTTCAGCCCCTACGCTACGCACAAAAGAAGTCTTCAGAAGAATGTAGTGTCTCTGGTTGATATCTTGACCTCCGCCACACCTATGTAGATACCCTCCTTTGTCCGGTCAATCGTGTAGATGGACTTCTCAGTCGTCCTCCTGTAGGGAGATGGACACAAACATATACTACAATCTATGGACAATGTTTCACAAATGACGTGGCTACCTTTCGGTGGTCATTGCCAATACCAGCTGTGATGATATTAATTCATTCGTGGATACAAAGTTACATGTGATACTCGTCTCACACCTGCCTCTGCGATACGACTGTGCTGTTCTGAGTACGACGTTAGATATCAATTGAATTTATTATGTGAGACAGACATGTGCTGTCATTATTTGAAATCGTTTGGAAGAAAAATGCCTTGGCTCCAGATGCACGTATTCGATTCAAGACTGAACGTTTATCAGCCAGTCTGAAAATCGCGGTTTAAAAGGAATTAGCTCAAAGCGTGCGAAAGAAAAAAACACGTGCAGCATGGACTAGCTGGAGTCATGACATGATACATTTAACAACTACTCATCACCTGCCTCTGCAGCTCAGTGGGAAAACAGTGGGTTACAAAACTCACGTGAGGTTGCAGGTTCGATTCACGTCATGGAATTTTCATGTAAAAATGTGACTTTAAACCAATCATCAATCAGAATTGTGTTCACACCAAGAGGCAACTTTATAAAACGTTAATTGTAAAACCTGGGTATGACAATTGAAATGTAAAACCTCAAAGTGGTTTAAGAGTGTGATCTATTTCAAAACCAAAGTTTGGAAGAGAACCACCTCGAAACTTGGGTTTGGAAGATGAGCTGGTTACTAGGTTTACCCGAGGTTGTGAGGAACCTAATGCAATATGGGATAATACGGTAATACGTTTAGAATAGCGTTTAATGGGGTTACAGACGTGGTTGGGGATGGGGTCTGGAAAAAGCTATTTTAGCAGTATAACTGGATTAATTTGGTGATTGGTGGGTGGTTGTCACTAACGCATGTGAATGGTCTATCGTAGTAATTTTCATTGTCAGCAACATGTATGAGAGGAATACTACTAGTCATACAACCACATCACATTTCTGAACATAGAGATTATTAAACCCGGCCGGGAAACGAACCTGCAACCTCTTGAATTGTAGTCCTTCACGCTACCACCTGTGCTGCGGAGACTGTTGTCGGTTACAGTGAGTGAGTGAGTGAGTTGGGTTTAACGCCGCTTTTAACATTATTCCAGTTATATCACGGCGTGTCAGCTTAATGTGGGAGGAAAGCCCGAAGTGATGCAGGTCTCAGACGTTTACCACTTTGGTGAAACCCACAATTACGGGTATGGTGCTGACAAACCTAGAAACATAATAGGGGCGAACCGGGATTCGAACCCACAATCATAGGTTTCTTGCATGTCCAAGGGACGCAACTCTGCACAGCAAATCGCGCCGCCTTAGACGACTGGGCCACCCGTGCCCCTGTCGCTAACAAGTGTCAATTCTCCTAGCCACCATTAACCAAGTTAAGTTGTATATGTTTATGTTATTATTGTACCAAGTTCGTTGTAAGTCCTGGTGGTATATGTGTTTTGCAAGTGCCCGTGAATCTGTTTCCACGTGTAATTTCAATATATTCTTTACATCTTAGCCATATTTGACTTACTGCCTTATGATATGCACTTTATTGAAACAGGTTTAAATCCCAAACGGGGGCACGGGTGGCCCAGTCGTCTAAGGCGCAGCGATTCGCTGTGCAGAGTTGCGTCCCTTGGGCACGCCAGAAACCTATGATTGTGGGTTCGAATCCATGTTCGCCCCGATTATGTTTCTAGGTTTGTCAGAACCATACCCGTGCTCGTGGGTTTCACCGAAGTGGGAAACGTCTGAGACCTGCATCACTTCGGGCTTTCCTCCCACATTAAGCTGACACGTCGCGATATAACTGGAATACTGTTAAAAGCGGCGTTAAATCCAACTCACTCACTCAATTAAATCCCAAACATATTAAACATGTTTAAATCAAAAACATATATCAACTTTCAACATGTTAAAATTTGATACATATTTAAACGTGTTTATATTGGACACATGTTTAGATGATAGAGATGTTGTGTTAAGGTGGTGATTAGACTGTGAGTCAATAGCTCATTACTTGAGTTTAGACCTAAATGCGTTTCCATAGAACACACCAAATGTGTATCTGTTTAGGATTGAAACACATTCCTAATCACGTTAAGATCTAAACAAGTCTTGTCTGTGTTGAAATTCTAAACACATTTTTACAATGCATTGCGAATCCAATCCAATCTCGCATAACATTTGACATATCCCGAATTACAACGAAAGTCGTAGTGCTGAGACGATCGTAACTCCCATACTTTAACATAGGCTTACGACAGTCGTAGCGCTGAGATGATCGTAACTCCCATACTTTAACATGGACTTACGCCAGTCGTAGTGCTGAGGCGATCGTAGCTCCCATACTTTAACATAGGCTTACGCCAGTCGTAGTGCTGAGGCGATCGTAGCTCCCATACTTTAACATAGGCTTACGCCAGTCGTAGTGCTGAGGCGATCGTAGCTCCCATACTTTAACATAGGCTTACGCCAGTCGTAGTGCTGAGGCGATCGTAGCTCCCATACTTTAACATAGGCTTACGCCAGTCGTAGTGCTGAGGCGATCGTAGCTCCCATACTTTAACATAGGCTTACGCCAGTCGTAGTGCTGAGGCGATCGTAGCTCCCATACTTTAACATAGGCTTACGCCAGTCGTAGTGCTGAGGCGATCGTAGCTCCCATACTTTAACATAGGCTTACGCCAGTCGTAGTGCTGAGGCGATCGTAGCTCCCTTACTTTAACATAGGCTTACGACAGTCGTAGTGCTGAGACGATCGTAGCTCCCATACTTTAACATGGACTTACGCCAGTCGTAGTGCTGAGGCGATCGTAGCTCCCTTACTTTAACATAGGCTTACGACAGTCGTAGTGCTGAGACGATCGTAGCTCCCATACTTTAACATGGACTTACGACAGTCGTAGTGCTAAGAAGATCGTAGCTCCATACTTTAACATAGGCTTACGACAGTCGTAGCGCTGTGAGGATTGTAGCTCCATACTTTATATAGGAAAGTATAGAGTAACAGTGCTAGTGTAGGTGTATACATGCACTGGATACTAGTAAATGGCATCGTTAATAATTACCTCTTTCTGCGAAAGTCCTCAATTGCATGGATCCTGTTCCGTCGGGCGAAGATTAACTCTTTCGCAGCGTCCTTGAAAGATCTGTTGGTGGCCACATAGATAAATGGATTGAGCATGCTGGCCAGTTTGGCGAACATGGTGGGGAGAGTGGTCGTCCATATAGGCAGGTTGGGGTCGTACACTGACCACAGGCACACGAAGGTGTAGGGGGACCACACTATGGTGAAGATGATGACCATTGTCAGACACATCTGGAACAAACCATACTCATCATCATTATTTAAAAAAACCCAACTGCATATCACTTGATTAATTTATGAAATGGTCCGATACGGGGGACTCTTATTTAGCATGGCAACAAACAGTTGCATTTAAAACCTGTTTTTAATACAAAGTACCATGTTATGGAAATGTATCTATTATTGACTGAGACATCAAGGTGTATCTTTCTGAGAAATAGGCTGTACGCATGGCCCAGCCATCTTAGGCGCTGGAATTTGCTATGCAGAGTTGCGGCCCTTAGGTGTGCCAGGAATCTATGATCGTTCGCCCTGATTATGTGTCTAGCTTTGTCAGAACCATGCCCCTGCTCGTGGGCCTCTCCAAAGTGGTAAACGTCTGAGACCTGAGTCACTTCGGGCTTTCCTCCCACATCAAGTTGACACGACGAGATATAATCGCAATGCTGTTCAAAGCGGCGGTAAAACCAACTCACCCATTCGTGAATTTAACTTGGCGACAAACCTAAAGTCTGACAGAATTGCTTCAGATGGGTAATTAAGTGTCTCTATGTAACAACATGATGTCTATCGGTAGGTTACTACCGTTATCTTTTCTCAAAGTCGGGCAAGAATGATGAGAATGATGGAAAATATGTTAGTTCTCACATGGCGGTTGTCATTTATTCGCACTGATATTTAACACTAAGAGACGAATGGGATCTAACTTTTAGCTTAAACTATCATTATTATAATATACAAGGACAACAATCATTATCAAAGACACGATAAGCTACCGATAGTTAATAAAGTTATCAATGGTGCCTAAATGTTCGTAGTCAATTCCAGGACCGCGTCCGTAGTCTAGTGGAAGAGCGTCTTCCAGGAGAGCGGAAGGGCCGGGGTTCGATCCCAGGCAGCGTCATACCAAAAGATGTAAAAGATGGTACCTGTTGTTACCCTGCCTGGCATCAAGGGGCTAAAACACTGCTTGATCGGCACGGAGTCAGTACACTGTGTCTGAGTGGGGTACCCATGTTAAACTGTTATTGTATCTCAGTGGACTAGCACTATAACAATATATAGATTAGTACAAGCACACACACACTCACGCACGCACGCACAAACACACACACGAAATATAAGAGCAATAATCTTGAACGCGACCTCAAATCCTATTTTACCTCACCTCACCTCACCTCACCTCATAGTCAATCTATCTGAATTCTGACTTAGTGCAATCGTTGAGGATTAAGCAGATTTATTCGTCTGTAAGGAATTGGTTTCCAGTAATAGGTTCACAAGGGCAACGAGTACCTGTTTTAGCTCGGCCACTGATCACGTCTCGCGCAGTGTGGGAAACAGGGAGAGACGAGAGACTGAGATTTACCATCACGCAGAGAGAGGGGAGCATGTGCCTGCAGGTGTCTAGGCTTCATCTTCCTCTGTTGCAGATCGCTCACGATCGTATTGCCACTTTGATGAACATATTGTGAGAAAACGGGAGAGATACTTTAAATACTGCCTGGTAGACGTTGTTACTGTTTATAGATGATTACTGGTGTGTCCCACGTGCTTATGTGAGTGAGTATGGTTTTACGCCTTTTTAGCAATATTCCAGCAATATCACGTCAGGGGACACTCGAAATAAGCTTCACACATTGTACCCATGTGGGGGATAGAACTCGGATCTTCGGCGTGAGGAGCGAACGTTTTACCCACAAGGCTACCTCATGTCCCTGTACATAATGATATAAGCATATACTGTCCTAAAATGCCTTGTTCATTAAGCTATGCTGATTCTGTTACAACTGCTTATAATTCGCATGTAGTTTTGCATGTATATCAAAATATATTTTCTATTTATGTATCCATTGAACTGGAGATCAGAAAGTCTTATTTACAGAGGTGAGGTGAGGTGAAATTGGGTTTAACGTCGCGTCCAAGATTATTGCACTTATATATAGCGACGTGCATGCACGTGTGTGTGTGGCTGCTTGTACTAGTCCGGACTGATGCCGATTTATAGTGCTAGCCAACTGAGATACCATGCCGCAGTTTTAACATGAATACCCCACTCAGACACAGTATACTGACTCTGAGCCGACCAGTCCTTGTTTTAGCCCCTTAATGCCTAGCGCCAGACAGGGTAACAACAAGTACCACCTTTTAACGTCTTTTGGTATGACGCTTTCCGGGCGGACGCTCTACCACTAGACCACGGAGTCGGTCCTTATTTACAGAGAAGCAAGACCCAGATAATAGTGAAATTATCAGAATCATAATATCATTACCATCGGATCTTCTGCTCGCTACCGCGACACAAAGATCTGAGATCAGAACGACCTTTCTTCCGACCAATCAGGACTTTGCTTACGAGAACGAGATGTGTTTGTTAATTCCAAAAGACAGTACGACTGATTCCGAATACTAACATAGTCTATTTTTCGATTCAATGCGATAAACATTTGACAGACTCTCCATAGCCCATGGCTAGTACTGCCATACAGTCTGGGCCATCTATTGTGCATTTGTTTCTTTTGTTCAGTTTTCAACAGACAACATTTGTCCAAATATATTTCAACAGTAATCGGAAATGGAAGACGCCATTTGAAACTAGTTTCGTGTAGCTCGAGAAAGCCGCTTTCTGAATGGCTAATGTCGACTTCCTGTTAGTCATGTCATTAGTCGGTTAGAGTTCTCAAAAGGTCGTTCTGACGTGACCTGTAATGGGATGTCCTCAGATCTTTGATGTAGCGGTAGCGAACAATCAATATCTGGGGTGCGTTGCCAAACGCCAATCGCTTGTAAGCGATGTACAGCGATTCACTTTACAACAGGGCGCTAACCTTCCACCGCTTGCAATCGCACAAAGCGCTGGCTGACCAAACCGAAAAGGCGGCTGACGGAAATTTAAGCTTGACAGCGGAACAAGAAATTCTTGACTGGATCAACTGGGAAATGGACACAGGCAGCTGACACCCCAGCGTCCCCAATCTGCTCCACACCTTCAAAGTATTCACCAATAGTCATAAGTTCATCGGCTCGTCATCGAGCCTCTTCTATTACGTTCTTCATTAGGGCAAGGCAGCCAAGCGGTAGTTGCGCCGGAATGGAAGAATGCGCAAGCGCTTCGACTCCAGAATCAATCTCATTAAAATGAAATCTCGCTATCGCTAAACAAAGATCTGAGGACATCCCATTAGAGGTCACGTCAGAACGACCTTTTATCCGACCAATCAGAGCGTCGCTTACCAGATCATGAAAGTGACAGTCGGAATGTGATTTCTAATCATGCATCCTCGAAAACTTTAACACGGGGTATTCCGAACTATAGTTACGGGTTTAACGACTGAATCCATACAATCTGGACCATCTTTTAGCGATTCCAAAATATTCGTTTGTTCAGGTTTCTAATTTTTAATCGAGAATTTGTCAAAATATGTTTCGAAGCGTAGCCGCCAATTTGAAATTAGTGCCGTAAAGCACGAGAAAGCTGCCTTCTGAAAACTGAGGTCGCTCTGACGTGACCCGTAAGGGGATGTCCTCAGATCTTTGTTTAGCGATAGCGAGAACTTAGATCTGCTTTTAATGAGATTGCTCCAGAATGAGCGATTACTTTGCTTTATACAGTTACTTTAAGCGATTGGTGGCTTGCACCGCGCCCCTTTTTTTAATAAGATTGACTTTAGTTCAGTGTCATAGTCATCCTTCTTACCCCAGTGACTTTGATCTCAACCTTCATCTTGTGGACTTGCTTTGCTTCATCAAGGTCCATAGTTTTACGTGTGTTCATTCTCAGCGTCGCGGACTTCTTCACTATCTTATAGTAGGAGAAGGACATGATCGCAATGTGGACGAGGTAGCAGAAGACCACGAGGCAGTAGACGTAGGCGACGTCCCAATCATTGGCACTGGTCCAGTCGATGCTGCACGACGTCCCGAACGGCTCGATGGTGTAGCGGCTCCACCCGAACAGTGGCGGCGCCGTCCATAGCACAGTGTACAGCCACGTGAGAAACAACACGAACTGGGTCATACTCACCGTCAACTTGTAGTCTAGGGGATAGAATTAGAGGCAATAATACCACCTGACTGACCTTGATAACACTGTATACGCTACAACAGTAAAACAAGAACTCAAAGGTCACGCCTACTCAGACAATTCTGCCAAAAGTTGTTGCACTTGTTGTCTCGCCAGTTCGTGGCTGGATAATACCATTTCAAACCCATATCCATCAGTTACCAATACCCCAAGGTGAAAGAATATACACACATCTTAATATTTCAAAAGAAGATGAAATTCATTAAATTTATTATTCTTTTGTCCGGCTCCTGATTTTATAAGAAACGAGATCTACCAGGTCAAGGAACCACTATGTCATGTCTAATGATGTCATGGAGTCACCGAGCCACTGTGTCATTGCTCATGGAGTCACCAAACCATTGTGTCATGGTGTCATGGAGCAACCAAACCATTGTCTCATGGTGTCATGGAGTCTCAGAACCATTGTCTCGTGGTGTCATGGAGCCACCAAACCATTATCTCATGGTGTCATGGAGCCACCAAACCATTGTCTCATGGAGCCACCAAACCATTGTCTCATGGTGTCATGGAACCACCAAACCATTGTCTCATGGTGTCATGGAGCCACCAAACCATTGTCTCATGGTGTCATGTAGTCACAGAATCAATGTCTCATGGTGTCATGGAGTCACAGAGCCACCAAACCATTGTCTCATGGTGTCATGGAGCCACCAAACCATTGTCTCATGGTGTCATGGAGCCACCAAACCATTGTCTCATGGTGTCATGGAGCCACCAAACCATTGTCTCATGGTGTCATGGAGCCACCAAACCATTGTCTCATGGTGTCATGGAGCCACCAAACCATTGTCTCATGGTGTCATGGAGCCACCAAACCATTGTCTCATGGTGTCATGGAGCCACCAAACCATTTTCTCATGGTGTCATGGAGCCACCAAACCATTGTCTCATGGTGTCATGTAGTCACAGAATCATTGTCTCATGGTATCATGTAGTCACAGAATCATTGTCTCATGGTGTCATGGAGTCTCAGAACCATTGTATGGTGGTGTCATGGAGTCACAGAACCATTGTCTTATGGTGTCATGGAGTCACAGAACCATTGTCCCATGGTGTCATGGAGCCACCAAACCATTGTCTCATGGTGTCATGGAGCCACCAAACCATTGTCTCATGGTATCATGTAGTCACAGAATCATTGTCTCATGGTATCATGTAGTCACAGAATCATTGTCTCATGGTGTCATGGAGTCTCAGAACCATTGTATGGTGGTGTCATGGAGCCACCAAACCATTGTCTCATGGTGTCATGGAGCCACCAAACCATTGTCTCATGGTGTCATGGAGCTACCAAACCATTGTCTCATGGTGTCATGGAGTCACAGAACCATTGTCCCATGGTGTCATGGAGCCACCAAACCATTGTCTCATGGTATCATGTAGTCACAGAATCATTGTCTCATGGTATCATGTAGTCACAGAATCATTGTCTCATGGTGTCATGGAGTCTCAGAACCATTGTATGGTGGTGTCATGGAGTCACAGAACCATTGTCTTATGGTGTCATGGAGTCACAGAACCATTGTCCCATGGTGTCATGGAGCCACCAAACCATTGTCTCATGGTGTCATGTAGTCACAGAATCATTGTCTCATGGTATCATGTAGTCACAGAATCATTGTCTCATGGTGTCATGGAGTCTCAGAACCATTGTATGGTGGTGTAATGGAGTCACAGAACCATTGTCTCATGGTGTCATGGAGCCACCAAACCATTGTCTCATGGTGTCATGGAGCCACCAAACCATTGTCTCATGGTGTCATGGAGCCACCAAACCATTGTCTCATGGTGTCATGGAGCCACCAAACCATTGTCTCATGGTGTCATGGAGCCACCAAACCATTGTCTCATGGTGTCATGTAGTCACAGAATCATTGTCTCATGGTATCATGTAGTCACAGAATCATTGTCTCATGGTGTCATGGAGTCTCAGAACGATTGTATGGTGGTGTCATGGAGTCACAGAACCATTGTCTTATGGTGTCATGGAGTCACAGAACCATTGTCCCATGGTGTCATGGAGCCACCAAACTATTGTCTCATGGTGTCATGTAGTCACAGAATCATTGTCTCATGGTGTCATGTAGTCACAGAATCATTGTCTACACGTGACATGGAGTAATGCAACCAATGTCTACACGTGACATTGAGTAATGGAACCAATGTCTACACGGGGCATGGAGTAATGCAACCGATGTCTACACGTGACATGGAGTAATGCAACCAATGTCTACACGTGACATTGAGTAATGGAACCAATGTCTACACGGGGCATGGAGTAATGCAACCAATGTCTAGACGTGACATGGAGTAATGTAACCAATGTCTACACGTGACATTGAGTAATGGAACCAATGTCTACACGGGGCATGGAGTAATGCAACCAATGTCTACACGTGACATGGAGTAATGCAACCAATGTCTACACGTGACATTGAGTAATGGAACCAATGTCTACACGGGGCATGGAGTAATGCAACCAATGTCTAGACGTGACAGGGAGTAATGCAACCAATGTCTACACGTGACATTGAGTAATGGAACCAATGTCTACACGGGGCATGGAGTAATGGAACCAATGTCTACACGTGACATGGAGTAAAAAAACTAAATTAAATGTCTACACGAGTCATCGAGTAATGGAACCAATGTCTAAACGTGACATAGAGTAATAGAACCAATGTCTACAATGAACATGGAGTAATAGAACCTATGTCTACACGGGGCGTGGAGTAATGGAACCAATGTCTACACGTGACATGGAGTAATAGAACCAGGGTTTACACGGGGCATGGAGTAATGGAACCAATGTCTACACAGGACATGGAGTAATGGAACCAATGTCTACACGGGGCATGGAGTAATGGAACCAATGTCTACACAGGACATGGAGTAATGGAACCAATGTCTACACAGGACATGGAGTAATGGAACCAATGTCTACACGGGGATGGAGTAATGGAACCAATGTCTACACAGGACATGGAGTAATGGAACCAATGTCTACACAGGACATGGAGTAATGGAACCAATGTCTACACGTGACATGGAGTAATGGAACCAATGTCTACACAGGGCATGGAGTAATGGAACCAATGTCTACACAGGGCATGGAGTAATGGAACCAATGTCTACACAGGGATGGAGTAATGGAACCAATGTCTACACAGGACATGGAGTAATGGAACCAATGTCTACACGGGGCATGGAGTAATGGAACCAATGTCTACACAGGACATGGAGTAATGCAACCAATGTCTACACGGGGATGGAGTAATGGAACCAATGTCTACACAGGACATGGAGTAATGGAACCAATGTCTACACAGGACATGGAGTAATGCAACCAATGTCTACACGGGGCATGGAGTAATGGAACCAATGTCTACACGGGGCATGGAGTAATGCAACCAATGTCTACACAGGACATGGAGTAATGGAACCAATGTCTACACAGGGATGGAGTAATGGAACCAATGTCTACACAGGACATGGAGTAATGGAACCAATGTCTACACGGGGCATGGAGTAATGGAACCAATGTCTACACAGGACATGGAGTAATGCAACCAATGTCTACACGGGGATGGAGTAATGGAACCAATGTCTACACAGGACATGGAGTAATGGAACCAATGTCTACACAGGACATGGAGTAATGCAACCAATGTCTACACGGGGCATGGAGTAATGGAACCAATGTCTACACGGGGCATGGAGTAATGCAACCAATGTCTACACAGGACATGGAGTAATGGAACCAATGTCTACACAGGGATGGAGTAATGGAACCAATGTCTACACAGGACATGGAGTAATGCAACCAATGTCTACACAGGGATGGAGTAATGGAACCAATGTCTACACGGGGATGGAGTAATGGAACCAATGTCTACACAGGGATGGAGTAATGGAACCAATGTCTACACAGGACATGGAGTAATGGAACCAATGTCTACACAGGGATGGAGTAATGGAACCAATGTCTACACGGGGCATGGAGTAATGGAACCAATGTCTACACAGGACATGGAGTAATGGAACCAATGTCTACACAGGACATGGAGTAATGGAACCAATGTCTACACAGGACATGGAGTAATGGAACCAATGTCTACACAGGACATGGAGTAATGGAACCAATGTCTACACAGGACATGGAGTAATGGAACCAATGTCTACACAGGACATGGAGTAATGGAACCAATGTCTACACAGGACATGGAGTAATGGAACCAATGTCTACACAGGACATGGAGTAATGGAACCAATGTCTACACAGGGATGGAGTAATGGAACCAATGTCTACACGTGACATGGAGTAATGGAACCAATGTCTACACAGGACATGGAGTAATGGAACCAATGTCTACACAGGACATGGAGTAATGGAACCAATGTCTACACAGGACATGGAGTAATGGAACCAATGTCTACACAGGACATGGAGTAATGGAACCAATGTCTACACAGGACATGGAGTAATGGAACCAATGTCTACACAGGACATGGAGTAATGGAACCAATGTCTACACAGGACATGGAGTAATGCAACCAATGTCTACACAGGACATGGAGTAATGCAACCAATGTCTACACGTGACATGGAGTAATGGAACCAATGTCTACACAGGACATGGAGTAATGCAACCAATGTCTACACGGGGCATGGAGTAATGGAACCAATGTCTACACAGGACATGGAGTAATGGAACCAATGTCTACACAGGACATGGAGTAATGGAACCAATGTCTACACAGGACATGGAGTAATGGAACCAATGTCTACACAGGGCATGGAGTAATGGAACCAATGTCTACACGGGGCATGGAGTAATGCAACCAATGTCTACACGGGGGATGGAGTAATGGAACCAATGTCTACACAGGACATGGAGTAATGCAACCAATGTCTACACGGGGCATGGAGTAATGGAACCAATGTCTACACGGGGCATGGAGTAATGGAACCAATGTCTACACAGGGATGGAGTAATGGAACCAATGTCTACACGGGGCATGGAGTAATGGAACCAATGTCTACACGGGGCATGGAGTAATGGAACCAATGTCTACACAGGGATGGAGTAATGGAACCAATGTCTACACGGGGCATGGAGTAATGGAACCAATGTCTACACAGGACATGGAGTAATGCAACCAATGTCTACACGGGGCATGGAGTAATGGAACCAATGTCTACACAGGACATGGAGTAATGCAACCAATGTCTACACGGGGCATGGAGTAATGGAACCAATGTCTACACAGGACATGGAGTAATGGAACCAATGTCTACACGGGGGATGGAGTAATAGAACCAATGTCTACACGTGACATGGAGTAATGGAACCAATGTCTACACAGGACATGGAGTAATGCAACCAATGTCTACACGGGGCATGGAGTAATAGAACCAGGGTTTACACGGGGCATGGAGTAATGGAACCAATGTCTACACAGGACATGGTGTAATGGAACCAATGTCTACACGTGACATGGAGTAATGGAACCAATGTCTACACGTGACATGGAGTAATAGAACCAGGGTTTACACGGGGCATGGAGTAATGGAACCAATGTCTACACAGGACATGGAGTAATGGAACCAATGTCTACACAGGACATGGAGTAATGGAACCAGGGTTTACACGGGGCATGGAGTAATGGAACCAATGTCTCCACGCTACCTGGATAATTGGAACCAGAGTCTACACAGGACATTCATGGAACCAATGTGAAATGGATACTAGGTAAATAAATGACATGCATCATACTTACTGAGATGAGGCTTGCAGACAGACACGTAACGGTAAATGCTGATGACAGCAAGGGTGTTCATGGATGACTGGGCAAAGGTGAAGGTGAGGAATCCTTGCATCTTGCAGTACACCCAGCCAAACATATACTTGTTGGCAAAGCCGGATATGGTGGTGTACGGGTAGCCGAAAGCCGTGATACACAGGTCTGAGAACGCCATGTTGACCAGCAGCATGTTGTGGGGCCGGGATCGTAGCTTCTTGCTCCGTAAAATAACATAACAGACGAGGCCGTTCCCAAACGTGGCGATGATACCTGCAATAAGTATGCCACATAGGTTCTAGAGATTTAGATAGGTGTATATTGTCATTTCAATATTGACAAAGTTTGATATAGTTCTTGGAGTCAGGTGAAATACAGTGCGTTTATAACGTGTGTGTGTGTGTGTGTGTGTGTGCGTGCGTGCCTGCGTGTGTGTATGTGTGTGTGTGTGTGTGTTGAAGAAACTTCATTAGTGACAGCTGAATATGGCAAGACAAGCTCTTGTTTTTCTTAGAAATCGGAGAATCGGAGCCGGGTTATTGGGGCTATGAATGAGTGAGTGAGTGAGTAAGTGAGTGAGTTTGGTTTTACGCCGCTTTTAGCAATATTCCAGCAATATCACGGCGGGGGACACCAGAAATGGGCTTCACACATTGTACCCATGTCGGGATTCGAACCCGGGTCATCGGCGTGACAAGCGAACGCTTTAACCACTAGGCTACCCGACCGCCCCCATTGGGGCTATAAGCCAAAGCTTTAACCACAAGTCTACTTCATTTCCCCACTGCATCAACCGAACCAGTCGTTAGTATAAATGTCATTCAGTAATGTCATTTTGTCATGAACACTTCAAGAGTGAGGAACACATACTATCTTATTTCTATCAATGTCGATAACGGCGGCACATCATTTTGTTTTCTTCCGTGATGGCCTTTGAGAAGAAAAAAACTGCAAAAAGAAACTCACAGTCTAAAAAGAACAGTAACTTCAACTTGTGCTGCATGTTTTTGTCAATCACTTCAAGTACTTTTCATTCTAAACCTATAGCGTCTCCATGGTCCAGTGGATAGAGCGTCTGCCCAGACAGCGTAAGGTCAGTGGTTCGATCCTCAATCACGTCACACCACGAGGCGTTGAAAGCTGGTATTTATTGTTACTCTGTCTGGCACTTGGCATTTGGGATATAACACGAACCAGTCTCCCGGAGTCAGCATACTGTGTCAAAGTCAAAGTCAAAGTCAAAGATGTTTATTGTATCAAAGGCCATCGGCCCATATACAAGTTCAGATAAATACAGTGGGTGAGAATTTACAGATTGGGAGATACAACAAAAATTATATAAATATAACATTCATTTAACAATCGGTGATAATCATGAGGACTTTCTAGGGTGAGGTAATTAAAATTATGAATTTCCACTCAACATGTTATTTCGTAGTTCCATCCCATGTTTTACAAATAAAGACAGTTTAAACATTACATCGGCATCATTCGATGACAAAATAGAAACAAAAGCTATTCTACTTGTCTTAGATAAGAAACATTCTGGTATATATTTAGTACGTAATTCTGCATAATAAGGACATTCAAAGGTAAAATGTATTTCGTCTTCTATTGCAGAGTTACAGAATGGACAAATTCTTTGTATTCTTTCAAGTGATATATTCCGTCCAGCATACTGTGTCTTAATGGGGGTGTTCATGTTTAAACTGGGGCATGGTATCACAGTAATCAATGGGCTAGCACTCCAAAACTGGCAATAGTCCGTCCAGCTGCACACACACACACACACACACACACACACACACACACACACACACACACACACACACACACACACACACACCTTCGTAAAGATGATGTAAAAAGCCCCGATGCGCAGCCCCGGGTTTATTTTCTCTGCAGGGTTTTATTGTACGATAAACAACGGCCACGAGTCGTTTATTTCTTATATGAGATATTAACATAATGTACAGTCTCTTTAAGGATGTTGATAAAATTTACCTTTAAAAATATTTACCCTTTGTTAAGAATGTGCACACTCAAAAGAATCCAAAGTCCATTTTATGAACAGGTGGGTTTAATATTGATATTTCCCGCATATTCTCACAATCAGATTATCTGTATCTTTTCTCCCAATACCAATTGGCATAATTATCTCTAATTTGGATGAGATCGATCGAGATTTATCGCGTAGCTACCTTACAAATAATAACGTCAGATAGCCACTCGATAAGAACAATGAAGAACGAAGCGAAGTTTATATCACGATAAGACATTCATCAAACTATCATGACATCATTTCTGGAGGTTCGAACATGCGCTCGCAACATCGTAAATTTGACGACGTTATTTTTTGAGAGGGAGGTGTCAAGTGAGTTGTTCCCAGTAGATGTAGCCGGGCAGCGTAGATGGCCGAAGGATCGCATCCTATAGTGAGAGAGATGTGAGAATGTGCGAGAAAGTATCCCCACCCATCCCCCCCCACCCCCCCACCCCCACCCCCAGTTTATAAAATGGATTTGTTTCCGAGGTTGGATTCTATTCAAGGAGTTTTGATTTTATATATATATATTTATTTAAATAGGGGTAAATATTTTCAAAGCTTGTACGTGTTAGTAACACCCTTAAAGCGTCTGTACACAATATTGATATCTCATTTAAGAAATAAGCATTATTGTTTCTCGGACATCGGCACGTCATTATATTCAGTGTATTCCCAGCCAATGGAATCCATGATATAAACTGACATTGTATTACAGGGCCGATTTGAATGCGTTTCCAGTTTGTTTCTGAAATATTTAAATATCATTCCTCCTCAATAAACAAAAGTCACTTTTTGGAAAAATGCGCCCAAGAAACATATAGTTGTTGACCCCTAATCTTCAATCTATTTGTCTTGTAACTTACCACTGACGAATATGCTGGAAGAAATAGCTTTGTTGCAAACATTTCCAAACTTTCAAATCTTGGAAATAAGTGATGAAAATACCCTCTTTTAAAACCTCGGAAAGATGATATTCCCAAGGCCATGTGCGGAAAGTGATCGATTTGTAATGGATAAATCATGGATAGCTTGTTAATTTCTTTGTTGTTTAACGCCGCACTCAGCAATATTCCAGCTATATGACGGCGGTCTGAAAATAATCGAGTCTGAACAAAACAATCCAGTGATTGACATCATGAGCATCCATCCACGAAATTGGGATACGATGACATGCATCAACCAACTCAGCGAGCCTGACCACCCGACCCCGTTAGTCGCCTCTTACGACAAGCATAGTCGCCTTTTACTGCAAGAATAGGTTCCTGAAGATCATTTTAAACCGGAATCTTCACGGGTCTCATTGATAGCGGTGAGGTCTTTCTTGGAAACATAAAGTAAACTTGTTACGCGTTTAGATGGCGGGATGGTCGGTCTTTCTACTCACGGATACATGGGAATGATAAAGCTGTACATGTTCTTTCTAAATGTTTTGACAAATGTTACCAAATGATAACTGAAGGTAGCATAAAACAGCAGTGGGAACATGTTTATACATTATGTTAATTACTCAAGAATAAACAATGCAACAAGAATAACCGAGAAAGATGTACCAGATCCTAGATGGGATAACCAACATCAAAGAAAAGATGACTATCATGATATTTAAGACGTCAAAGCCTGATAATAACCAGTCTCGATTATCCACCGATACAGATTCCACAAGGCGGAAAGGACAAACTTACAGCGAACTATATGATTCTCACACTGAAATTCAGTGATGACACCAGGTGTTCGACAAAAGGGTAAACATGTCCTTCCCTACCGGTACATCCGTCACTCCAACAATTCACATGAAATGTTCATTTGTTATCTGCGATTCGACAGCGGTAATGCGTGCGTCAAAGAGGTGTTACAGAACAACTCAATAGGATTTGATCGCTGTACAATTGATTGTCATTCTTTACTCACCTATGGTGGCAAGGTACACAGACGTTGCCAAATACCCGATAGGCCCCAGTGACCTTAGTTTCCCTGATGCAAACAGCTGTTCCCAAGGGTCCAACACTGTCACGTTCCCCATTCCCAGACTCTACTGCAACATGGACGGCAATGTCCTATACCGTGACGCCGGTCCTTCAAATGTAAGCTTCATTGTCACGCGAACCATTTATAGATTGACGGCGACCTCGCCACTACAGTCTTCTCGCGCTTCATCAATGTCGACATGATGTTAAGCAGAAGTAAGAACACACGCTCATTAGAGGGATGTGATTGGTCGTCTCTTGTGTCATGGCTCAACAGAGTCACAGTAGCAAGATCCATCCACACCGATTCGCTGTAAATGAAAGCCTCAAAATCCCTTCCATAAGGGATCATCTAAAAGCATCATCATCTAAAAGCAGAGTCCATTGTACGATTCCGACTATATCATAAGCATGTGTTTATGAATCATTATCAGTTATCAGTTAGTGATTATACCAGGCGTTCGTGGATAGGTTCCACTGGTGGAGGCAAGTCAAATATTCATATGTAAAAACACTGGAGCGTATGGTATAAATTAAAATAGGGAATTGCATCAGACATAATTTTTGTCAGTGATGCATTTGGAAATGTCCTCAACATGTATACCAGAAAAAAACGTTTTGACAACTTACTATAGTCTTGAATGTCATGACACTGATCAGCAACATCGTATGAAGAATCAGGGACGGTCGGGTAGCCTAGTGGTTTAAGCGTTCGTTCGTCACGCTAAAGACCCGGGTTCGATTCCCGACATGGGTACAATGCGTAAAGCCCATTTCTGGTGTCCCCCGCCGTGATGTTGCTGGAATATTGCTAAAAGCGGCGTAAAACCATACTCACTCACTCACTCACGTATGAAGAATCGTTTGACTCTCTTTGAAACCTTCATAGAAAGGGCATGCTCGATGGTACACCAAAGGGTGTGAAATGTAGACACCAAAGGCAGGAGCTGCTATTGCTCGACATTTAGGGAAAGTTGACTATTGGAAAGTTGTGGTCATCCCTTTAACATACATTATTGTGGATGGGTTTAATGATGTAAACAAGATGATGGGTAAAGGTCCTCTCAGATTGTTTCATGCGTCGTTCATGAAGGCCCTTTCCTTGTCTGTATATCATTTCTACGTTTAAATGCATTCAAATATTAAAGGCCACTCTTCGTCACCGATAGGACATCGACTACCACCAGGATTACCTACTCTATGTATTCTCGTCGAGTCTGCAACTATTTTTTGTTGTAGTTATAGTGTCTTTCTTGGCAGTGTGTATGTATATCGAATTATGTTAAAGGAAAGAATGGTGAAGGTGACATGTGTAAGAATGAAAAAGTATAAACGCTGAAATTGAAACTATGACAGAAATACGTACGTTTGTTGTCCTTGCAATCAGGGTGACATAAACAGGGCGTGTGTCTGGCTCTTGTCACGTACAGACAGGTGAGGTGGGGTTAAATGGGGTTAAATGTCGCGTCAAACAGCGTTGATGCCGCTTTTATAGTGCCAGCCCACTGAGATGCCATGCCACAGTTTAACATGATTACCCCACTCAGACACAGTATACTGACTTGTTTTAGCCCTTTAATGCCGAGCGTCGGACAGGGGAACCGTACATATAGACTGTGACGGTGTGACATATCTGTTGTTGATTCATTTTAGAACATGCGGACTGTATTATGTTATAAGAGTTGCCATAACGACCAATTGAGAGACGTTGTTACGAGCAAGTGTCTCAAGGTAGCTACGAGGAACACCTGTCACTAGAGACGCTGTAAGGAGCAAGTGTCTCAGGGTAGCTATGAGGAACATCTGTCACTAGAGACGCTGTAAGGAGCAAGTGCCGCAGGGTTGCTATGAGGAACTTCTGTCACTAGAGACGCTGTAAGGAGCTAGTGTCTCATGGTAGCTACGAGGAACATCTGTTACTTGAGACGCTGTGAGGAGCAAGTGTCTCAGGGTAGCTACGAGGAAAAAACATCTGTCACTAGAGACGCTGTAAAGAGCAAGTGTCTCAGGGTAGCTATGAGGAACAACTGTCACTAGAGACGCCATAAGGAGCAGGTGTCTCAGGGCAGCTATGAGGAACATCTGTCACTAGAGACGCCATAAGGAGCAGGTGTCTCAGGGTAGCTATGAGGAACAACTGTCACTAGAGACGCCATAGGAGCAAGTGTCTTTGGGTAGATAAGAGGAGTCATTCTCATTAGAAAACCCACTTGAACGTGTCACTGCAGCAAGTATTTGAACCCACAATATGTACATTTTGTTTAGTTTAACATATAATAAGTTTTAAAACACTTTGAATCTTGGAACTACATAACTGCAAAAAAGGTTAATCTGAGGAGCGAAATGTTCTTTGGACAATCCAATACTGAAATCGAGTACATGTCGACATATTCGTAGCTCGAGAAACTGTACCAACATGACAAGTTGGAGTTGACGGTGCCCCACTTTATAATAAAGATGAACATTACAGGCCTCAGGTGAGTATGCATGGCTACCCTATGAGGATTACAACACGACATTCAGATCATCAGAACAGACAGTTTTCCAGCGGCTACATGTGTTCATTTGGGCAGAAACTGTCCGTTTCCATGGTAATGTGTAAATATTTGTACATGTCTAGGTACAATGTGTATTATCATGATGTGAATTGTAAAACGTTTAATGACATATTGTCTGTTATCTAAATAAACGCGAGAAAGCTCTTTCCATAGTCATGAACATTCTCTAATAGAAATAGATCTAGAGTTAATTGTACGATTCCGACTACATCATGAGCATGTGTTTATGAATCACTATCAAATATTGATGATGGTGTTCGCGAAGGTGAGCGTATCCTGCCCTACCGGTGGCCCCCGTTACATACACATGCAAAGGCAAGTCAAGTGTACACCGACCCGTGAAGATGCGGGGGTAGAATAGGTCTTCAGCAACCCATTCTTGTATTAAAAGGCGACAACACTTGTAAGAGGCGACTAACGGGATCCGTTGGTCAGGCTCGCTGACTTAGTTGATGTATGTCATCGTATCCCAAATTCGTAGATGGATGCTCATGATGTCAATCACTGGATTGTCTGGTTAAGACTCGACTAGGTTCAGACCGCCGTCATATAGCTGGAATATTGCTTATTGTGGCGTTAAACAACAAACAAACAAACAAACAATTATTTACCTGCACAAACACGGGAACAAATAGTACAAGTCAAAATAGGTAATTGCATCGGACATCATTGATGCTGATGCGTCATATTTGGGAATTATGGTGGCCCTATATGTCGTTACTCTGATAAATAAACACGTAACGTCTACGGCCCCTGAAACAGCCTTAGACTCATGTCGTTCACTCTTAAATGCATAAGCTTGGTATTTCATACCTATTGATTTGCATAACAAACAATAACATAATATCGCTATCCAAGGAAAACATTCCTTTGTTTTAAGCGGAATATATACACCTGTCAATAACATAAGAGTCCTATCAGATATTCACAATAGATGACTTCCCTTACAGAGGAGTGAGTGAGTGAGTGAGTTTGGTTAAACACAGCTTTTAACAGTATTCCAGTTATATCGCGGTGTGTCAGCTTAATGTGGGAGGATAGCCCGAAGTGATGCAGGTCTCAGACGTTTACCACTTCGATAAAACCCACGAGCACGGGTATGGTGCTGACCAACATAAACGGGGCGAACCGGGATTCGAACCCACAATCATAGGTTTCTGGCGTGTCCAAGGAACGCACAACGAATCGTGGCGCCATAGACGACTGGGCCACCCGTGCGCCCCCCCCCACCCCCCCCACCCCCCCACCCCCCCGACAGAGGAATGCGAGTACCATATTCACCCAGTCCTGTGCGTGCATGGCGTCGTGGAAAAAACCACAAACGTGAATTTTATTCTTTATTGACAAACTAAGGTATAATAACGTATGATTGTAAAACATATTTGCAACAGAATGCAGTGCCAACAGAAAGCACATTGTTAATATAACACAGAATTCTGTCTCGAGTGAGTAAAACAAAATCTTTTACTTCTAATCTCATTAAAATCAGATCCGTTACTTCTTTACATTTTGTCTCTGCCTGAAGATCCGAGGACACCTCCTTAGAAGATGGCGTCAGATGAAACCTTAGCAACATTTGATCACCCAATCTGAATGAAGGATGAGTGGGATCTCGTGCCATTCAAATGGTGCTTTCATACCGAGAATTTAGAAGCTTCGATGTTGATTGGCTGATTGAAAAGTTTACTTGACCTGACCTGACCTCCTTTGGAGCTGTCCTCAGATCACGCAGAAGCATCGGATTTAATGAGATTACGTTATTTCTGACCTCTTGGGCCCCACTACCCTGAACCTTGATAATCCACGACCTTGACTATACAGAAACTGCCTTCGTCGGACCTTGGTAATCCATGACTTCATTATTCCGATTTTTGGTACTTGGTATCAAGGACCTCAAGACTCCGGACCTTGGTTAAACTATACCTCGAGGTCCTGCAGCTAACATGAGAATTCCCATGCATCATTAACTTTTCTCACGTCGAATGAAAACGTAAATGCTGAAGTGTATCACCCGTGTTTGGTTCGACTAGACCCCCAATCATTTCCCCAATATGTCACTAATGTTTGCGCATATTTCTGAAACATGCACTTTTGTCAAAGGACATCGACATTGCAAGCACCGTTTTCATTTCACTCTTTGTGAAGAATTGGTTGCTTTTGTTTTAGAAAGATTCCCTGTGAAAAATGAAATTAGTCTTTTGCACGTTGCCTCGGAGACACTGCCTCTGAACGTCCGTTATCAGACCCTTGGGCCCGCACGCAAACACGTCGACAGTCTCACTGTAATGAGAATCGTTCATCTAGTAAAACATTTATAGAGGACGTTGGCACAACTAGTTGAAATGTCAGACGTTTCTCAACATAAATTTATAGAAAAAAACAACTTGCATCAATTACTACTGTAAAACGAATGTGGATGTCTGCCACAAACTGATTGCTTGATAACGTCGCTAATTGGAATTCGAATCTCGGACATACACTGCACTTTTCACAGAATATATAGTGACCGCTTCTCGTCACGATATGGCTGAAATAATGCCGATGTGACGTTAAATCTTAACTCACTCACTCACGCAAATCGAGGTGAAATGCGCACATTTCCCGAAACATTTACTTTTTATAATGTTGATAAACAATTATAACCTCCGACCCTCGCCGACAGTATCAAATGTCTGAGTATGAAATATTCAATTACATCCATAAATCTGAGTACACATACAGTTTGTCTCATAATTATCATCGCTGACACATAAAGGGCCTGTTTAGACCCGTTTAGACCCGTTCAGACCTAGTTAGACCTACCGTCTGTGTGACGCGCAGAACTGACTGAAGTGTTGAGGCCAGACAGGTCGTCCTGGTTCTAGACGGGAGGTAACAAACTCCCTCTGCTCAGGGGGAATTGCCTAAAGAAGACAACACTTTCACACAAACACTACTTCGTCATATAAAGGTTATGTTAATACATCGAAACCTCGAAGTTCGGGGTACTATCGAGAATATATCGATTTATCTGGTTCTCGAGACAAACGTACTCACAGAGCGGTATGATGTCAAGGATCAACCATGCACGTCGACTTTCCGACTTCGACTTACGCGGGGTCAAACACTGATTAAGAACCATGATACCATGCTTTGACCTTGAAGGTACATATTCTGCGTCGATGTATCAAGTATTTCGAGGTAACACGGAACTACTGCATACAGTGAGTGAGTGAGTATGGTTTTACGCCGCTTTTAGCAATATTCCAGCAATATCACGGCGGGGGACACCAGAAATGGGCTTCACACATTGTACCCATGTCGGGAGTCGAACCCGGGTCTTTGGCGTGACGAGCGAACGCTTTAACCACTAGGCTACCCGACCGCCCCCTACTGCATACAGGGACGGTGGGGTAGCCTATTGGTTAAAGGTTATTGCCCACATGGGTAAAATGTGTGAAGCCCATTTCGGGTGTGCCCCGCTGTGAGATTGTTGGAATATTGCTAAAAGCGGCGTAAAACCTTACTCACTCACTCACTGTATACCAATATTGCTTTGTTTTTCAAGTAAATGAACATGTTACTGTATCCTCTACTACTGGTACACACAGCGAATATTGTACACAGCGAATATTTCGTATAAAGCTATTCTTCATCTCATGCCCTTGATTTCTTTGAACTGACCTGTATGTGAGACTCTTGCAGATCCGTGCAGTGGAATCGGATGTCCAGAAAATCAGGCATGTTTTGATTCCATAACTTTTAAATGGACAAAAGACAACTGCATTAGCAGATTCAGCATAAGTGCATACATTGGTGCTTATCTCATGATGTAGATCACCTAACGTAGCACATTTGATAAATACATGCACAAACAATGTCATCTCATGGTTGGGATATTTGCCTGTTATATATTTTATGAACACGTGAGATATTTCTATGGATGAAGGGCTTCTTTATTACAATGAATGCGACGTTTCGGTGCAGATACTAAGTTAAACGCTAACACCGTTACAAGCATAGTAAAACAACATCAGTTCAAGGACCTCCTCCATCCTGACAACAATTCTACCCTGAGAAACTTTTACACCAGAGTCAATCAATACCTTGACACACTGACAAAGACGACCGATGCGCAAAATTCGGCAACCTGAAACTGGCCAACAAAACCAGACCACCCCCACCCCCACACACACACGCACACGCACAAGCACGCACACACACACACCCTGCCAGAGATCAATTCCTGATGAAGAGGGTCATCAACCTTAAAGTTATTTTACTTACTTGTCAACGGTGTTAGTCTCTATACGGAAACATTTATTCATTGTAATCGAGAAGTTATATATCATTAAAAATATGTCCCTTGCTCATCATACCGACTTCTAAATGCAACTTTATGCTGACGGATGATGATATACCGACATGCTGCTTGTACTAATACTACTGACTCACTGTGTTCATGTTGATGAACACATACTAAGATGATAAACTCACATGTTGATGAACACATACTAAGATGATAAACTCACATGTTGATGAACACATACTAAGATGATAGACTCACATGTTGATGAACACATACTAAGATGATATACTCACATGTTGATGAACACATACTGAGATGATACTCACATGTTGATGAACACATACTAAGGTGATAGACTCACATGTTGATGAACACATACTAAGATGATAAACTCACATGTTGATGAACACATACTAAGATGATAAACGTACATGTTGATGAACACATACTAAGATGATAGACTCACATGTTGATGAACACACACTAAGATGATATACTCACATGTTGAAGAACACACACTGAGATGATACTCACATGTTGATGAACACATACTAAGGTGATAGACTCACATGTTGATGAACACACATTAAGATGCTAGACTCACATGTTGATGAACACACACTAAGATGATAGACTCACATGTTGATGAACACACACTAAGATGATACTCACATGTTGATGAACACATACTAAGATGTTAGACTCACATGTTGATGAACACATACTAAGATGACACTCACATGTTGATGAACACATACTAGGATGATAGACTCACATGTTGATGAACACACACTAAGATGACACTCACATGTTGATGAACACACACTAAGATGATAGACTCACATGTTGATGAACACATACTAAGATGATAGACTCACATGTTGATGAACACATACTAAGATGATAGACTCACATGTTGATGAACACATACTAAGATGATAGACTCATATGTTGATGAACACACACTAGGATGATAGACTCACATGTTGATGGGTGGATATTATCGTTGCTAAGAACCAGGTGAGCTCAAGTACAGATCGACACACCCATATTAAGTACAGGCGCTTTGGTTTTAACTTCTGTTTGCTGGACCTGAAATATATGTAGACGATTGGGAATGCTGGTGCTTGGCAGGCGGCATATACTTGCTTGAAACAGCCTTTTAAATACCCATAACATTCAGTTAGAGGGTATAACTCGTTTCAAGCAACATTGTAATTGTTCAAATAGCCATGTACTTTACCATGTGTGACAATTTGTCTGTTACTCGTTAATGAAATCACGCCAGAAACCTATGATTGTGGGTTCGAATCCCGGTTCGCCCCGATTATGTTTCTAGGTTTATCAGCACCATACCCGTGCTCAACGTTACAGCAAAGTGGTAAACGTCTGAGACCTGCATCACTTCGAGATTATCTCTCACACCAATCTGACGCCGTTATATTACTGGAATGCTGTTAAAAGCGGTCTCAAACCCAACTCACATACTTTAATGAAATCAAACGGTAACAAGAGCAAACTCTGTGAGCTGGGTTGACGTCACTATGGCTAAAACTTCAAAAATGTCAGGTCAAGTCTGCTGGATTCTAAAACTACGATGGCCGTGGACGTTTACAACAGGTGAAACCCACGTGTAAGGGTGAGGTGCTAAGACACCAAGACTGATGCTAAGACACCAAGACTGATGCTAAGACACCAAGACTGATGCTAAGACACCAAGACTGATGCTAAGACACCAAGACTGATGCTAAGACGCCAAGACTGATGCTAAGACGCCAAGACTGATGCTAAGACACCAAGACTGATGCTAAGACGCCAAGACTGATGCTAAGACACCAAGACTGATGGTAAGACACCAAGACTGATGCTAAGACACCAAGACTGATGCTAAGACACCAAGACTGATGCTAAGACACCAAGACTGATGCTAAGACACCAAGACTGATGCTAAGACACCAAGACTGATGCTAAGACACCAAGACTGATGCTAAGACACCAAGACTGATGCTAAGACACCAAGACTGATGCTAAGACACCAAGACTGATGCTAAGACACCAAGACTGATGCTAAGACACCAAGACTGATGCTAAGACACCAAGACTGATGCTAAGACACCAAGACTGATGCTAAGACACCAAGACTGATGCTAAGACACCAAGACTGATGCTAAGACACCAAGACTGATGCTAAGACACCAAGACTGATGCTAAGACACCAAGACTGATGCTAAGACACCAAGACTGATGCTAAGACACCAAGACTGATGCTAAGACACCAAGACTGATGCTAAGACACCAAGACTGATGCTAAGACACCAAGACTGATGGTCAGGTCGACATGTGATAAGGACTCAACACAGTTAATTATGACGCCAAGGCGACTGCGACATTCAAAGAGTGATTCGAAACTAGTCATCTCAATACTTCCATTGATCTCTCTCTGTCTTTCTCTCTCTCTCACTCTCTCTCTCTCTCACACACACACACACACACACACACGCACGCGCACACACACAGACACACACACACACACACACACACAGGTGGCCTAGTCGTCTAAGGCGCCACTGTGATTCGCTGTGCAGAGTTGCGTCCCTTTGACACGCCAGAAACCTATGATTGTGGGTTCGAATCCCAGTTCGCCCCGATTATGTTTCTAGGTTTGTCAGCACCATACCCCTGCTCGTGGGTTTCACCGAAGTGATGAACATCTGAGACCTGCATCACTTTGGACTTTCCTCCCACATTAAGCTGACACGCCGTGATATAACTGGAATACTGTTCAAAGCAGCGTAAAACCCAACTCACTCACTCATTGATGTGTTCAATTTGACAAGAAAGATCAGTAAGTTCTGCAATATCAGCTATTTACCTGACATGGTTCAATACTGCAATGAAGGGTGTTATTCCTATTCCGCCAGCTATACACACTGCAACTCGACTCTGAAGAACTGTGTCCAGAGGCCCTCCAAACGGCCCATCAACCACAAGCTTCAGCCTATATACAAAACAATGCATGAGCATAATTTTTCGTGTGCTTCAAGACAATCAAAGAGTACATCATATAGCGCCCGATACGACGCCAGCAGGACATCACCGCCAACAGTCAACCGTGAAGATCCCGGTTAAAATTGGTCTTCAGCAAACATGCTTGTCGTAAGAGGCGGATAAGCAGGGATATTGCTGGGTGCAACGTTAAACAACGAATCAACCAACCAACAATCCATCCAACCAACCGACCGACCGACCGACCAACCAACCAGCCAACCAACCACACAGTTGCGGCCTGGGGCTAATGTAATACCCACATCACACCAAACTAGTTCTCAATACGTTCGAGAAAATGTTGTCGAACGAGCTCCAACTGTGTATGAAGGTAGTGGACGTAGTAGCAACTATTGACAGTCTTTTTACGAACTTCATGGACGTGGAGGGTGCTCTAGAACTTTGATTCTGCTCAAAATTTTATCCCGTCCATCCCGTTCTGCAATTCGTCGGATTGACAGTACTTAAAACGAGAAACAGGTATTACGAACTGAACTGCCGTACTTCGAACGGAATTGCCGTACTTTGAACCTACTAGGGACGTGTTACGACGTGGTGCAGTCGGACCTAAATTTCAGTACGTGTGCGCACCGACCGGGTCGACTTCTCTTTGGAGGCATGATGTGTACAGCTCGGAGCCCTGAACTTGAATGAAGACTGGCTACAACGCGCTCGGTATCCATAGGAGTCGGGCAAGGACGGGCCAGGACGCGAATACACACGCACTTGGGACGAGATAAGGACGTACTGCGAACGAGTTGGTCGGGTTAAGAATTAGTTAGAACTGGCTTGGGCGTATTGTGAACGAGGTAGAACTGGTTAAGAACGGGTTCAGGACGGCTACGGACGTGCTGGAACTGCTTCGAAACGTTGTCGGGATGAGGTGAACGGGCACTTTTACACGATCTGAACTGGATACAAACGGACTGCAGACTGGCTAGGAACGAGATAGACGTATTGGGGACTGCTTATGAACCAACTAGCATCGTATTTTACGCCAAACTACGCGTTCTACCGTGATCACAGCCCGTTCTAGTATTTTGTTTAGAACGGGGTAGAACGGGATGAAACTACTTTGGTGTGATAGTAGCATAAGTTCATCTGCATTACTCGTTACGGCTTCACTCAGCTCTGGGACTGTTGCTCTTAAGGCAGACCAAATAGTACCAGCAGATGTTGTTTGCACTTATCACTGTCTACACTAAAATAACATAGACATGAAAGGGACAGCGGCAAAAGTTGACACATGTTTGGCTCTGGGGTGTAGTCAATATGTCCCTGGGTGTCATTGTACAAAACAACCTTAGCAACACGACTGTCGTAAGTCTATGTTAAGGTATGGGAGTTACACTTGCGTATGATCGCTTTGTACAACGGCACCCACGTCGGGTTATAGATATCATCCAATGAAGAGCCACAGTTACGGCCTTGGGATGTCGTAATCAGTAATGCAGATGCCAGATTACGTCACCCCACGACCAGCCAGGCTGATAGAGAGGCCCTAACAAGCTGGGTATTGACCTATAGGTTGTAGCAGGATCACTCGGGGTCCGTGGCGTTTTATGTGTCCCGACGCTTAAAGCCCCATGTATTTCGAGAGATCCTACTGCAACGAATTTATCCTACCGACATTTTATGATATGACATTGTGAAGGAGATAGGACAAATTCCAAACAGATAGAAAACAGCTGTTCGATTGAGCTGAGATTTTTTGTGTGCTAAGACATGTGACTTTCATTGACTCGGAAAAGCGTGCGGCTTTTTGTTTCGAAGGGGGTATGTAAGGGATTTATTCTGCCTCTTAGAAATCCACGTGCAGTCTTGCTCGTGGCGGGGTATAAGAGATTTTTTCTCCCGCTGAGACATTTGTTTCATTCCAAGGCGGAATACATAGTATTTTATCATGATCACGTGGAAAAATAAAATCTCATAATTTTGACATGGAAGTATGATAAAGTATTTTATCAAGATCACGTGGACAAATCAGATCTGACTATTAGGTATGATAATGGACATCGTCTTACCGAGGTGTTTCATCAAGTGACTCAACAGATTCTTCCCGCTCCTCGTGTAGCGACTCCTGTACATGTGCCCTGAGTCGCTCTGAAATAAACAGTTGATATGATCTTCGGGACCAACAATTGTAAAATAAATTTTCAAAAAGTCTATTTTTGTTAATACAGGTTATGATGTGCCGGTTGAAAGCAGAACACCGATGTTTATTGGTTGTTTAGAGATTGTGGGATTGCCCGACCTTAGCTTGTCACGCCGATGCACTGATCCCAACAAGAGGCACGATGGGATCAGGCCAAGCAGTGGCAAACCGCTCTGCAGAGTTGCCCCCCTTAGGCGTGTTAGAATCCGAAGAACGTTAATTCGAATCACAGATTCGCTCTGTTTATGATTCAAAGTGAGTCAGTGGATTTCACTAAAGTGGTTAAAGCCTAAATGTTGTTCACTTCGGACTTTCCCACACGCGCTAATACACATGACATTATGGTAAAAGCGGCCTGAAAATGTACCCACGCACTATCCCCTAATTTTATGCAATGTGTGAAACCCATTTCTCGTGGAGTCCCGCCGCTATATTGCTGGAAAATTAGGTTGCGTAAAATCACACTAACCCAAAAACTAATTCCCATGTACAAAATACAAGTATTTTTATAGTTTCCAATCCAATACAGTTATGCAAAATAGTTCGTGCTGAGCTACAGGATAGTCTCACTGACGTTCTTCAGCATCACTGTGCTAACCAATAAATCTCGGGAATCCCAAACATAATTCATCAGTTTAAAACTAGCTTGCGACAGTGTCGACTAAATGGAGGTGACTACATTGCGTGTGGCTGATTGCGTGCCATTGCACCTCGACGTCTTGGGTGGATGCTCATACCATCAACCACTGGTTTGTCTGGTAGAACTCGATGACAATCAATCATCGACCATTCTCTCTGGAGAGAACACTACACATAAAACCCGCCTGCCCCGCCTAAATAATTCAACTAAGTAGGACAATATTGAATCATTGGAAAATATTGTCGCACTTTAAAATCATGCTAATGTCAAGATAAATGAATGAGTTGGTGATTGACAAACATGGTAAATTTGAGTAAATATTAGTTTAGTCACAGTCCCCTATATTCCGGCTATATCACGACGACATTACGTAATCGAGTCTGGACCAGTGGCTGAATACATGATTAACGGTCCACGTCATTGGGCACAATAACACACAGTCACAAAGGCTGACCAACCGATCCCCATTTAAGTCGGCTCTTTCAAGAGTCATTGGAACTAGGCACCTGCTCTGACCCAGAATCGTCTCCTGACGGTGAAAAAAAATTCCGACATACTCGTTAATTCGACATAATCACATGCAACCAACTAACCATGTCGGATTAACGGGACTTGGCTGTTCTAGGATGATCCCGCCCGATAGCTGTACGCTAATAAGTGGATGGGAGGGTGAGTGAGTGAGTTTTGCTTTGGAACAATATGTCAATAATATCACGGCGTGAGAGGAAGCCCGAAGTGATGCAGCTCTTAGACGTTTATCACTTTTTGTTGTAGACCACGAGCATGGATATGGTGCTGAACAACCGAGAAACATAATCGGGGTGATCCGGGATTCGAACCCATGACATTAGGATTCTGGCATGCCCAAGGGACGCAACTCTGCATGCAATTATGAACTATGAACGCAATTATAAATATAGTGAGTGAGTGAGTGGTTAAGTTTGGTTTTACGCCGCTTTTAGCAATATTCGAGCAATATCACGGCGGGGGACACCAGAAATGGGCTTCACACATTGAACCCATGTCGGGTATCGAACCCGGGTCTTCGGCGTGACGAGCGAACGCTTTAACCACAAGGCTATCCGACCGCCCCTATAAATATAGTGAAAAGCAACATATAACCTAACAATAATATAACAATATAACAACAAGGTCTATGTGAAATGCACACATCATGATGAACAAAAAAACAAACATTTAAGAAATTTCGATTTTGGAAATTTGTAGTTATATATTTTCTGGATGTCACGTATGTTAACACATCTCAAGGTCTTATTTCACAAATCCACCGCAAAATATAAGTCTGTGCCCAGAGCCAGACAGCCAAGTGTCCCATCATGCCTTTAATTCCCTAACTGAGATTGTCACAAAACAGGTGAGGCGGCAGCAAGACTACCACGTGACTGCAGGATGAGGATGGAGATCATGCGTCACAGCTTACAGCTACTGGGCAGACACGGTGAACGACACGGGGTCAGCCGTGCTCCTACACGTGCATTTGGTTTGTTGTTGATAATAAACGGAGTGAGTGAGTGAGTGCGTGAGTGAGTGAGTGAGTGAGTGAGTGAGTGAGTGAGTGAGTGAGTGAGTGAGTGAGTGAGTGAGTGAGTGAGTGAGTGAAAGCTATAGATCGTAAAAACGGATATCCCTATTCATTGTGAGGGTGTGAGTGAGTTTGGTTTAACGCCGCTGTTGATAAAGATGAGTGAGCGAGTGAGTGAGTGAGTGAGTGAGTGAGTGAGTGAACGCTATAGTTCGTAAAAACGGATATCCCTATTCATTGTCAGGGAGTGAGTGAGTCTGGTTTTACACCGCTTTGATCAAGGATCTTTCCAAATAAGGGATTCTACCCACGATCGGCGGATTCTTGTATTAGCGACAGAGCATGCACTGGCCCGTGCCTCATATATCGTCCTTAGGGAGAGGCGTATTGTCACAGTGTTTCTCATCACTCGGGCTTCAATAATGGAAATGACAAGATATTGATTAATAGTTACCAATTCACCTGACCAGTCACCACGTGTTCGGATATGTACTGATATTTCTGGACGGTCTCTTGTTGGACACTGAAAGAATGACCAGCCGAATAAGGTGCAATATTCATAATTAATGCATATTAATGAGCAACAGCCCATCTTGATAAAGATATACAAGTAATCTGAAGTTATGTTTCAATACGAACGCACAAAGCATCTCTATAATTCATACGGAGTGTTACAAAAATACTAATGATTTTCTACAATACCTTTGTGATGGAGTACGGATGCCATTCAAAAACGGATAGTCTCGGGCACTGGATCAAAACATACTGCAATAAAGCGATGACTCAGATATTTACTGTTATATTATATGTGAAGTGGTAGATTTTTCTCATTTTAAATTATAGGTTCCTGGGATGGAAACGTCATCAGTTACATGTTGTAACGTCGACATCGGCAATAACCAAAGCAGCCGAACCCATAACGTGTTGTGTTATAATGAGCGAGTAAGTTAGATATTTAACCAGTGTTATCATTCTTCATATATTCATGTGCAGGCAACCACAAGTTAATACTTTATTCGTCATTCATTCTACGAGATTCGCACAAGGAATAATGAAAATTGTCGTTATTCGCTATTCATGTTTGAATTATCCTCGGATAACGAATCACTAAATATCCCCCTGTCCGTCTTTAAACACTCCTGAATGGCAAGTCGCTATACCTAGGACGGGACGTTAAACCCATTTCACCTCACCTCACCATCTGAATGCCAAAGAGAGAATTTTTCGTTTTTCAAATATCACTGCTGAATGAATTTTGTCCTCAAACATGCAATTTTCAACACAGGAATGAGTGTTTATTTCATTTAGTAATGCTAACATCCATATATAGTCCTTATTCGCTAATTCAAACGCGAATTACGAAAACGAATAGATGCTATTCCTTTAAAGAATCTCGGAGTACGAATAACGTATTGATTTATAGTTTTCTGAATAAAAAACCAAGAGAAACCCATTTGATATAGTAATTGTATATATCATATATAATTACCTGCCCTGGTGAAGGTTTGTGCAAATCTGTGTGCATATGGATTTCAATGACGTCACAATAATGTTCGATTATGTCCGTGACAATAACAGTTGTCTCCCTTTGTTTCATCCGGAAAGCACCATCTATGACGTAGAGAAGAAGGGGTATCCCTATCCATAGCCAGGACTGGAACACAGGGGAAGACTTGGTATGATATGAGTAGTACAATGGAGCCTCGCTGGACCCCGTCAATCCAAACACCCTGCCTTCCAGATTATTACATCTTTCCGAGGCAAGAGAGTTAACTGACTTTAAAAGTCCAATTTTCACCCTTGCCGAACTAGGCTGGAATTCCTGGGCTCGATCGTAGCGCCACCACTGGTTATTACGAGTTATGTCTCTTTTTAGCCTCTCCTATGGACCAATCAGATAACACCTCTCGTATGACTTGCATTTGTTTAAAACAAAACGACGGCGCCCAGTCAAGACGATCTGATCAATAACCAAGATCAAAATTGTGATACACCGGGTCTTACATCGCGAAGTGCATCGAATCACGTGAGCACCTTGAATAAAAACATGAAGAAATTGGGAAAATATCTGCTGACAACGCACATCCTGCAATCGACCGAAATCTGCTAGATAGTTTACGACCCGGATTTCGATTTCGGTGCGCGATTTTGATTGGACTATGCATAGACTCGTTGGTCCAGCCAAAATGTCACTCCATAATACCAACTTAGTTCGGCAAGGGTGGAAACTGGACTTTCAGATAACTCTCTTGTTTTGGGAAGATGGATTATTATTGTTTGGAACGACTATATCTCTTTCAATGGAATCACAATCAATCGAATTAAAATCAGACTCTAGTTCTCGTTACCGCCAAACAAAGATCTGAGGACATCCCATTACAGGTCATTTCAGAACGACAATGGAGCAGTGATTGTTCATGGAAAACGTTCAAACCAGTTAGAGATTTAGATCAGATGCGACATTAACAAAACTGTACGTTAATTATGGATAACACACCTGACAACCAATACTGTCAAATTTTGGTTCCTCTTGACACCGGTAGGAGTGGAATGAATATTCTGCTTCCGGTTCCGGTTCTGCCATTGACATTGTCAAAGTATCGTTACATCCGGGTGTGTGAGCGGGAATGTTGATCTGCTTCCTTATTGGTCCCCTGACAACAGAGTTTGTAGATCTTAGAGCGAGTAAGAGAGTATGGCTTTACGCCGCTTTTAGCAATATTCCAGCAATATCACGGCGGGGGACACTAGAAATGGGCTTCCCACATTGTACCCATGTCGGGAATTGGACCCGGGTCTTCGGCGTGACGAGCGAACGCTTTAACCACTAGGCTGACCGATCGCCCCTTTAGAGCTTAGAGAATAATAAAATAGAATTATTATGCTTCCATCAAATAGAACACGCCAAAGAAGTAATAATGATAACAATAATGATCATGTAATAATAATTAGAAAAATCATCAAATAACGAGTTATCAACAAGAAGTATAATGATAATTAACTGAACATTAAGATAAATATAACTCCCTTTGATTAAAAATCACAGCATTGAAAATGGATTTAAGTGTGAGTAAAAGGAGCAACGTAAGTACTGAAGGATACACCAAAAGCAGAATTCTTACAGCGTATTGTTTCAAACTAGTATGATGACAATTTAAGGCGCCTTAATGCACTTTGCAGGGTTGCGTATCTTGGGTATGCCAGAAAATTATAAGTGTGGGTTCGAATCCCGTCCGCCATCCTTATGTTTCAAGGTTTTCAGCACCAGATCCGTGCTCGTGAATTTCACCAAAGAGGTGAACTTCGGGCTTTCCTCCCACGTCAAGCTGACAAGCCGTAAAATATCTGTTTTTTCACTCACTCACTCACCCCAGTCCCTGAAGCACGTGCCAGACACATTGCTTACCTTAAGGCGTGTATAAGAAGAAGGATGTAGAACACCACGATCAGTCTGTGAGTGTACCAGAACAGGTCGTAGTTGGTGTCCCTGAAATAAACAAGGGACACGCTAAATATTAACAAGAAAGGTGTCCATTTACTTTGTTACCACCATACCTTTGATCGTTTGATTTGAACTGAATGGTAAACGTGAACGAACTGATCAATTCGGTATGCTCTACCTCAGCCTTCTGGTTGCCTATCGGCGGCCTAACGGCAGCCTATCGTTTGAATATTTAAAAAAAAAAAAAATAATAATAATAAGAAAAATGTGACTATAATAGTGTTAATTCAAGAAATTACCAGTGGACCTTATTTTCTTCTTGTTGCGAAAGCAAAAAGCTGCTGAAAGCACGACCTCATTCAAACTCATATCACAGACGTGCGCTGCGATTCTCACCTCATGTAGCGGAAACTGGATGTTACAATCATAATCAGAATCATCATCATCAGCATGCCTGTGATGCCAGGAACTGCAAGAGACAGATACTTCTTTAAGTGATAAATAGAGCTTTGTTTGTTTGTTCTACTCCGCAGTCAGCAATATTCCAGCCATTTCAAGGCGGCGTGTAACTAACCGAATCGGACCCAGAACAAACCAATGGTTGATATCATGAGCAAGGTTCCACGCCGAGACCATGACAGGCAATGTACAAACTGAAGTCATGACCATCATGCATGTCTTCAATGCATTCGTATAACAAAACATTACTCTAGTGTCTAGCATACAAAAGCACATACTTGGTAGAAAGAAAGACAAAAAAGTAAGAAATAAATAACTTACCTGTTGTTATGGCAACAAGGAGAGGATCCTGAAAATAAAAAAAATAAAAACTTGAATTCATAATATGTATTTTTGGATTAAAAAAACCAACAGTTGTATTAGTCAATCATAACAAGGTCACAACAAATAAATGGACTTTATTCAAATAAGGACATTAATTTTTTGCCATTTTTATTAATATTCCAGTTGTATCACGACGGGGAATTAGATTCAGACATGAACATGTTTTGGCCAGTAAGTTAGTTATACAAAGGATTGAATAAAAAAGAAACCCCGACTAGCTGTAGACATTTAACACGTAGCAGCACCCTTGATCACGTACTCATTACAATCAGAATCTCAGGCACGAGTCCACCTCCATATCCGACACGTGAAGATTCCGGGGTAGAATAGATCTTCAGCAACCCATGCTTGCCGTAAAAGGCGAGTATGCTTGTCGTAAAAGGCGACTAACGGGATCGGGTGGTCAGGCTGGCTGACTTGGTTGATACATGTCATCGATCCCAATTGCGTTGATCGATGCTCATGATGTCAATCACTCGATTGTCTGGTCCAGACTCGATTATTTTACAGACCGCCGTCTTATAGCTGGAATATTGCTGAGTGCGGCGTTAAACAACCAACCAACCAACCTCCATATCCACAGAAGGTCGCGTCAGCCAGTCAGAACCGAGGCTTCTAAACTCTCGGTCGGAGTGAGCGAGAAATTCAGACCTGCATGTCTGATTTGTGTCGAAAACGAAGTTAATCGGGTTGTTCCGAATGTAAACGAAAAATGTCGCGCCATTGTATTGTTGAGTATATTGGATTCACCTTGACGTGTATTAGCGCCATAGCACCTTTTCACCCAAAGGGCAGTACCTTCGGAGGAATATTTGTCTCCTGTGCGTTCTGTGTGTTATATTTTGTTAAAATCGAAATTTCTGGCTCAGGGTGGTTATTAAATGAAGCAGAATAGTTTTGTCCTTCATCAAATTCTCTAAAGATCCTATGCTTCCTTCATTGTGATGGGACGATCAAAGTTCGCCTGACGCGGACTTCTGTGGAAGTGTTCGCAGACCCTGGTGTAGTGTTTATATCGTATCGGAGGAAAATATCTGATTTTAATGAGATTAGGTGCTGACAAACCAAGAATTATGATCGGATCAGAATGAGGGATCCGAACCATGACTTCCCTGTCAAAAGATGTGAGGTGAGGTGAAATGAAGTGCTAGCTCACTGAGATACCATGCCGCAGTTTAACATGAATACCCCACTCAGACACAGTATACTCACTTCGAGCCGACCAGTCCTTGTTTTAGTCCCTTAATGCCCAGCGCCAGGGTAACAACAAGTACCATCATTTAACGTCTTTCGGTATGACGCGGCCGGGGGTCGAACCCCGGACCTTCCGCTCTCCGGGCGGACCCTGTCAAAAGAGAGACTGCAGCCCAGCGGTCTAGGCACCGCAATTTACTGGGTACGGTTGCGCCCCTTGACTACATAGATCCGCTGATCGAGGGTTCGAATCTCAGACTCTCCGATTATGATCCTCGGTCTGACATAACTCTACCCTTGCTCGCTGGTGGCACAAACATGGTGAACGTCATCAACATGAGGATAATACTCAGGGGATGTACATATTTTATGAGCTCTTCTACGGGATAATACAAAAGCGTGATTGTTCACGAACGCTTCGCGTGTTGAAGTCGTGCAGTTATCGTGCTGTTATCGAGCTGTTACGAGAAGTAACGTAGATGTTATTGAACTTACCTGGTTGGAGAAATGTGCACCGTTGACGCCAGGGATAGCCGGGTTGTAATACTGGGAGAAGTTTCTGGCATTGAACATGTGAGCAACAAAATGAATAACTGAAACACATAGAGTGAAACCTCGTCAGACCGGACCCTGTGTATCCCAAAACCTCATCAATCCGAACCCTGTGTCTTCCGAAACCTCATCAATCCGAACCCTGTGTATCCCGAAACCTCATCAATCCGGACCCTGTGTATTCCGAAACCTCATCAATCCGGACCCTGTGTATTCCGAAACCTCAACACCAGGACAATTACTGCTCCGTATAGGGTCATCACTACGTGCTCAGGAATCGTTAATCCAGAAATTCGTTAAAACCGGAGAATACATTCGGATTGACGGGACTTTTTAATACAAGTACAATTTATTAGTTTCTCAGTTTGGCTTTGTGGTATGAAATTATCTCATATTACACCAACGTTATGATTTACAATAAATGAATAAAAGTATAAACATTTGTAGATAATCAAGTATATAACTTTACTATCCCTTTATTCTGTATATCGTTACCTGCATTTATACATATGAAGAAGGCGCAAGTTATATGGAAGCCTTTGCATGTGTCAAGGATCAGTCGCATAGTTTCTACAGATATCTGAAATGAAACAAGAAAAACGCAAGTGGCAGATTGCCCAAATCGAGAACATGATCCAAGTTAAACGGTTCAGGTACGTTTTTTACATGAGCACATTATTACGTAATATTACATAAGGCTGTTTACAACTTCTTTCTCTACCCAATGAGTTTTGCTTCCTGCCTATCCCGTCGATGTGGCGTGTTTGTAGAAGGTATCAACGTATGTATCATATAATTGGCAGGAGGGATGTCTAATGTGTCATTAAGAGTGACTAATACGTGATGGAACGCTCACCCTCCTGTTGAGTCTGCGCAGTAGGGTGAGGAGCGATCGACACATTGGTAGCAGGACAAAGCCGCAGTTGAGGTTGAGAACGGCGGCCGAACCTCGTGAGATGCATAACCAGGGCTGGAACCGAGCAATAAACACACATGAAAAACACTTCGAGTAACCCGGATTTCGAGACAAGCGTCGTTATTATATTAACAAGAAATTCATGTTCCAAGTTTTAAGAATACAACGTAACGTGACTCATGAAATGTTGGGACTCTTACTTTGAAATCGACATATCCGATGTATTCGACTTAAACGGTCGCAAAATGTTACAAAAGAATCGATTCTCCCGGAACCTAGACGGCACCTAGTCTTAAACGAAATATCGTTTTGAGATTTCAAGTTAACGCGTTTCCAATCATGTATATGGTATTACGCTAGGTTCACAAGGTAGTTCAATCGCCTCCCGAAATAAGATATAAACATTTTATAAACACAAACATGTACTTCGGCAAAAGAATACGGACATCATATGAACTTTCTCAGGCTGTATAATTTCAAACTTAAATCAACATGTCTCATTTGACCCGTAACAAAATATAACACTTGTTTCATAACAATACCTAGCTAACTGAGCTTATGAGTCAGTTGCATACCCTTGCTCTCGGGTTTCACCGAAGCGGTATTTTTTTAACGTCTGAGACCTGCATCATTTCGGGCTTTCCTCCCACATTAAGCTGACACGCCGCGATATAACTGGAATACTGTTAAAAGCGGCGTTAAATCAAACTCACTCACTCACTCACTATTAGCCAATAGTGTTTCCGTATCGTCCATATCATATATCAGGAATATATATTTGCCTTATGCGAACCTTACAAGTCATAACGCTCTCGACTTGCAGCATGGAAGTCACATTACATGTATAACGAACACGATTATAACGAACTGACGGATATAACGAATTTGTTTTTTTTATCCCGGCCATTTGCTGTAAATATGCTGTACATATGCTTATAACGAACTACGGTTATAGCAAACCCAAAGAGATAATTAATTTTAGTTCGTTATAACCGTAGTTCGTAACAGGCATATGCACAGCATGTACACATCAAATGACAGGGACCCCCAAAAATAAATTCGTTATATCCATCAGTTCGTTATAAGCGTGTTCGTTATAAACGTAGTTTAATGTATATGGGAATAAAAGGGTTCCCATCTAAAGGGGTTTCAATGTAACTCGTAATCTACAGCAGCATAAGCATAATGTCAGTGGAACACGTGGTTGCCATAAAGGTATCGTATAAAACTATCCCCTCTGTTAGCAACACGCTGAAGTGTGTAAACACGGGTCTTATCTTTGTCCGGAAATTTCAGCCATTCCCGTGACTCACGCACATGAGTGTAGCGATATGCACAATGCATGGTTGAGTATGTTCGTAGCGAGAAAGGTTATCAGGAACCTGTTATAAACATCCCGAGCACGCTTCGATGTGCCGTGTGTCATATTCACAATTGCCTAGCACCCCATACCATGGAAACCACTGACGTTATTGTATTCAGATAACACAAAGACTTGGCTCTTTCCTTCTTGATTCAATCCGACATTACGTCAGAACGTACACAATAACTTGATAGAATATACGTAGATATACACAAAGAACTTGAAATTCAGATAAAACAATATTGTATTTTGTCATAAAAACTTTTATTGTAACTGTACCCAGGTGCACAACATGGGGGTAAAAGAAACTATACCTCTTATTTAATTTTATTAATGGTTTGATTTTCAATTAAATATATCTTAAGTTCGCGATATTATGTAAAAAAATGAACGATACTGCCGCTTAGTCAGCAATAAAAGAATACTGACATGTAGAAGTATTCTTTGAATTGTTATATGGAAGTGTATTTTATTGCTAAATATAAGAAAGCTACGCGATAAATCGCAAAGAACAATGAAGAACAAAGCGTGGTTTATTTCACGATAAAACATAGATCTATCATCACGTCATTTCTGGAGATTCGAATATGCGCTCACAACTTGATGACGTCGTATGTTTGACGACGTTACTTTTGAGATAGAAGTGTCTGGTGAGTTGTTCCTCATAGATGTATCAGGACAACGCAGATAAATGCGATGGCTGATCTACATCGCATCCAAAACCGGGGGAGATATGACAATCGGTATTGGGAGAAAAGGTGCAGATAATCGACGTGAGGATTGTGAGCATAGGCAGGAAATACCCACCTGTGCATAAAATGGACTTGTCCGACGTTGCCGAGGGCGGATGCTATTGAGGGAGTCATCATTATTTAAATAGGGGTTAATATGTTTAAAGCTTGTACATTTTATCAACATCCTTAAAGAGGCTGTACTTAATGTTGATAGCTCATATAAGAAATAAACAACGCCCACTCATCATTTATTTTGTAAATAATGATTGTAAGTGTATTACATTGTTTCTGTTGAGATTCTGTAGAAGCTCATTGTATTGTATTTGGACAGTGAATAGTTGTCAGGAATGTAGTACTGTTTAATGTTAGCAGTTTTGAGGAAGTTACTACATTTAGATGCTACTGACATATGTTAACTTCCGGAATACCATGGACTGTGATAGAGTATTATAGAAACATATAGAATATTCTATATTGTGATGGAACTGCATTGAAATTCCCAGTAGGAGTTAGACTGTATAGAAAGGGACAAGAGCGTACTTCCCGTATCTCTCACACAAAAACAATGTTATACAGTATACAATATATAATACACTACCATAACTACTCAAATAATAATTCTACGTGGTTTTATTTTGGAATCTTTTGCTCTCAGTTTATTTCTCTGTAGAGAAAATCTTCATTGTTTGAATAGCAAGATATCATCATATTCTTCAATTTGACGTGTTCCTTTGTTTAAGTTACTTAAATATTAGAAATCGCCTTGTCCCGCGGTTTCGTCGTCGGAGTCACAACAGGTCAAGCATCAATGACCCGCAGCTGGGGTAGGGTGGATCAGTAATAGATCTCTGTATTGCTGTAAATATCTAGTTACATATCCAGTCCAAACTGCAAGGTTACGTACTTCGTATCACTGTTAGAATTATAGTAGGACTCCAGATACTTCAAGGTTGAGTTGAATAATCCCGAGAGAGTCCGTGTGCGACATACGCTTGCAGTCGGAAAGCGCACGTTAAATCTCCAATATAAGTAAGTAAGTAAGTAAACCCTCCATACTCTGCCCGTCAACGCCCGATTATCAAGCCAAGCAGATTCCATTGGGCGTAAAAGGCAAATTCAAGGTGAAAATTATAAGAATGGATCACTGAAAATAATTGAGGACACCAGTAGCGAAATGAGTAAAAGCCTATAAATCATTGCTTTAAGGGGTGTTCATTCGTCAAAGACCACGTACGACAAAGCTGAATGGCGTTGTTGTTGGGCATGGAAGTTAGGCTCCTCAAGTGAGGTTTCTGGATATATGAGATGCTGTAATATAGAGGTATAACAAGAGTGGGGTGCCCCTCACAACCTACCCCTAGCATCCGATGAACGTAATAGAAGCCGGGGTCGTACTTGAAGTAGCAGTATGTTCTCCAGAACAACACGGCACATCCCGCCGCCCACAGCACCTGCAACACAAGACACAACATGAATTACGACATCTACGTGGTCATAGCTTGCAACATGCGTCAGATGGCTGTTTTATTTTGTACCTGGTAGTGATAAACACACAATCAACCAATAATGCATAGAGCTGGACGTGATATAACGCTGGATAGTTAGTTGGTTCATGTCTGATGGGTTATTCCTCAAGATGTGGTACACTGTAGACTAATCTCCGAAAAAAAGTGTTGTGTAAAAATGTTAAATAAAATTGATCCACTTTAGGAACGCTCAAGTTTCTTTATGTCACCAAGAACTGAGAAGGGGATCAGTGCAGTCTGCTGGAGAAGAGAAGGGGACAATTACAGGCTGTTTGAGCTTGGAAGGGGACTATTACAGGCTGCTGGATGTGAGAAGGGGATCATTACAGGCTGCTGGAGGTGAGAAGGGGATCATTACAGGCTGCTTGAGAAGAGAAGGGGATCATTACAGGCTGCTGGAGCTGAGAAGGGGACCATTACAGGCTGCTGAAGAAGAGAAGGGGACCATTACAGGCTGCTCGAGCTGAGAAGGGGACCATTACAGGCTGCTGGAGCTGAGAAGGGGACCATTACAGGCTGCTGGAGAAGAGAAGGGGGATCATTACAGGCTGCTCGAGCTGAGAAGGGGACCATTACAGGCTGCTGGAGCTGAGAAGGGGACCATTACAGGCTGCTGGAGAAGAGAAGGGGATCATTACAGGTTGCTGGAGGTGAGAAGGGGACCATTACAGGCTGCTGGAGCGTAGAAGGGGATTATTACAGGCTGCTGGAGCTGAGAAGGGGACCATTACTGGCTGCTGGAGCGTAGAAGGGGATTATTACAGGCTGCTGGAGCGTAGAAGGGGACCATTACTGGCTGCTCGAGCTGAGAAGGGGACCATTACAGGCTGCTGGAGCTGAGAAGGGGACCATTACAGGCTGCTGGAGCGTAGAAGGGGATTATTACAGGCTGCTGGAGCTGAGAAGGGGACCATTACTGGCTGCTGGAGAAGAGAAGGGGGCCATTACAGGCTGCTGGAGCTCAGAAGGGGACCATTACAGGCTGCTGGAGAAGAGAAGGGGATCATTACAGGTTGCTGGAGGTGAGAAGGGGACCATTACAGGCTGCTGGAGCGTAGAAGGGGATTATTACAGGCTGCTGGAGCGTAGAAGGGGATTATTACAGGCTGCTGGAGCTGAGAAGGGGACCATTACTGGCTGCTGGAGAAGAGAAGGGGGCCATTACAGGCTGCTGGAGCTCAGAAGGGGGCGAAAATTGAATGGGAGAGAATGTTGTGAGTATTACATCGCTGATGGTGGCGTACACCAGAAATAGGCTTCACACATTGTCCCAATATAGGGAAACGAACCCGGGCCTTCGGTGTCACGAGCGAACACCACTAGCCTACGGCACCGCCCCCGTGGCTGTAACAGAGGATACGGTACAGTTCTATTGGTTTGGTGGTGATTGTGATTTTTGTGGTTTGTGTGATTTTGCGTGATATTTCATAACTTAAATAATTTCAAATACATGTAATACCAAGCGTTTTAAAGACATTATAATATTTTAACAGTTAACTTTAATTAAATAAGGTATAATCGTATACGTTACCGAACTGAATGAACTGATTGTTTATGAAGACGCGTCACATATATATATTATGTACATGGAAGATACATACATGCATACACACAGTAAACAGTAAAGTACGGACCATGCAAGGCCAGTTTTGGCCGAGGAGACACCCTAAATCCTTTTATACACAGGGTAATGTAATGTCATTATATGCATAGATGCAAGCAAGATGGGTCTAGATGGCTAGATGGCAAGATGGCAAGATGGGTAGAGCGTCCGTCCGGAGAGCTGAAGGTCAGGGGTTCGATCCAAACCTGTCCTCCCATGATGAGAGATAGCCGCCCAATTCATAACGCTACCCCCACCAAACCCGTCCACTTCATGTACGCAGTTTCCGGAGTAACGTTCTCCCCGACGTCTGTAGACACGTGCTCTTCCATCCCTTCGATTCGTCGATCCATCTTGATTCGTCGCTGAACCAGACCTCTCGCCATCGGATTTGAGGCCATACCCTCTGTTGACGACACCAATGCAGTCGTTGTTGACGATGTTGTCGACTCAATATGACGCGTCGAACAGGACGTCTTGCTCGTAGACCTGCTGCTCTTAAACGGTTTCGTACGGTCTGGTCGGAGATTCTGCGCCGTCCGGGGATTTGGGATGCGATTGAAGTGGCTGTGGTCGACCTTTCACGTAGGTGGCGCAGTCGGATGTAGCGATCTTGGGCGCGGATGGTTACTTTTGGTCGCCCCGACCTTGGTCGATTACGTGTTGACCTATGCTATTGAAACCGATCGCATAGCCTTGTGATGGTGCTGGGCGCTACATTGAAAACCCTGGCTACAGCTGATCGGGACTACCCTGCCTGCCTATGACGTTGTTTCTTTGCACTTCTTTTAATCTTGGCATGTTGTTGAACTCTCACGGTTCGATTGACGAAATGCCAGGCAATCAAAAACCCTGCACTTAAATACCGTTCGTAGTGCTGCTGCACGTGCAGTACGTGCAGCTCCATGGTCCCTTTGTAAATGCACTGGGTGCGTTTGTCCGAATCGTACGTGTTTCCCGACTAATGGATGCCCACGCAAATGCAAATGCACATTCACACACTTTTACCAATACATACAAAGCAGTCATGACTTAATCAAATAAGGTTTCAGGTCGACCCACTAACCACAAGCGGATGAGGCTAATTCAAGCTTGAATGAAACAAGTGTTACTTGAACTTGACCGGGAAAGGTAATTGTGGCCACCCTACATACACACACCGTGGACAAAGAGATTCCGTGTGAGGGAGGAACACATGTCGAGTAATTACATTCATCGGGGAAATGTTTTCCCTCGTGGGGAAATACCAGAACCGTTTCACTTCCGGATTCACAGGAAATGGGTCACCCACATGGCTGAGAACCCAGACTGAGCATAGACTGGTCTATGTGGTCGTGTTAGTGTCAAAATAGTCCTATTTCCTCAGATCTAAGGGGAGTATATTCCTTTTGAAAACCTGTTGAACAGGTGTTACCCAGCTGTAGTTGATGGAACAAAGACACATATATATCTGTTCACACTACACATCCACATAGACGCAGATCAAGGGCAAAAAGCCGAACAAATAACAGTTTCAGGGAGTGCTTTAGAGAATTAGTAAGACTTAAGCAGGTTTTTGATGTCTCAGGTATATTTATTACTTGATACAATAAACATGGCATAGTTTCTATGTGAACATTTGCTCATTTATTACATTACACAACAGTGTTAGCCTATTTTGTCCGCCTCCGTGGCGTAGTGGCACGTACGTCCGCCAGGGGAACGGAAGGGCGGGTGCATACCAACAGACGTTAAACGATGGTACTTGTTGTTTTCCTGCCTCGGCATAAAGGAGCTAAAACAAGGACTGGTCTGATTAGAGTCAATATACTGTTTCTCAGAGGGATGCACACTTTAAAATACGGCAAGGTATCTCAGTGGGCTGGCACTATAGTGAGTGAGTGAGTGAGTGAGTTGGGTTTAACGCCGTTTTTAACAGTATTCCAGTTATATCGCGGCGTGTCATCTTAATGTGGGAGGAAAGCCCGAAGTGATGCAGGTCTCAGACGTTTACCACTTCGGTGAAACCCACGAGCACGGGTATGGTGCTTACAAACCTAGAAACATAATTGGGGCGAAGCGGGATTCGAACCCACAATCATAGGTTTCTGGCGTGCCCAAGGGGCGCAACTCTGCACAGCGCCTTAGACGACTGGGCCACCCATGCCCCCTTGCACTATAGAACAGGCAAAGGTCCGGACTACTACAAAGACCACACAGACACCCACAGACACGCACAGACACACAGACACACACACACACACACACACACACACACACACACACACATATATATATATATATATATATATATATATAATTATATAAATATAATAAATATATATAAATTCCATAATCTTGATCGCGACATTAGACCCCATTACACCTCGACTCACATCACCTTAGTATAGCATAGTCTCTGACTGACTCCGTATTAGCGTTCAACGTACCCACGGGACAGTTCCCTTCTTACTCATTATATATTACCAGAGTGTACACTACATCTACGTATCCATATCTGGCACCGTTCGCGAAGGTACGCTCACCTTTTCGCGAACACATGGTAACAGCACAACTCGACAGTGATTCATAAACACATGGTTATGATATAGTTAATATTATAACATGGACTCGGCTTTTAGCAGTGATTTCTAATGATGAAGGAAAGGGTTCTGTAGTTTTTATTGAACAATCCAGAACTTAAACAGCTTTGATGTGATGAATGATTTCTCCGATGGCCTGATCGGCTCTGATGTCAATAATGACATTTAGCTCCTAACGCCTATAGATTCTCATTGAACCCAACCTCATCCCGGCAATCGTTGCCTGTATGGCACAGCAAGGCTATATCAGCATCCCTTCAGCCCATCAATGTACAACACACGCAACATTTGATAAGGGCGTCAAACACAGGTCGGGCTGAAATTTACACCAGGAAAACATATCGTTTGTATGAATGCACAGTGGGAGATCAGAAATGTGACTGAAGCTTAAGGAAATTGACAACCAGCGAAGGAAATATGTGTCAATTGTTATACGTTGGAATGTTTATATGCATATGTTTATATGACCTGTGCATGTCTTTGGCAACCCACGAGATCGCGTGCATGCCTTGCCCTGACATGCTCCATGAATGTGAACAGAGAAAATGTACGCCCTTTGAGAAGCTGCACTGTGTGAGACAGGCCTGTAATCGTATGATTTCAACTATTGGCGGCATCAACAGTCTGAAAAAGATGTTTTTGGGACAGGAGTATATCAGGCGACATATTCTATATACATCCACCACACCCAATAATACATTGCCACAACGTCTTGGCGTAAACATTGAAATGAACGCTTGAGGCGAACAGAAACCACAACGTCCTTTTAGCACTGGTGTGCCTAAACCATGATATCTAAACTTCACATGCTGTCAAAATAGAACAGTTACTTCAAGATCGTTCACGTGAATATTACAATATATGTTTTTGAATGATGTGGGCACGGGTCCCCTAGTCGCTGTGCAGAGTTGCGTCCCTTAGACGTGCCAGAAAACTGGTTCGAATCCCGGTTGGCCCTAGTGATGTTTCCAGGTTTGTAAGCAGCATCCACCTCTTGTGGGTTTCACCAAGTGGTAGACATCTAAGACATGCACCTCCTCGGACTTTCCTCCCACATCCAGCTGACATGCCATGATATAACTAAACTACTATGAATACACAATGCCATTTAGAAAGTGGTCAAATGTAACAAATGTTATATTTGGGATAACACTTTCTTTGTAAAGTACAGATTCTCGTATATTTATATTATTATTTATTTGGTTTTTTTTTTAGGGGGGTCCCGTCCGGGATTCGAACCCACACTAAACTAATATTTAAATATGCGATAAAACACTCACTTTCATGCGTTAGCTAATCTTTGAGCTCTTACATTTGACAAACGATCTCGCATCGATGTTGTTGTATTTCAAATCGTACGTAGGAATCTGCTTTTAACAGATATTTCTTATAATTATGGAATCTGTTTTTGTCGCAATCAGTAATATATTTCGAACACCTCCTTCAGTTTGGAATCTTTTCAGCATGAAGACAAATTCATCTGGGGAATATATGTCTTGTTGTTTATCCAGCAAAACCACAAGCCAAAAATAATCATAGCAAGGAATCGGTTTTGATGTTTTTTTTGTCAAATGCGATGCATATATCATCGCGCGTAACCTCAAGACCATATACATGTAATGTATTATGATGATTATATTCTTTATTTGTTTATATAGTCCTTTCATGTGCATATAATATTTTATCGTTTATAGACTCCCTAATTACAGTTAGGGTCAAATAAGCTACTTAGTATTTTAGTGAAAAAAACCTCCTGCATCTACACCCTATGCCTACAGGTCTATTGGACACGCAGCGAAGCATATCGGTCATCGGACGGTCATATTTACTTAATTATCACTACGTGCCTCCTGACATGTTGTGGAGTATCAAGTGACCGTAGTGACCTCTGCCTTGGCTTTGATGACCACCTGTAACTGGTCATTTCAACTCGACTGACCACACCGTGGTAATGATGTTCCGACAGGAAGACCTTTGTAACATCGTCAGTTGGTGGTCCCCAATGCCATCTTTTCCCTTCATAGGTTTTAAGGAATGTTTCTTATATTAATTTGGGCTTGACTGGAAATATAACGTTGACATACAGCAACAAGGAAACTTGCAACAAATTTAACATATTACGTTGAGTTTAAATGTTTGCACGTTATAAAAGCCATCTACACCTTTGCAACAAGTCTCGTGACTTGCGGCAAAATTGACTCTTTGTGTGACAAACTTGAACCATGTCAACAAAACGGAACTGCCCCTTTGGAAAAGATTTTAAATGTACATACGGTTTATGTGCATACAGTTTTATCACCACTTGCAGTACAATACGTTTGAAATGTCACGTAAATGAAATATGAAATACAGTATTTGCCGTAAGCAAACATTATGAGGAACATATTGAAACGATCACGATTTATAGCAGAGGGATCTCTCCCGGCCAATGCAGCAAATATAGAAGTAGAATAACCTGTTGTTGGGCACTTAGTGATCAACACGAAATATATCATCTAGTCTGTCCATGCACCATATTAATATCGCAATAGGATAACAATATGTGTATCATAGATGCTTATTTCACCTTGACGATCACATACAATACGTTAGGGTGTTAAAGTTGCTGTGTCAGCTGGTATAGTTCATCAAGACGAGTGTCGTTCGAGAATAAACATACACAACACATTGAGAATACGTTATAGAATATTATAATAATGACATTTACTTACCAGTAGTAAATATTTCTTTCCAATGTTGATATACCAGGCCGAGAGCGACACTCCCATTGTCCCTACAACAACACTGGTCCCTATGGCTCTACCTCTCTCTCCACCTTCTATCAACGCGCTGTCCCTCCCCCGCTACCCCGGGGGCTTTGATGTAACGTTGAACGCCGACCAGCAACAGGATCTATGTTCCGTTGGCTGAGTCAGGCCTAGTCGGTTCACTGGGACATCGAGTACACTGTCGGGAGGAAGGGCGAATCAGAGTGGATGTTTTCGCACATGTGCACTTAACTTGAAGTACCTGCGCTTTGGAGAGTGACGTATGAGAGATATTGAATAATGATTAGCACTGAATGTAATGACACATTTAAGAAAAGAGTATGTACTTTAAGAAGCAGAAAGGAAACTTATTTACTTTTACGTACTTTTATCGTATGTTGTTTCTTATTATTTCACCAATAATGGTTTCATGAAACTTTCGGTTTTTATTTCCAGAATATTTTCACAACAACTGAAATGATAACGTTCTGAGTCAATTTTCATGTAAGACAGTGCTAGCTTACTTTAAATACCTAATGTGCCTTAGTGCAATTACTTTACTGACACCGGCGTGCACATGTGTCGTGCTGATAAACCAAGAACCATTAATAGGACGAAACGTGGAGTAGATCCTCAGAATCTGGCACACGTAAGGGGCGAAATTTGTACAGCGACCTGATGCTCCTTAGATGACTGTCCTAGAGACGTATCCACGACATCAGAGGAATCCAAGTATAACAGCTATTAACACACAGAAACAGCATAATATGATAACAGTTATATAATTGAAAGTGAGGCATTATATAATGAAAACATCAAATATTTATATGTCTGCTGGAGTGAGTGAGTGAGTGAGTTGGGTTCAACGCCGCTTTTAACTGTATTACAGTTATATCGCGGCGTGTCATCTTAATGTGGGAGGAAAGCCCGAGGTGATGCAGGTCTCAGACGTCTACCACTTCGGTGATACCCACGAGCAAAGGTATGGTGCTGACAAACCTAAAAACACAATCGGGGCGAACCGGGATTCGAACCCACAATCATAGGTTTCTGGCGTGCCCAAGGGACGCAACTCTGCACGACTGGGCCACCCGTGCCCCCTGTCTGCTGGACATGAGAGCGGATATAATTACTTAATTCGAATCAAATGACCACAGTGATAAAAACCTATATCTGGTCACATCATCTCGACTGACAACACCGTGGTAATGACGTTCCGGTAAGACTAAGTCTTGTTTTTTTTGTTATGTTTTTTGTTGTTGTTGTTGTTGTTTAACCCCGCACTCAGCAATATTCCAGCTATATGACGGCGGTCTGTAAATAATCGAGTCTGGACCAGACAATACAGTTACTGTAATTGATGTCATGAACATCCATCTACGCAATTGGGATACGATGACATGCATCAACCATGTCGGCGAGCCTGACCACCCGATCCCGTTAGTTTCCTCTTACGACAAGCACAGTAGCCATTTACAGCAAGCATGGTTGCTGAAGACCTATTCTACGCCGGATCTTCACGGGTCCCGATAAAAAGAATAAGATAAATTAACATTAACACCAGTAGGTGGTCCCCAGGGAGAACTTCCACAGGCTGTAAGGTATGTCTTAAAGACATTCTGATTTGATGGGTAATACAAAGTATTCATGAAGTAACACCCAATGTCTAAACCACTATATCTTGTAAAACTACTGATGTATCATTATTTGTAAAGGAAAATGTACTCGACATGTGTTTTCTTTTTGACATACTTAAGATATCCGAGTCACCCATATCAACATAACACCGACATTTCGTAGTAGGAATACATTTCTTATATATAATGTTTGAAATTCATAGGAAAAACAGCATTAGTGACTGCGCAAACTATAGACCTGTTATACTACTTACAACCTGTTTTTCAAAAGCTTTTTGAAAAGTGTGTTTTTCAACACGTTTTAAATTATTTTAGAGATAAAAACATAATTACAAACTTACAGTCTGGTTTTATGCCAGGTGATTCTACTCACTGTCAACTGCATACTTGTATGCTTTTATAGTACGCTGAATTATGGTAAAGAAGTAAGAGCTGTATTCTATGATGGATGTAGAGCTGTAGAATAGTATGGTAAGGAATTTTGTTTAAACTAAAGGCGGACGGTATAAATGGAAGCCTATTGAAATGGTTTAACAACCCTGAAACAGAGAGTAGTAATCCAAGGGGCTCCCAATCTGACCTTAACCTAGTAAAATGCAGGCGTGCTACAGGGATCAAGTTTAGGACAGCTGTTGTTTTGATATATTAATATTAATGATATCATTGAAGGGGTTATCTTTTCAATATTCAATATTAGATGACCATATTCACACTGCTACTGTTAGTAATTATGATTGAGATATGATTTTCAACTCTAGCATTTTTACATGGCAAGTTCATTTTAATCCACAAAACGGAAACAATGCAATTTTCAAGAAATTTAATTCCTTGCATAAAACCCGCGTTAGCAATTAAAATCAACTGATATGACAGAAGCACAAACATCCAGGTTTGATCTTGACAATATTGACAATATTGACTTTGGATTAAACATATCGAGGAAACTGTAAAGAAAGTGCGCGCTATGATACATTGTTTTCGAAGTTTTAAATGTCATTTATCTCGGGAAACTTTTTAGACTGTGTACAAATCACTGATATGGGATAATATAATTGCGCGACAGGTCAGTTAAATATTAGAAACAACTTCATCTGGTGGTTGCAAGAGGCACTTGTCATGGAAATATCTTCGAGGAAACAAAGTTTAAAGTTCATGGGAGAAGGCGAAACAATTTTAAAATGATGCTCTGCTATGAAATGGTTATTTAGTTACGGGCTACCCTGGATATAACGCCAGGAAGAACAGGCGTTATAACCAGGTTGGCGTTATAACCAGGTTGGCGTTATAACCAGGTTGGCGTTATAACCAGGGTAACGTTATTACCAGGGTGGCGTTATAACCAGGTTGGCGTTATAACCAGGGTGGCGTTATTACCAGGGTGGCGTTATAACCAGGTTGGCGTTATAACCAGGGTGGCGTTATAACCGTAGTAGCCATTCTCGTCAGTCAAAACCAAGCTATGAATACATATACATTTAGTTAACATCAATGTTGTACTCAACAAGTACACACAATTGTAATTAGAAAAAAAATAAAACATTCATATTATTTGTGGACTGAATGGACATAGCAAAGTAATGATTAGCACACTGTCATACTGACATTAATTGTGGCTTAAAGAAGTCACACATTGTTGTTCGTTTGTTTGTTTGAAGATGGCGATCGGGTAGCCTAGTGGTTAAAGCGTTCGCTCGTCACGCCGAAGACTCGGGTTCGATTCCCGACATGGGTACAATGTGTGAAGCCCATTTCTGGTGTCCCCCGCCGTGATATTGCTGGAATATTGCTAAAAGTGGCGTAAAACCATACTAACTTACTCACTCACTTGTTTGTAGCCGATCAGGAAACAGGTGTGTCCATACTGTCTGAACACATTTTAATGTCACAGGATTCTGCAACAAACAAGGGCTCAAAACAATCCGATGAGTTTTCTAGCCTCCTGTTGGGAAGGGGGTTTGGGAAGGTTATCATCTTCCTGTCGTTTAGTCCAAACACATCTAGGGATGCTTCATCAAAGTCCTTCCCAGTAGAGATGATCTCATCATCTGAGAGTGAATTGAACGTCTCAGTTGACAGGTCAAGGTGATTTCAATTATCTTAACTTTGCACACTTACTGAATAATGACCTCATCATGGTAGCGGGTGTGTGGAAGTTGTGGAAGTTGACCGCCTTGCACAAAAAAGAAATTGGCATTATAACCAGGGAATTTGACTACATATTTGTTCTGAGAAAGGTTGGCGGTGGCGTTATAACGAGGCGTTTGGCGTTTTAACGAGGGACATTTTAACCAGAGAAGATTGTAACTCTTCTTTCAGTGGCATTTAGAAGTTGGTGTGATGAAGTAAGACAAGTTCTATGGATGAACAACTTCTTTATTACAATTAGTGCGACGTTTCGGTGTAGATCCTAACACCTTTATCAAGCAAGCGATACTATTCTCGTCTTACTTCAAGATTGTAACTCCCACTTATCTGTCTGATCTTGTTCCTTTGCGCGTGTCCATCTTAATTATATATAAGTAATTACTCACCGAGGAATAGTTCCAACTTACAAGTTATTAATTGCAGAACTGAAAAATATGCAAAATCATTTATTCCCACTACCAATAACTTATGGAACAATTCATCGTCAGATTTGACCAACGGGGATCCAGAGGATCGTTTAAACTAATTATTGATAAAACCGATGATCATACACATCATTGTTACTCAGACTACGAGTAGAGAATATACCAAATCTATCTCTCGCGACATCAGACTAAGATGTAGTGACTTGAATGCCCACACGTGCGATAGACACATCTCTGAAAACCCTTCTTGTTCCTGTGGTTCGATGTTCGAGGACACTACTTATTATTTCTTCATATGTCCAAGGGGGCGGTCGGGTAGCCTAGTGGTTAAAGCGTTCGCTCGTTACGCCGAAGACCCGGGTTCGATTCCTGACATGGGTACAATGTGTGAAGCCCATTTTCTGGTGTCCCCCGCAGTGATATTGCTGGAATATTGCTAAAAGCGGCGTAAAATCATACTCACTCACTCACTCACTCATATGTCCAAATTGTAGAAAGACAAGTTCTATGGATGAACAACTTCTTCATTACAATTAGTTCTGTGTCCATTAGAGAATTCAATGGCTTTTAATTCACTGGCTTCCAATCATCCCAATCAGCTTCCGTGGTTGTTTACCCTGTCCCATTAGTCATTCACTGGCTTCCAATCATCTTAATTAGCTCTCTGTGTCCATCAATCTATTAACTGTATAAACATTGATGTTAATAAGTATATATACCTACATGTATGTTGTTCAGCACTATCCATCACTTGCTTGATAAAGGTGTTAGGATCTACACCGAAACGTCGCATTAATTGTAATAAAGAAGTTGTTCATCCATAGAACTTGTCTTTCTTCATCACACCAACCTCTAAATGCCACTGAAAGAAGTTGTCCAAATTGTAGTACCATAAGATCAAATTCATACCATGGGATGTAATCTCAATTCTTTACTTATTCTCACGCCGAAGACTCGGGTTCGATTCCCGACATAGGCACAATGTTCGAAGCCCGTATCTT